TACTTAATACATTATTTAAAATAAACTCTTAAAATTATTAATTTGGAGAGAAGTTAATGATTTTTGACTAATTACATTAACTAACTAATTAAATAAAATTAACGAGCTGATAATTAAATTTAATATATTTTTTCTAAATAAATTAAATTAAATATTAACTTGACAAAATCAAAATAAAATTAATGCAAATACTAGTAAGTTTGCAAAATATTATGTTCAAAGGGTGATAAATTTTTGGGAGTGCTAACAGTGATCTTAGTTAGTTTTAAATTTTGTTTTCCTTATATATATATATATATATATATATATACATAAATTATTTAAAATTTTTTTAGGAAGGAATTATTTAACAAGAAATATATATTAATTAACTGTTGATCGAGCAAAAGAAAAATTAAGTTAACATAAAATCAAAATATCTCCGTTAAGTTAAAAATTTAACTTACCTCGTTTTTGCTCATCTTTAACTATTATCAAAATCATATTATTTATTTATAAATATAAACAAGTATTTTAATACAAACTAAATTTTTCTTTATAAGATTTATTTTTACTAACAGTATGCCTTTATAAGAATTTTACACACAATCTAACTATCTTACTTTTTTTATTATATCATGCCATTATAATTTTACATTAATATTGTATGAAAATAATATTTGTTTATCTAATCATTACTGCTCCTTAAAATTTCAATTCATACCTATTTCATCATAAATGATTTAAATTATACTGCATGAATGTTATAAAAACTTATGTAAACGAGAATCATTATATACAATAAAAGTTCAACGGGTTTGTAGTTCGTATAAACGCATATAGAATTATACAATTGTCAGACGTGACTATTATCCTTTTAGAGGGGATTTAACACTTTATTATGTAATTGGTTTTGTGTCACATAAGGGATGTAAAAAAAAAATGAAACGAGGGCGGGTAAGCAAAATAAGGGAGTGTTAACTAGGAAAACCGCTTAAGTAAAATTAAAAGGCTTTTATTTTCTCTTTGTCATACACTATATACATATATATATATATATATATTATGTTTAAGATGTGTATAATATCTGAACGTACTGCACAGGAAATTAATGAACAATTTCTATTTTAAAGCCTACTTACATTCATTGCAATTAATTAACTTTTAATTTTTATTCAAAAACCTAATACGATTAATAGATTTGATTCATAAAACAAATTACACTACTGACATTATGTTTGTTAATTTTAATATTAATTGTAAATTTGATGATATCTTTCACTCCACAAACTTAATAAGGACCTAAAACTAATAAAACCTAAAATTAAAATTAATTTTTTACTATGTACATAATCTAGTTAAAGATAATGTATGTGTTGTTAGTATATTTGAATGATATGGTGTTAATATAAAATAACAAAGCACGCGAAAAAAAATTAATTTAAAATCTTACAAAAATACGTTCTCAGTTTTGTATAGATACTAAACATTTCTTATATTAACAAAATTTAAAATTAAATTCAATCAGGTGCGGATATATAAACATTATTTGAATGAGGAACTATTTCATTATTTCTGTTAACGTATGACCTATCATTTGAAAGAGACCATTTTTTATTTAGAAAATAATGTTATTTTGGGAAGTTCCATACTCCTATACTACCCTTGTATACGCGTTTGCTTCCAGTCTTACATAATATGCTAGTTATAGAAAAACTTACTTATTAGTATATAAGAAAGGTTTGGTACAAATAAAACAGACATATTTTTATCGATTCAATTTTTCCATTTAAATACACAAATTAAATGAAATTGATTTCTTACTGAAACTCGTGGAGTCACAATGAATATATACTTCTAACAAAAAGAGCAACTAGAAGAAAATGTTTGGATATGCTACATTCATTGTTCTCTACTTTAAAAAAATATGTTTATACAATTAATGATTATAATTATTTAAATTTGTCAGGACTTTAACATCTACTAGGGAAGCTAAGCTCTCTAACTCTCCCTAGTTATGCCCATGTTCCTAACAAAAATTTATTAATAAGATTTCTTGCTTTTACCTTTTGAATATGTAATATTTGAGAATTATACTTAAGATCTATTTCTGTAAAATGAATTAAGTCTCTATTTGGTATTAAACGATCATGCGCAATAATGATAATAATAATAACATACAAACGATTTATTAGATGTTCAAAGGTTCTACTGAAAAATTGTTGTAAATGAAAAAATATTTTAACATCCAATTCGAATTATTATAATATATGTATACGAATGTTACATGTGATCGTTTAAAAAAGTGTTTCGAATAAAAAATTTTAACTCTAAGTAATGCATATTTGAATATAGTTATTATGTATTTATGACATAATGCATTATACCTTTTATGCAAATTTTCTACTCCGTTTGTTATAGATAAAAGCGTGTGGCGGATGAAACAAGAAGTGAATGTTCAAGTATTCGACTTAGAGTTTGCTTTTTAAGTATGAACTGAACTGGCGCGTCTTCGGTTTATTGCGCCGGCTTAACTTGGCTTTATTTAACAAGATGAGACGTGAAGGGAAGGGATAAAGCGAATACCCTTATACTTCTCTTTACCCTCCCATGATACCATAACGGTTTCACGAGAGACGGTCAAACAGCTACATAAAGCCCTTTGAGAGTAGCGGAAGCATTTGTTTGATCGCGCCGCCGCCAGGCCGGTCGATTGTCGGAGAACGGAAGTTAAAGGGGACCCGCCTGCGCTTTATCCAACATCAGTGCTGCCGCCAGTGCTCCACATATACCCAGTTGTATTGCTAAGGGCGTATAAGAGATCCCGGGAAAATTGAATCCAGGACAACGCAAATCAGCTCTCATTTTTGAGTTTACAGTATTTATGACGAGGTAGGGAACCAATGGCCGTATTTTATCATTTTGCTAGTGTAGGTTTCCTTGAAATCTCTTCACTCCGTGTAATAGAGACAATTTAACTTTAATGAGGCTATATAAATTATTGATGATTTATGTTAAAAAGTCAAATGCTTTTAAAAGGTTGTGATTGAAATTTAAAAAAAGTTTTTCACTTTTCGTTTTAAATTGGGTTTATCTAACTTTGAATAAAATTATATATGGCTAACGATCGCTCGAACAAAGGAACACATAAACTATTCGTTTTAAAAAAGAAATTCTTTTGAATTGTGGATATGATTTTTTTGATCAAAAAGTTTTTTATGTGTTTATTTTATTTTAGTAACCGACACACGTCCAAATTACAATATATATAACAATGATAATTAATTTTACATTATACGTTCAAAATTAACAGCAATCCTGAAGACAATAGCAATAATTATTATTAAATTAAAATTTTTTTATACCTAAATGTTTTCACCTATCAAAGTTTTCAGCTTTTTAATAAAAAAAAAAATTAGTTTTCGAAAAAATATTTTTTAATTGATTTTAAGATAAGCATAAAAAAAATATTCATTTTCCCATACCTTAATTGTTTTTTTTTTCATAAAAAATTATTTTATTTAACAAAATGATTAATTTTTCTAAATTTCCGGACAAACTGAGCCCATTTTAATCCTTCTAAAAATGCTTAAAACTATTCTTGGTTATTTTATGTTATAATACCCGTTAAAAATTTCTCAAAAATTGTTCTTAAATATTTTTAAAGAATTTTCATATATTATATAGAATTATTTAATTAAATTGACTCGTAAACCAATTTTTAATTGTAAAAATCATTGTTATATCAAAACAACAATGCTCATTTAGACATACCCAATATAATTAAATAAATTGAATATTCTTTTAAGTTTTTTTTAACGAATAAACCTACTTAAATTATCATGAATTCAAATATTTTTATTTATAAATTGTACTTGGAAATTCGTTGATTCAAAAAATATCAAGAAGTTTAAACATATATAAATAAAGAAAGTCGAGCTAAGTTGACAAATGAGTAAAAATAACGAATTTAATATTTCTTAAAATCAATCTTACATAGCAACACATCTTTGCTACTGTAAAAATCTCTTACACATAGTTACCAACAAGTATTAAAACTTGTACGAACTTAAATTTTATTTGTGATAAAAAATCAATATTTAGCATATTTCTCGATGCAATTTTCGAACATCTAAACATTAAATATTAGCATTATATGTTAAATCTTCAAAATTTTCCTATTGAATATTTCGAGAATACAACTTAATGCCAGTAAATTCATAAGAGACCTATTTTTTACACTAATTTTGATAAAAAGTTGATACAAGAGTTTTTGTCATCTCACCACATGATTAAGAAAATATGACAAAAATAACACTTTTTAGGAAAACCCATATTTAGTCCCTTAGAAGATAAAAGATATAATTGAAAATATTTATGGTATTAGGCAAAATCTGAGACAAGTCTCATAAAAATTTCAGCTATTAAGTTCGTTGACAAAAGTCGTAGAAGCTTAATCTCACCATCTTACCCTGCTTTGTCCTACATATATCAACACTTTATAAAAATCTTAAGAATAATAAATAATATAAGTTTTCTTTAATAGAAATTAAATGGTGTATGTAATACTGTACTCAAATATGTCATGGGCATATTGTCAACGTTAAATAAAACCAAACGTATATGAATATTTCTAACTTCTGTTCTGCATGCCAAAAACTTAATGTTTACTTAAAATTTACATTACACAAAAATTAATTTTGTTTACAGTGTGTGCATATACCGTTGCCAAACTGTTCTGACAGCATATTATTCACGGTTCATCTACGACAACAGCTCTTGTCTTCTACAAGAGTTACATATATTACGAGTTTTCATTTTCAGTCAGTAATTTTACCTGTACAGATCGTTTACAGTGCAGGACGCATCGGAGAGCAAATACAAATAAGCGATCGCTTTATTATGATACGCAAAACAGTTTATGTGTACATAATATTTACAATAGGGTTGTATAACAAAATAGACAATTGAACAAAAAAAATATGCGCTTGACTGGTGTGTAAGAATACAAGGCGTTTAAATAATTTTGATACAAACTTTTATTATTACTTACAAGCTTATTTTTCAAAAAATATATTTCAAACAGTTGTTGAGTTTACAAATAAAATCATTGTCCTTGTCATTCAGCCAAAAAAACTTTGGATTTAAAAATTCATGTGTTGAATCTACACATTATTAAAACTACCTATAGAAGTTTCCTTTTTGTTTTAACTTATATCATTTTCATTTTCATTTTTTTTTTAATTAAGATCCGACGGAAGATAAATTAGTATGCATCAGTGTACAAAATACATACACATTTTAATATATAAACCTCTTGTCAGAGTTTAAATAACAATTCTAAGTAAAATAATATAAATACATATTAAAAATAATTAGTAACCTTTATTGTAAATCTTAAGGTGATTGTTTTTTTAATTCAATTATTCAGGGATGTTATAGATGGGAGATTTTGTTATCAGTCTATTTTTGTTGAATGAGATTATACTTGACACAACGTAAGTGACACCAATTGTAATAAACATACCACCGTAGAACAATAGCTAAAAAGTATATCATTAAGTAATTGAACTACATATATATATATATATATTTTATAATCTAACCAACCTGCTGTTTAGAGCTAATGAACTTCAATACATCAAATCTTTGAGTGAAAACCACATTAATTAACAGCATCAAAACAACAGATATGAAGGAATTAAATCCAAAGATTAAAGCATAACATTTATTCTTAAGTGGTTTCGCTATTTCAGATCTGTGAAGTAAAGTATATATTTAATTTAAACAGTAGTACAATCAAAAGTTTCTTTGGGATTGGGTTTAGTTTTCTTTTACAAAAAAAAATACCCCAATATAAATTTAATGATAAAAAAAGTCATCCACTTCTGTAATTGAAGAATTACTTTCATATCAAGAGAATAAACACCCCTTAACACTCCTGATTGCGTCACTGAGTTCATACAGTGTGTAAAATTAATTCAAACAAAGTAGCAATTATTATTTCAACAAAAAAAGGCTTATTTTATGATAATTTGAGAACTTTGTATTTAAATTTAATAACATTAAGTATATGGAATAAAAATGATTAAATTAGTTGTCTATACAAATGTTTTATTTGCTTTACTCTAATATTTTCGGTAATCAGTCAATTCATCGTCGTTATTGTATTTAATATTATTTTAACTACACTTCAGATTACATTTAAAATTTCCCCCCTACTACTTTTATCATTCTTAATTTCTCAGTTTTATTACTGTAAAAATATGTTAAAATAATTTTTTTTTTTAATTAATATGGTTTCGTTACATTTGACCTAAAGCAGGAAAAAGTAAAGATAAACTGATGTTTATGATGAATACCGACATTTTAAGTTTGAAATGAAATTTTAAAAAAATAGATGTGTTAGTAATACAATATGACAAAAACTAATGTGCAATTTTTTTTAAATTTTGAAAGTTATTTTTGAATAGATGGTTATTACACAAAAAATTTGAATATTTATTTCATTTTATTGATAAAAATATTCAGTCTTGGTGATTACTAAATCTTCCTTACTAATATTAATTAAATTAAAAAATGAATATTAAATTTCTGTGATGAATTAACCGACAATGACCGCTTTCCAATATTTTAATAACGCATTATGCGAATATTAATATGAGTACACGTTTATACTTTTTAATATAATTAACTCACAATGAAATAACAAGCATGACTTGCGTTAATACACCGAATAGTGTGTATGACATATAAACTGGCAGCAATTTCTGGTGAAAGTAACTGACCACCAGACAAATTCCAAGGATCAAAGATCCAGAACCAATAAATGTGCTACCTTTTAACTCCCAGTTCACTCGTCTCATCCCAATTTTGTACGAACAAATTGCACCTAGAAATATTGAAAGGTCTTCAATTTATTTCCTATTTAGTTCATTTAAATATCCATGATATTCCTATAAACATTTCAAATAATTTCTACTCCAGTTAAATCTTATTTGATTACTGAGATGCATTTAAAATTTTTTTTCAAAAATTAACCTAATATGCAATAATAACTAATGCGATTGACCATCAAGTTAGTTAGGTACTTTTAGTTTGTTATATAAGGAAACAGTTTAAAAACATTTACTAATTGTGGGAGATTATTTTAAAGTAATGAAATATTTCCAAATATTTATGTAGCACTAATGCTAAACCAATTTTGTGTGATAAATAAATAAAATTAGCGATGACTAAATATAGTCATTACCGTAATAGCACGAGGCAGTACTAAGAAAGTATCTTTGAACAGGCGTTTTCCTATAGAAGATCGCTTCCCTTATGCAATGTTTTCAACAAAAACAATTATAATGTGTGAGCCTGTGAATGGTTCACACATAATTTTATATTATTTATTATGAAAATAATAATTAGTCTTTAACTTAAATACTGATTTTTAAAGTCTTTTTAATAAACATGTATTTTAGAAAAAAAAACTAACTGAGCAATGTCACTAACGTTTCAACCTGTCTATTGGTTTGCTGATCTGTATTTTTGAATTCTTGTGTAAGGAACTTGGTATTAATCTAAAAATATAAATAAAGTAGAAAAATGTTTTAAGTTAACAATTTACATACACTTACCACGTTACTACACGTTAAAGCTAAGCAAAACCATATTGACCATTTTAAAACAGTCAAGTTTGTATAAGATTCAATAAAATCATTCCACGCACGTAGCAGAGGGTTTTTAATGATTATTTCTTCCGACTTATTGTTCTAAAAATATCATGTCATAGATTTTTCTGATGAGTTTATAAATATACTTTTAAGACATAATGTAAATTAATTAATAGTAGAGAATATAATTTTATTTTTACCTTAATTTCAGAAGCACCTTGTATTATATTAACCTGGACAGAAATTAAATTAGCTTGTTTTGATTTTGCATTTCTACGACGTCTTGATGGTCTTGCAGGTGGCATGTAAAAAGACCAGATAAACGCAAAAACCATTGCTATAGAAAAATATTTTTTTTTTAATCGTAGAGTTATACGTTTTAAATTTTTACTTATTTCATGTTATTACTATGTACTTATTATTGGATTGATTTCTATATTTAAAAATGTACATATGATTGTAATATTAAAAAAAATATTTTCCGTTACATTGCAAACATTTTTTAAACAAGAAAATAATGTAATTAAATAATGAAATTTTATAGACATTTGAATCAAAACCTAAGACAATTATGATTTCTTTTTAAATCTATAGTTGTTATGTATGTAGCTTTTCACATTTCACTCACCTCCCAAATTATAAAAGGGCAGCAACTTTAGTGATCCATTTAATGTGAGTATTTGAGCTAAAACCGATCCACAAAGTTTCCCTGTCAACATACCCGTTCGGACTAGACCCGAAGCTATTTGATAGAATCGCTTGTCGTGGATCTTTGCAAACAAGTAACTTAAATATGCCACATCACTATAAGCCGTAATACGTGTCATAGCAACTTCTGTTATCTAAATTTGTCTATGTTAAAACTATTGTAAGAAATTATTTGTAATTAAAAATTAACTAACTTTTAACTGCAATATGTCTGGCATCACTGCTAAGCTGATGTAAACAAAAATACCACAAACATTGTTAAGCAGCATCACTGGCTTATATAATAAATAATCTGTGACTGTTAATGTTAATAAAACGGACAATAGAGTACCGTACTCCCTAATAGGCATTATTTCTTCGTTTATCTGTTAAAATTTATTTTAGTTAATATCTAAACATTTTTTTGTGAAACGAGTATCTCACTTTCAAACACATTCGGTTGAAAAAAGACATTACTAATTGGTATTTATTTATTCCCATATATATCATAGTATGGGCACTATAATTTAAGGAGACCCCGTGTTTATTATAAAAACGAAGCCCACGCCCAAACGACCAACTAATATTTGATGATTTAAATGACTTTTTTTTTATTATTTTCCCTTTTGCACGAACCCCGTGTAGATTCACATTTCTACGCACTCCTCACGCCGATACTTACTACAATGACTGCAATAATATTACTTTCATCATTATCTTTTTAGCCTCTATTCCAACTATTTAGGGTCGACTCTACCTTACGGTTTTACAACGGCTGTCAACCTGACGCAATCTCTTTATAACTGAGGGAGCCAGTTAGGGGATAAGGTATGTGTCACTATTAAAACTCCCAAATGGTCACCTATCCGGGAACCAAAAGCATACAGCGCAACTGAACATCAGTGCTAAGGCGACAGCGATTGTCCACAGTATCACAATACAGCCTTTACAATATTAATTTACTTGAATAATTAAATATTTTTCGTTATAACATAGAGTACTAAACTAAATTTTTGTAATCTCTATTGACTATTAATATTTACCACAAATATATTGTAATATATAATTGAATAATACAAAGTTCCGTTACAATATTAAATCCTCTAAAAATGTAATTAAAAAGCATCAAGTCAAAATATTTTCAAATTAGTTTATACCTGAGCAGTAGTAATATTCATCTCAGTTAGATATTCATCAAGATAAAAATCCAAAGGTCGTAATTCCATAAAAAATGAAAATACCAACACGAGTATAGAGATTATTTTCCAGGTGCGCATATTGCAAATAATGTGTGTTCTTCTTTAAAAAAAAAAAAAAAAAAAAAACTATCATAAATTAAACATTTTCTATTTCGAAAATATTGTTAGTTCACTTCATTATTTTGATAAAATAATATGGTTCAAGCTTTACTATACAACTATACGAGTCAATGACGAGAACGTAAATAAAATTTACTTTCGTTGAGATTATTGAACAAGTTCATCGGACGTATGTAGTCCAACCGGTTTACACTTGGTAAAAAATACATCATCCGTGTGCTGTTGACCTATAATATATTACTACACGATTATTATTCGTTATTTTTATGATGGCTATTTCGCAAAATAAAAATATTTTATAAAGTTTATTTGTTTTTTAATTTTGTCCACAGTTTATTAATAGCGGCCACCGCAACACTTTTATTCAATTCTCATTATATTATTTCGCTTTATTTATAAAAATACTTAAGATCGTATTTTAAGGAAAAACTGAAAAGCTTAAATTTAAAAAATAATGTAATAACTTTGTACAAATATTTGTTTGTTTGAAATCTTTAAAATACAAAAATATTATAAATTAACATTACACGTAATACATTCTTATATTTAAATTTAATTATATATTGGATACCATATCCAATAACTTGATATTGAAGTTTTAGGTCTATAGTATTCGCTATGCTAGTGAATTAATATATTTAATAAATAATATATTCATTATATTCTGTTAAGAGCACGACCATTCTGAGTGCGTTTTTATTAATCGTAAAAAGTGTTTTGTTTAATTATACGGTATTGTGCAGAGTTGCTACTTTGTAAAATAGTGTATTCATATCAGTTAACATCTAGTAACGCAAAAACTAGATGATACATAAAAATCTATATTTTTCAAAAAATAGCTACTTTATCGTCATTGCGAGACAAGNCTTTATCGTCATTAATTTATTTACAAATACACTATTAGTACACGACTCGCTAAGATACCCTGATGTCTTAAGACACATGATAACCTGCAAATATTGAACTTTTTCAAGTATTGTAGTATACATAGTGTATACTTTAGTTGACTATTACACTTTGTTCTGATATCTTAACGAGAATGCATAATTAGAAAGTTAATGAGATCATGGGTATAAAATTTAAGAGCTAAAACTTTGAGTTTAAATGGGAACAATAGCTGAATGGGGTCGAACACTGGATGCAGTTAACATTGCTGAGGATTAGGGGCGAAGATGTGTGATGGGTGACGATCATCAACAGAGAGGAGTCGAGGGGAGGGCGCCAGTGTTGTCGTCTATTGTAGCGTCGGTTCAATACTCGGTAATCAAATTGTCATGCACGGGGGCGCCGTGTCGGAGAGCTTAACTATTAACTCGGGCGGCGCGTCGGCCCGCTAAACAATAAACATGGCGACCACGGCGGGCGGCATCGACGGTCGTTGCGCGTGCGCGCCCAATGTTCTATTTCATTTCTAACTCTTTCCGGTTGGTCCCGAGTGCACACCCCCCCGGATTGCCGCCACCACCCGGAGGGGTGTGACAGCAGTCGGCCGACCAAGATTAAGCCTCCGGGTCGAACCTCAACCGACCTCCTCCCGCGCCTCCCTATCGAGAGCGCCACGGCAGCAACATCGAGAGCAGCCTTTGCCGTCTCTACCCTCCGCTCTTCTTAACAGCCCGTTGCTATTCGTATCCGTACGACTTTTACCGGCCGTCGAGTTAAGCTCCGAGTCCCGGGGCATAAGCCAAACGCAAACCGGATAAGTCACTCGTATGCAACAATCATTCATCTGTTGTGTTCTTCTCTATTTTCATTGTTAAATTCAGATCAAACGTCAAAAGTGAATTTGTAATTTTTATTGGATACGCCTAAACAAACTAAATAGTTCTCAGTTACTATTACGCTTTAACGGAACATAACGAACATTTAATTCCAACAGCTAAAATTAAAGGTACCATTTATATTTTTCAATTATAATAAAAACTTTACATTAAAAATTATATACAATGAAATTTCAACGAAAATTCTATACTCTATTATGCTAAATTATTTTATTTTTTTCATTTATTTTTTATGAACTGACAAGAAATATTTATAAACAAAATTTTCGTTTTATTTTATTTAAAACATAAATTATCCCAGTTAAACAGTAAATTAATATTGTAGTTTAAAAATTTGCAATTTGGTTAAAATTTAAATTATAAACATCATAAAGGATTCTCCCACAATTTATAATTTTAATAACCTGAAATATAGAAATTTTATCTTTTATTTGTATAGAAATTATTTCTACATAAAAAATCATTAATTTAGAAATTATTTTTCTATTGATCTCAGCGTATTTTCAAAATACTTCCTACACAAATATTTATGAATAATTTGTTCTCAAATAAAAAAAATGTCTAATATTGTAATTCTTAACATAATCCATTGAGAATTTGAAATATTCATATAATACATTATTATTTTTTATTATTATACCATTCTTAAAGAAGAAAATTAAAAAAATAATTTTACCTTTGTTTTATTAACATTTTTTTAAGTGTTAAATATTAAAACAATGTGACTAAACCATTAATTATTTGACTGAAAAATATACAATTATTTAAGATTACATTTAGTGTTTTTTCATTATACTACATTCAATTAAAAAATTAAAAAATTGCTCAGTTTGGAATAATTCCACTTTTTTAACAAGTTTAAATAAAAATTTCGATATTCCTTAAATGTAAAAAATAAATTGTAAAATGTTTATTGTTTATCGAAATGTACAATAAAAGTTACTTATTTATTCAGTAGTTATATTATTTTACAAAAAATATTTTTGTAATAATTTGACGTTTTATTATTTTGAAGTCAAAATTAACTTATAAAATAAATTCGATTCGAATCAAGAATAATTTGATCGAAATACAGAACTATTATAAAATTGGTATCATAAAAAGTTAATAGAAAATTTTATTGGGTCATATTAATTTTAAATATTTGATTCAGTTTGATCAAGTAAAAACGAAGATAGAAAATTGGTATAATTTAATTTAAAATAAAACATTGAGTTTAATGATTATTTTAAACTTTTAAGTTAATTCATTTTTTTCTACGTCCTTTCTTTTTTATTCATATTGAAATATATTTATTTGAGATTCAGATAAATTAATTTAATTTAAAAAAATGTGATTTGTTCATTAGTCAGACAAGAAACTCTTCGAAATGAGTATTTTGCTTTACAAAACTAAAAAAGTAATTAAAGCGTTCGATTTAAAAATTATCCTTTTTAAAAAATAGATATATTTTTTTATTTTTAAATTACAAAATATATTTTGTAATTACACTACAATATAGCTTAAACTGAAGATAAAATTATACATTATAGGAATAAGGAGTGCATTTTTTAATAATCAACATAATGAAAACCTGAGGTTTTTGTTCAATTATATACAACTATACGATTAAATGTAAAATTTCAAGCTACTTTTGAATTGAATCATATTTCGTATTTAGTTATGAAAATTATACTAAATTTCTCCTTTTCCCAACAGTTTCACTAATATTTCAAATAAATTTTTGATTTGAATTTCTGAACATTTTTTTGTTCCTAAAATTAACACGTAGATTTAAGAACAACTATAATTTCCATTAAAAAGTCTACAGAAACTATTGTTTTTAATATATTATATCTAAAAAAAATAACTCAGGTTTACCGCTAAAATGTAAGCTTATTATTTTATGAATTATGCCTTATGGTCATCGATATCGTTTTTAAACATTTATCTCCAGGGCGTACATAACATGTTCGAAAACAGATATTAAAAGTATTATAATAGATAATAGAATATGCAAAACAAAGATAAACGTTATTTTACTAGATACTACTCCATACTATAAAATCGTTAACATCCCTAATCTGGATAATCATTTAGTTATAATAATTGTGTGCATCCAATTCTATCAATGCAGTAGTCAGTTCACAAAAGAATTGAACAAAACAAAAAACACGCCCCCTTCAAATTTTTTATTGTAACACACGTGACCTCTAGAAAACCACCCTAATATTTGACACCAGTACATATTGAAAAATAAAAGGCGTGCTATACATATTATATACCTTATTATAAAGAATTTACTATTTTATCCATTGTTCCTAAGCCCTGAAGATGTGATTATATTAAAACAACAACAATGCTGTTATTACTTAAAGTTACTTCTTTTCATGTAAATTTTGGTAAATGTAATTAAAATTTCAGAAATATGAATTTGACTACTACTGACACCGATCGGTCGTTTATTTCATTACAACAATCAGCTCAACCAATTTTTTCACTGGCTGATCATAGAATTGGAAGCATTCATTTAAATTCAGATAATGACAATAGAGGTAAGTTTATGGTTGAAAACATTTTTCTTCGTGAATTATTATTTATTATATAATTATGACTCGTATCACCTAAAAAAGACCATTAATCAAAAATAATAAACTTGATTTATGAATTCAAATAAGTATTTGAAAGATTTTAAATTTTACATATTTTAATGAAATATCAATGCATTTTTTTCTTTTTTTTGCTTCTAATAATGTGACAAGGTTTTAAGTTATAAGAGTAATGTGTAATGAAATCAGATCGTACAAATCTTGATACTAAAGACCCTCACAATTACTTGAACATTGAAATATGCGCTGAGATTAAAGTAATGAATGATGATGCATTATAAAATGCTTAATAATTACAATAGAAATAATAATATTTATGCAATAATAAATAATTGTTTTCAGTACGTTTATATATAAACCTATTGAATATATTTTGAATTATAATACTCACAAATAAAAATTCGATTGCTTACACATTAAGACTATGCAAATTGATATTAATATCTGTTAATATGATTAAAACTTTAGCGATAGTTATAATTTTTATCAAGTTATTATAAAAAAAATATCTAATTTTATTTTGTTCAATACGCATTACACTTTACTAAACTATATGTATTACTATATAATCGGTAGAGAAGAACTCAGAAAAACGAGAAATGGTATTATTACAATAAAATAATAAAAAAAAAAAGAAAATATAAGGGGAAGTTGTTTGTGAACGGAGAGCCTAATATGAAAGCGACGGTGCTCATTGTTAAATAACAGCAACGCGAACGGCAGAGGAAACTTTAAACCGAATAAATGAGTGTTGGGGCCCAACGGCGGTGTATATTCCCTGGGAGCTTAAAAAATCCAAGAAGCTGGTGGGGGTTGGTGGAGTAGGGGGTTTGTTACGCGGTAACGGTGATATAAATCTGTCGCTAAATGAGAAACACTCAAAATGCCCTTCTCCGAAGTCACACGCAAAATCTTCGAGTCAGGGTAAAAAAAAAGACATTATACTCTCGGAATATAGTTTTGCAATTTGTCTGATTTCATTAGCATTTCTATATCTGCGAGGGAGTAAAATACACGACGAGCTCCTTCCTCACGTTTGTTATTATACTTACCCGACATCGTTTTATTTAATCATTTAAGCAGTTCTTTGTGAACATTGGACATTTTTTATTATTACATTGTGATTATCACACCATTAATGAAACGAAGCGTTTCACTTAATTTTAAGTACAATCAAAATTTTAATGTATATTTTATATTTTATTTTTAAATAAATACAGTGGCAGTTAATTATTATTATTTAATTATCATTACTAATAACACATAATTAATAACTACAGATATTTTTTGGTCAATATGATGCAACACAAAATAATTTTGATAAACGATTTAATGAATATAACCTTTTCGAAATGTTAAAACATTAATATTCTATGATTTATAACTTGTAAAATAGTAATATTTTAAAACCCAACGTTGTTTTCAACTAGCAAATTTGTAAAAAAATTGATTTTCAAACGTTTTCGTTTATACTATTAACTGTAAATCATTATAACGTCAGTAAATTTCTGTGTTTATATTTACACATTCGACAGTACTGAATATCATTGATATTCAATAGGCGATTTCTACGATGATTTATTTTAAAATACTCTTTTACCCTATTTGTAGGCTTTATTTTGACGTAGGGTTTTTCGGTTTGTCTCTGGAGACCAGAAACAATTTGCCGAATAGCGCCCCATTGGCACTCACTTTAGCTACCGTGACATGTCTCTCTTGATCAGTTCATTTCAGTTCACTGGTCAATACCTATAACATCATATTATATAAAGACATGTCATGCATCCAAAGAACATCTGCGAATGGTTTTTTGAGTGTTATTAAACGATAATTCATACATTTTTTTTTTCAACTTGTTCATAGCATGTAAAAATAGTTTTGATTTAATTTTCTAATCATTTAAAATTAAAAAATAATCTAATACATAACTTATTTTTAAAAACTTTTAATGTAATTGTTGTTATTATTTAAATATTTTTAATACGCTTAGTATGGTTGAATTTGTTACGAAAACATTTTGCAAATAAATTCCACATTCAAAAGAAAAACTTTTTTTCTAAAAAACAAAAGGCATTACTTTTATCATAATAAAAGTAATGCCTTCTCAACTTCGCATCGAAGCTAAAAACGTGATTAATTTATCAGTTACACTATAGTTCAGTATCATTTACAAAATAAAGAAACAAATTGTACACATATAACACATTTATTTTAAAAATTCAAAAAAGTATCATGTTAAACGTAATTGATTCTGAATTCTAAAAGTGTGACATCATATAATTAATTTTGTTTTTATTGTATACGGTAGCTGGTTCGATAAAGGCAACATCAGCTGGTATGGATCAGGGTGGGCGGATAAAACAAATGACTTTTAAAGTTGGTCGGGGGGTAAGCGACTATTCATTTGGTGTCCAGGACGCACCAGATGTGGCACCACGTACTCTTCCCCTCGGGGCCAAAGTTAAGCCTCGGATTTTCCTGGAACGCACGCCCCTTCCTCTTTCCCCTCGGGAATAATCAATCGACGCCCGTCCGTTCTACAGATACCGTCTAGTCGGACGTTACGTTCAAAATAATAAGCCTCGAGGATTTAACGGAATAAATATACACAACTAAAGGTACATAAATTGAAGCGAAAAATGTTTTTTATTTTTCCTTCCGCGTTTGGATTTCAAGCGAGGTTTAAACGTCATCTCTATTTATAGCTAAAACTGATGCATAACACTAAGTATAAGTATTTATTTTAGATGGAAAATATTTCTACAATAGTTTAGTTTGGTATATTTTTTAACCTTTAAACTATCCTAAATATCTTTAAGTTTTTCAGTAATTGAAACCATTTGGATCTTTATGTACATATTGGGTCATCCTAATATTTTTTTGGCAACACAATAAATTGAAATGTATCTCATTATTTAAGCAGTACTTTAATTATTTCAGTAATCGTTTTTTCTTATCTCTCATTGATCAATAATAAAATTTATTAACGGATTGCTGTTAACTTTTTTCACCGAGGCATTTTTTTTAAATTTAGCAATAAAGTAAGTTTTAAGGTGCCATTTCAGGTCAATAGAAAAAAAAGAGTATTATTCATACGAAATACATACTCGAGAGAGATTCCACCACTAAGCTATTGAAAAATAATGACCCATTCAAAATGAATAATAAACATAAGGTACTTTAGACTCTTTTCAAAATAAAATCCAATTTATTTCTAATTCATAGAAAATATTTCAAGCATCTGAAATTTTCAAAATATTAAAACGATGAATTTAATCATTAGTTTGTACATTTTTCATCAGCAGATGCAGATTCGACAGGTTATGGTATAGGAAGAGACCGACCACTATCCCTATGTATGTCGGCCACGTGCGCTGCGCAACAGGTACCAGTGTCTGCCTCCAGGACTCCACCATCATCGGTCACGGCACATTACAATACATCAGTGTCCGGCCCAGGGGGAGGACAACAGACCTCCTCAATGAAAAATAAAACCTTGGGCTTAACATGTGTTGTATGTGGTGATACGTCCAGCGGAAAACACTACGGCATACTGGCGTGTAACGGTTGCAGTGGGTTTTTTAAAAGAAGTGTCCGTCGCAAATTGATTTACAGGTATTTCCGATAACTCTTAAATTGAATAATATATTTAAATCTGCAGAAGCAATATTAAGATTTAACCCTGGAGCATGTACGTAAAATAAATGTTCCGTTCAATTAAAAAACAATTTGCACCTTCACTATAATATTCACTGTAAGGTTGTCTGTCACTTTCGTATTTCCCCTTAATTACAACACTGTATGTTAATAACTTATATACAGGGTGTTCAGTAAGTCAGGAAACGGGTTTCTATTGTTCTCATTGTTTGTAACAATGAGAACAATAGAAACCCGTTTCCTGACTTACTGAACACCCTGTATATATTCTCAATAGAAATATTATATGATTTCATTTATTATTAAAATTACTAAATATATTCGAAATTCATCTTTAAGCTAAAAAACTCAAAATAAAAAAAACTAACATGTTGTATGATACATTTTATAGTATGTTTAGCTATGGACGAAACACAAATTTGTTATATCTTTATCGCACTCTTTCAAGTATTTCTACTACAATTCAGAATTTACAACGGCCCCTATTTTTTGAGTCTATATGTTAGTGGTGTACACACTTTAAACAAATATCTATATTTATCAACGCATTTAGTCTTTGAAATTTCTAATTAACGCGATTTTTATGTCTGTTGATGACATTCCTCTTTTTTATGCAAGTTGACCAATTTTACATAATGATAGAATCAAATCCTCTTTAAATGTCGAAAGAAATATTTTTTTTGGATTATCTTGGCAAAAATTAAATAAAATCACGGTAAATCAGTTTGCCATAACTGTTATTGCATTTATTTACTGGTTTTTAATGTGAATTTTATGAATAAATAATTTAGTAGAGGACCACAATTCCACCCTCTTCCGTTTTTATGTTATTTTTATTTGTCAATAAGGGGTTTCAAAACGGTCATACATGATCTGTCCAACCCAACATTAATTCAACACAATAATTCCATTGACAACGATTAGTACAAGTCCAAATAATTATTATTGTTGTGAACGAGGAAATGTCAATTACATATTTGTTGTACATATTTGCCGATTATGGTTACTATTTAAATACATTTTCTTTTATGTTACGAATAAAATTTGTATAACATTATTTTCACGCCTTTTGTTAAAATTTTTCCAAAAATACTAAATAAAAATTCATCTATAAGTCTACTAAAACTTGAACCCGACATTGATTGAAATTATAGGCAGATAGATATTTATTAAATCGTTGATTTGTAAATTGTTATTTTTTTTTATATTTAATTTTTACAATTTTCCAAAATAGCTAAATTTTAACGAAATCGATCATCTAAATTTCATTTAAGATAAAATATATGACATCACCTCTAAATCTACTCATATAACGTACATTATAAAAATATATTTGACGTGTTAATACAATAAGTATATTAAATATACTCTATAAATTTTATAGAGTTCAATTATAATTGAATAAGAAGTATACAATAATTATTAGGGTTTGTCAACGATGTATTTTGGGATATCGATATTGTACCGAATTTCAGCGATATTATACCGCGATAACAAAAAATATATATACTCATATGAATAATATAAAATAATATATTCACAAATTAAATATTATATTTAAAGTTTACGCCGTTTTTTTTATCTTCAAGAATACCGCTAAGTACATTGCTGTACAAATCAGACTATAGTATACCAACCAAATCCGATAATGATATTAATATCAAAAATAATACAGTTAATTAGCTAAATCTCATAACGATAATCAAATATATTCAAATTACTTTTTACTATAAAGAAATAAGTATTTTTTTCGTTACAAGACTTTATCATTATATATTGGTTACATTCAATACTTATATTAACCTAATCTAAGAATAGAATTTTATATCAATAAATGTCATTATTTGTCATACTTTAATTCTATATTTCATAATATCGATTAATACGAAAAATGTCAACAAATTTGTTACGAACTGTTTTTACCTTAACATAAAATAATATATTTTTTATAACAAAGTACCCAAAATTCAAACATTTTTTTTATAAAAATATTTTTTCGACTATCGCGATATCTCAAATATCATCGATATCGTGGAAAAAAATAAAAAAGTCGGCGATATTGATATCGAATCGAAATATCGATATCGCTAACGAACCCTCATAATTATTATATACTTTTTTTATAGATATTTCCATTGATTTTAGTCAAACATTTGAAGTTTTAATATGTCTACTACTCGTACTATACCTAATTGACACATCGAAATGTAATTAAATCTTTTAACGAATAGATTGATTTGTAGATAAACCAACAGTTGACTAACTACTATTGATCTCTTAATTAGGTAATGTAAAATATTCTAATTATGATGAAAGTAAGAGTTATATTTTATCCTTGTACATTCCAAAAATGTTATATAATAGCTTATTCAAATCAGCTGGTTAATTTCTTTTTTTTACGTATGGATATCATACTATGTAGGATATGATGAGGTGGTGGGTTTCTTATCTCTTATTTGTATATTAAATCCAAAAAGGCTGTATCTTAGAGCTAAAATTGATAACAGAATTTTAGATGTGCAAATGTATGCTATGTGACCCTCAAATGATGCCCCTGAATCAAATATGAACCAAATGTTTACACTAAATTCAATATGCTCCAAAACAACAGACATTATTCGATACTTGTGAATGTATAAGTGCAACTAAGGACAGGGCCGGCACAAAGTATTTCTAAATCATAAATTTCATAGATTTCAAAGATTTCATGTTTTATATTTTTTTATATCCCCTTTTTTTGCACATCTTCTTAAATTTTGAATGAAAACGCCTAAGAATTTAAAAATACCACCTCGGACATTAACCCGATTCGTTTTGAGTAAATTCGTAGTATTTATTGTTGTCTTGAATTATTTTGCAAACCTTTTGGTGTGTATGTACCAAAAAATAAGACTGGATTAAGCAGATTTTGTATGGATGCGATGTCCCATCATTCTTGAGTCGAGTCTTGATAATGAATCCAAATTATGAACAGATAATGTTGGACTTCTTATAATCCCGTTATTATAGAAATTTTACTAGACAAAAAATAGCTAGTAAATAACATGACTCATTAAAATAATTTTTATGGTAAACAATACTACTGCTTTTTATAAATTTAGGGTCATATTATTACTTACGACCCGAATAAATAAATAATTTATATTTAAGGCATGCATTGTAAAACTTAAAGACTTTCAATGGGTTTGTTAAGACGCTTCAATTGCTATATATTTTAATTCTACGATGTATCTTTAGTATAAGGTTGTGATTGAAATTGTATCATTTTCGTTAACGCGGCGGCGAAAGCAAAATATTGCTTTTTCTTTTCTTAAATCCTTGTTTTTTTTTTTCAATTTCGTTTCTCTAATACTCTTGAACGGTTATAAATAAATGTGATCCAGTATACGAAAACAGCAGCAAAAGAGGGTTTGACGTTTTATAACAGTTCTTTGGGATTACATCGGATGAGACAGGAACGTATACGCGGAGAGGGATGAAGGGACAACGACACTATGTATGTGTACGCAGTTTAGAATGCGGTGGCAGAAAGATTCAATTATATTAAATATCTATGTATATATATATAACGAAATACGCGCACTGGCCAAAGCCTTTTCCGTTCTGCTGGTGTTCAATATACCCTCCTTTCATGTGTACCACCAGTCTGATCATCTTCCTCTCTCGTTCTCTCTTTGCTTCTACTCTCACACCCTTTACAAACACACAACACTCGTTCGACCCCAATCGATCGTCCGTTATTTCCTTTCTAACTCGTTGCCGTTGCCACAATGTACTTTTTGATTGGTTTTCGACTTGGGTCTTAAGACGGAATCGTATACGTCACACACAATCATCGCCGGCGCCGCCCTTTGAAGCAGGTGAACTTACTACAACACAGCAAACAGATCAGGTGCGCCACCAACATAACTACGATATTAAATAAATTTCCGTGTATTGCTGTTTAAGAATGGCTTTTCGTTTAATGGTACAAGGAATATTTAAGTTAAGTCAAAATAAATCGTCATTGTATTCCAGCATAATACTATGATCATCTCACCCTTTTAAATTGTAAACAAATATTTTAAAGAATTTAATACAGGATGATTCAATTATCATTTAATTAGTCGAAAAATAAAAATAATATTGAGAATTTTTTATCGGTTTCTTTTAGGTAAATGTTTTTCTCGATTTATCAATCATAAAGTAATTTTTCATATTCATCCCTTATCTCTTATAAGGGTTTCAACTTTACATTTTTAATGGCATACATAATTAACTAAATTATTTAATAAATAATAATATAAGAAGAATAGAAATAAGAATTATAAGAATAGCCGGTCAATAACAAATATTCGTTTCGGTATACCGAAATTTGTTGATATTTTCATAGATAGACGAGAGAAAGAGTGCGCCCAAGAAATGACTAGTAATAAAAATAACAACACTAACGTATCACCTCAAGCGTACAGTATAACATATTAATAACTTCTGAAATTCTAGTCTAAAAGTTGTTATCGACCAGTCATTTTCATAATTACATCATTATTGAGCTAATTAATTATGTACGTTGCCATTAGAAAAATAAAGTTGTAAGTTATAAGTTATAAGAATCAAATATAAAAAATACTTTACTTATTGTTAATATTGTTTTTTTTTTTGGATAAATTAAGTGGTTTATGACAAATTAATCTTTCTGTATATCGAGTTATTCTCAACTTTTTAACAAATGTTAATTTGCAAAATCATCACAGTAATGTATGTCCTATCGTTGTATAATGAAAATAAAGAACAGATATCGTTAATTTTGAAATGCATATTGAATCTAAACGCCCAGACTTTTTGGTTTTCTTATTTGAGTTAACGCGATGCATATTTTTATGTATCTTTTCTAGCATAAATATATTTTAGCTCTTTCTTAAAATTTATCATCTATTATTTAAGATCCTCAAAATTTATTATAATAAATTAAAAATCGTGGAAGTTGCTCGAGAGGCAAATGAATTTCCCTTTCTTAAAAAGAAAATTTACCAATAAAAATACTTTTTTGTGAATGGGATAAGAAGGATGTAAAGGTGTAATGGTCTTAAGACATCATTCCTCCCGTTAAGCCCCTCGGGTACTACCTGTGAAAGTAGTCTAGACACGCCTATGCTCTATAATGATGTTTATAAAACAATAATTTAGTGGTTCCCTCGATAAATTAAAGACCCTGTGAATGAAATCCCTCGTCTACCAAACGTTACACTAACCCCTGCAGTTCGTTATTAGTAGTGCAAATCTGTTTGACCCTATCTTTATAAATATATTACATATAGTCTATAGAGTAGATACAATGGTCAGGAAACGGAATTAAAGTGGATAATACGCACTGTTAACGTGGTCGGTATCGCGTTAACGATAAATTGATTTGTTTAAAAAGACTGAGCCCTCTTCAGAGTCCGAATTTCAATCGACAGGATTAATTTTCCACACCGATCGCACCCTTGGGATATTCGTATCCTTTACAGAAACATGAACCACTATTGTGTCAAAATAAAACTAAATATAATGTCCCACTAAGAATCAAAAGAAATTACGGGAACAACAAAACATTTTTGTAATATGAACAAAAGAAGTGACACAAAATCGATCGATTTAGTCTAACTCTCACAAAAATATGTGAAATGCATGTACATTATTTTATTTTATTTTTATATACATGCAAGTCGTTCATTCGTAAAAAGTGTAGCTTAAATTTTATTTCATTTTTTGTGGTAATATTTTATATATTTTTTAATTTAAAATAAATATTTTAAACATATTTTTAATTTTAAATAACGTGAGCCAAAAATGATCAATTCTTATGTATAAAAAGTATTTTTCTTTTAATTTCAATAGTTTTAATTTAAATATAGGTTACCTTTTCTTTTATTCTCAGAAAGATTGTATTTGTTTTTTAATACTTTGCCCTTACGTTGATCGTATTTATGACTGTGTTGAAAAACATTTCAGAATTCAAATAATTGAAGAAAGTTTATTTTGATAGTTAAGACATTTAGTCTAACATTATTATTAATTGCATAAATCTGAGCTTATCTGATAAATATTTGTAGAGGACTGCATATTATTTTATACCAAGATAAAGTGGGCGTATCTAAGGTGTATATTTGATTCTTGAGGCTGGGAACTCAAAAATCTCCGATGCGCCTGTGCGAGGGTAATTTAGGGCGTAGGCATTTCGTCATTGGTTCAAATATCTTTATTTCTTCTATAGGATTTGACGAAAAATGTTATTATTGACCTCTTGGTTCAATTAAAATAACAGAGGAATGACATAATTAGAATTACTAATTGTATCGATGCATTTTAATATTAATTCGAAACTGCTATTAAATACCTGAAGCTACGAAGTACTCAATATTATTTAATAATTAATCTGAGACATTTTGAATATAAGAAAAAATTTATTCGATTTTATCGAAGTTAAAACTCAAATATTTTACTACGGGTCTGTTAAATTTTTAACGTTTTGTTAAAATTGTCCATATTTTTTCACTTAAAACTTCAAATTGAAAGAAATTTTATAATTATCTCCAGATCTTTTAAGTATATTGATTAATCTGTAGTATAAAATGTATTTTTAACTTTTTATTAGATGCCAAGCGGGTACCGGAAGTTGTGTGGTAGATAAAGCACACAGAAATCAATGTCAGGCATGTAGACTTAAGAAATGTTTAAACATGGGAATGAATAAAGATGGTAAGTTACGATAGATAAGTCAACACATTATCTTAGCAATAATACATTAATGGATCAATTCCTGAGAACGCAATTGTACACATAGTAATGTTGGCGTTCTCAGAATTTACCCGTTTGGCCTTCCTCTGAATACACCACTGATATTTATATTGTCTAAATATATATTTATTAGTATGTTTTTTATTAAAATAAAAATATGTTCACAATGAATTTTCATAAATTATGGAGATTTTGTGGCTTTTGAAATTGAACTTTTGTTAAACTCGTATTTGTTTGTTATTAACCCCTCTATGAGAATCGTGTTAAAAATATCGAAATAAAATATAATCATCATGGGTAGTTTTAGTTATTCGATGATAACCACAAAGAACGCATACAGAGTGTTTGGTAAGTATTGGTGATTTGTTACAAACAATGAAAGCAATAGAAACCCGTTTTCTTTCTTGTGGAACACCCTATATCGTACTGTGATGACTCTAGTGTAGTAATTCAAAATTGACATACTTTGAGTTACTTGTTTATACATGTTTTTGCTAATTGTAAAAATACACATTTTTTCTATAAGGCGGTAGCATATTATGTTGTATCTACAAAATTGAATGTATAATACTAAATAATATTGTTTATAAATAACAAAAAAATGATAAATTTGTCCCATGGATTAGTATATTTTCAGTTACTACACTAGAGTACTCACAGTGTGATATAACAATTGCATTAACAAATATTTTAACAATAGTATAATTGGTGTAGTTTGTACTTTTGCAATGCATTACGAGCTGTGCACCGCATGAGAATAAAAACCACTGGTGGTCAAACAAGCAACGGCACGTGCATGCGGCATCCCTCGTTTATGTGGGATGTTTAATTCAACCCACTACAAGCATAGAGATATGGAAAGTATGGAAAAAAGGCTATTTTCATGCTCATTTAAATAAAAATAATTATCGCTCGAAAGACTACAGAGACGTGATGTATTTAACGCGCATGCACGTGTCATCATTTTGCGAGCATATACCGCAAGACTGTTTGTTTTGTGCAACATTATATCGAATAATCACACCAGCGTTTTTTATTTTTTAATGAGCGATCATCTCCGGTTTGTCTTTTGTTCGCCTATATTATCATTATTATTCGTGCCCATGCTTTGTAATAACCTCAGGGTACCCCTGCTCGTCATGTACGTGCACTGCACGCATTTACATTTGGTGGCTAAAGCAGTGTGTATTATGTACATTGTGTTGTTATACTTTACCTTCAGTGAGTAAACGAAAGTATAAAGTACATGTAGAGAGAAATTACAAAAAAAAAAACCCTGCCGCATATTACTCTGATGTTTTTATGTAAAAGCGTCAAGCGACTGCGTTATTTATTATTATTTTTTGTCGTATATTTAACTCGTGTGAATAATTCTGGAGGCGGTTATCATTAAAAACTTCACGCTCAACAAGCATTACTGTCAAAATTTTAACGAAACAAAATCAAAGGAATTCTCAAAAAGCCTCGCGCCGTGTCGTCCCGATATGTAAATCGTATGTTTCACTTATCGATTAGATCTTTAAAATATTTTTTTAGCTATTACATTCTTTCAGCCCAACCGCTTAAATCTTTACTCTAAACAAATTACGAAGAAAATATGTGTTTGACAATAATATAAAACATGATTTTATGATGCTATGGAACTGTTTAAGTATTTTTCTGATAATTGTATTGGTTTATACGTTTCAGCTGTTCAAAACGAACGTCAACCCAGAAATACGGCAACCATTCGGCCAGAAAATTTAGCTGATATGGACCACGAACGAGTAATCCGAGAAGCTGCAGTAGCTGTAGGAGTTTTCGGGTAAGTGAAATATTTTACTCGATGGGACATAACTCCAATTGAAAAATAAAATAGTCAATAACAATAAATTGACAAGAATTATGGTCTCATTTGCATTTTATTGACGTTATCGATTTTGACCTATAAAACACTAACACAAAACGTTATGTGTCTTTTAATAACAAATACCATAAATAAAATTAACACTCCTTTCATGATTGATTACCTATCAAATAGAAGTGTTCAACTAGGATTATTGAAAGTCCATTTAAAATGTATTTGTTTTTTAGTAGGCGTTTAAAATATCACTCCCCATAAATTAACAATAGCACCATAGTAATATGCAATTTAATTCTACAAAATGAAAAGGGTCACTAGCTACTTCTATCGCCGTTAATGCTATTTTTTTCAACTAGTTTTTTATACATTAAAGTATACATTACAGTTTTAAAATATTCGGTAAAATTTTATTCACTGTATCGACTAAAAATATCCTGCATTTTCCTTGGGTAATTGAACAATAAGAGTTGTAAAGATTCAATTTGTAAAATTAAAAATGATAATTTAAATACTCAATTATCTCAGAATATTAATTAGTTATATAGTTAATGTATACAATTGGAACATATCTATATTTTTACTATTTTGTCTAGTTAGCAGTATCAATGTTTGGACTGCGACTGTCGACAAAAATATTTACTCAAGTGTACTCTATGCATTTTTTTACATACTAATTTTTTTGTTGAAGTTTTAAACAATGATATTAAAGTATAATATATCATGTAAAAACACAATGTAATGTTTGTGAATTGTCACAAATTCACAAATCGTGGGATTCACGGATGATTGCAGTCAACGGTTGCACTACAACACAAGTGGACATTTTTGTTAAGTATCAGTATTGACAACGTGCGAAATATTGCACCAGTAGTGGCAACTTACCGTTGATTAACCCGTATCGACTTAGAACCGGTTAACATCTTGTCTAAGTACTGATTCTTAATTGGCGGTCAGTACCAAGCTGCCATTTCTGATAGAGTACTTGTGTAAAACTGATTATTCAAAATCGTTATCATCCCAGTTATATGTCAGTATTGGTCCAATCGAGAGGCAAAAAACCTCTCGACATACTATGCAAAATATATTTGTTATTCAAATTAAGTAGTATACTCCAATTTCCATAGACCTAACCGTTACACTTGTGTTATTAAAAATGTTAAATTGTATTTTCTAAAGATACACAAAATTAAATAAAGAATATTAAACTAAAAAAATGAAGAAGTTTGACGACGAATAAAATTTAGTTACTAGTAATAATTAAAACATTAATAATAAAAAACATTAATTTAAATTATTTGACCTAAAAAGTAATAACAAACTCGAACAAAAAAATCTACTAACACTACTACTTTTAACAGTGTTTGAATGTATATAATAAAATTGATCACTTGTGGCTAATTAATTAAATTAAATTTAAAATATATTAAAATTATTATTAATTTAAAAACTAAAAAATATTAAACTCAAAAATGTTAGTATGTGTTTAACGTTGATAATGGTAACATTGTTTCCGAAATACATATTCGCGGTTTTTCAGTCATTTTTGTGGCTTTTTGAGTTTAATATTTTTTAGTTTGTAAATTAATAATATTTTTAATATAGTTTTAATTTTATTTATAAGTATTTGAATGGGTTCGGTACTTTTTTTATTAGGATAAATTTTTTTTCTCATTAATAGCAATTTGAAACATTTTATGGTCGATTATTTAGTACATTGATATACTTATTTGAAGGGGAGCAAATAGTTACCCTGACACCCTTCATATGACGCCTTGCTTGTCATACATTTCTAGGTATGCTATTGTATGAAAATACTAGTAAGCGTTTTAATCCTAGCCAAATTACACAAACTGCATATTTCATCAAACCCTATGCAAAATTACAAATTATGTGCTCGCCATATGGGTTGGTTTTTGCCCTATTATTCATTGCAGTCGAATAACACTTGAGGATTAACCATCAAAGAAGTTCCCCACTTGTGGCCGCGATGACCCTAAAAATTACACCGGCAACCCTTATAATGTTAATTTGATGACCTCGATTATATTCATTCGATTTACATTATTTTGTAATTCAATTTACATGTATGACTTGCTGTACAGCTGTATACATTTATTGTTACATTTGATTCATATTTTAATAAATAAATACACTTCCAATAATTTGACTAAACATAATGTTTATTATAAAGTTTTTTTACTAAAAAAATTAAGGTTATTTATTTTATATAATAATAATTACTATAGTTACAAAAAAATTTCAACAGGCCATGTCTTTACAGACCCCCAGTTTCTGTTGCATTAGCATTATCACCATTGAGGTATCATCCGAACGGACCGATGGGGCCACCAAATGTTCAAAGACAGGCAGAACCATCGCCAACCGAATCCTCGTCACCCAAACCAGAATTTCAAGATCAAGATGATGGTAAATAAAATGTAGACAATTATTTTTTATGAAATTATTGAGTTCGATTTTCCTTAATTGGTTTCAGACGATAGTATTGACGTAACCAACGAAGAACCGGACACGTCAGAAAACAAAAGAATGTCACCAACAATACCGATTCCCATAACTCAACACCATTCCATATACGACCACCATACGGCATTTTACCCAGGTCTTCACGAAAACGTTTATGAAACCTCCGCTCGATTGTTATTTATGGCTGTGAAATGGGCAAAAAATTTACCATCGTTTGCGTCTCTGCCATTCAGAGATCAGGTAAAAATTAATAAGAAATTTTACTAGAAAAATATACAGAGTTCAAAAAGTAACAAAACAGGTTAATCGTTACAAACAATGAAAATAATAGAAACATTTTTCCTTTCGTACAGAACACTAAATATTTTTTTAATATTAAATTTAATCAATAAAAATTGATCGCTGGTGGCTAATATTATTTAAAATTAAAAATATTAATTTAATAGCAAAAACCTAAACACTCTGTATACTAAATACTTAATTATGATCGGGCATGAAAATGAGCCTATAAAAGGAAATGTTAAAAATAAAATAAAAACATTTACTTTCAGGTAATTCTTCTAGAAGAATGTTGGTCTGAACTATTTCTATTGAACGCAGTACAGTGGTGTTTACCGTTAGAAAATAATCCATTATTTAATCCATCAGATCACGTAGCAGCTATTCCCAATGGCAAAGCAAGCCAAGTTGCTGCAGACATTCGTATACTGAATGAAACTTTGCGAAGATTTCGAACCATTAGCGTAGATCCAGCAGAGTTCGCATGTATGAAGGCAATTGTATTATTTAGAGCAGGTGTGTTCAAAAAACTATAATGGTATAAAATTCTACGTGAAAAGTATTTCATTAGTTAATTTTCTTTATAGATACACGAGGATTAAAGGATCCTATTCAAGTAGAAAATTTACAAGACCAAGCACATGTTATGTTGGGCCAACACACCAGGAATCAACACCCAGTACAACCAGTGAGATTTGGCCGCCTATTATTAATGTTACCACTTCTTAAAACTGTACCAGCAGCACGCATTGAAGCAATCTTCTTTCAGAGAACAATTGGCAATATTCCAATGGAAAAAGTTTTATGCGATATGTACAAAAATTAATTATTTTTTTATAATCTCGAAAAATTTGCTTAAAATTGATACTAGATCAACTTTACCGGCAACTGTTTTGTTTTTATTTATTTCAAGCTTAAATTTTTTACCTATGAATACTTGATATTACCACTAGAGTGTTATAATTAAACTTAAGTTATTCTTCATTTACTAAAAAATTATTATACAACATATCATGTATAATATTTTTCTAATTGTACTATTCTGTAAATAAGCATTTTTAACAAGAAAATATTAATTTAAGTTTAAACTTAAAATACATTGTGTTGTGCTTTTAATGATTAAATAAATAATTTTTCAATATTAGATTAATTACTACATCAAAATCCCAAAATAAGACACTATAATACAATACAATATTTGACTATTATATTTATAAAACATCAACTAGTTTATATATTTTGAAAAAAAAAATTGAACTCTGAACTTGTCTTTGTAGAGAAAACAGATATCAAAGATAAAGGAAAAAGTACAATTTTTGTGTAAAAATTAGAAAATCCAAAAAATTTTAATCAAGTGTTATACAAAAATTGACTTGAAATCGGTTTGAAGAAATTAGTGTAAACTGCATTGTCGTATTAAGAAATGAGGGTTTAGGACAAATCCCCTTTAATTTTTTATTCGAAAAATTTATTTGACTTTAAAAATGATTAAAAAAAAAAAAATTTTGTTTAATTTTGTATGTTTTTCAAAGTTGTAAAAAAAGGTTGGGGCCCCTTAAAAGGTTACTTAGCCAATATAGACAATTTAAATCATTTGTTTCTTATGTTTTGAATGTTATAAATAATGAGTGCAATATTTTGTTTCAAAATGTTTAAATATTTTATTTAATCTATTTTTTTGGTCCTTTCAAGTTGATTTTTATAAAACTTTAAAATTTAAAAGTAATGAACTTTAAACATTTTTTTTAATTAGACTTGCAAGTTTGGAATTGATATAATAAAATTTTTAATTTTATGAGAATTTAAAAACTTGTATTACTATGATTGATATGTGGTCAGGAACTTCTATAATAACTATTAATATAACTATAATAAAATAACTTGGCCACTTATACAAAAACCTGTCTCGTAATAGTTACAAGAATGATAGTATAATATAATGCATTTATAATAAAATTTGACCCGTAATTTTAACTGAATGAGAAATAAGAATGAAATTAAATAATGAAAATAAATAAATAATTTTTTTAAAAAAGTTGACTTTAACCTTTAGCTTTTTAGAAATTTATGTATAAAATCAAATAATTACATTGTTAAAAAAAAACAAGTACAATATTTTTACAACAAATTTTTCTTAATTATTATAAAAATAATTAGCTATACTTGAGCCATCATATCTTAATATTATACAATTTTGTAAATTCTTTACACTTTAATTATTTATTATACAATTGAATAAACTGACAGGTGAAAGCTCATACTTCAATGATTCATTTATTTCAATGAATATCCAATTTTTGTTTTTTAGGTAGAGAGCCAAACGCTGATATAACTGTTCCTTTTGTACCAGTGGCTGATGTTGTTAAATCCCATTTACTTTTTTTATCATCAGCTTTATGGGTAGTTGTAACTATGTTGTTTGTTTTCTTGGTGCCAGATACTACTTCAACCTAAAATTATTATGAATTAATTAATTATAACAATTAATAATAATTTCACTCATCATAAGTTAAATAGGATAATCATTATTAAAAAGAGAGTGTTAATGTAAATACCTCAAAATAGTAACACATAATTAATGTTAATTATTAAATCATTCAAAAGGTAGGAAAATTAAATATCTTTAAAATATATAAAATTATCCTATATTTTTATAATAAATAATAAAAATTAATATAGAACTACATCTATTTTTATTTCATTAATCCAAATATAAATACAATAGATTCCTACTAAATTTCAGAAAGGGTGTAATAAAGAAATTATTGAAGTTTTAAATGTGTTGTAAATCTGTACCACTTAATGTTGATTGATAAAACAATGTGTTAGCTCATGACTATAGCAAAATTCTTCATTGGAAATTTTATAACATATATCAATATAATATTTTACAATGCTATTTTTAAATGTAACTTTCCAATAATGATGGATCGAGTACTAGCTATTTGTTACTTTGACAATGTTTTCCTAATCATATGAATTGCAAATTTTTATTCTGGGATTATGTACAAAAGTATATTTATATATTACCACAGAATATGACAAAATTAAATCAAAGAACGATGTATCATTCTAAACTATTACTTTTGAAAATATGCATCGTAAATTGAAGGTATTAGAATATCGATTAGATATTCTACAAGTACTATCATACAAGATATATAGAAAAAATTTAGATATCATGAAAAATATACTCCTTAGATTAGTAGCTACAAAATAAAGAACTATAATATTCATTTTGTTTTACCCTGTATTTTAAAAATAAACTAATTTTACTTTAAAACTAATCTTGATAATAGTTCTTTTTAATTTATATAAAAATAATTACTAACTTTTGTTTTTTCTTTTCTCTCTTTTTGTCTTTTTTCCATATCTTCTTTTTGAAGTCGTCCTAATTCTTCATAAAATGATTCTTTGCCCCATCTCAAAGGATCATAAAGATGAGGTGGATAATTAGTTCCTAATTCATTTATGTTACAAAATTGTAAAAGTTTTTCATAAATACTAGGGTTTCGAAAATCTTTTCTCTTTTGTATTAAGTAGTTCATGTCCATGCCATCTTTCTCCATTTTTTCATGCAATCGAGCAATTTTTTCTTGTAGTTCTTTAGAACATCTACCTTTAGGTTCAAAGGGTAAAATATCTTCTTCGTCAACAATTGTTCGTTGATCAATATCTTCATCTGACATAACAATATCATGGTCTTCGAAGTATGATACTAGGTTTGTTTTTTTGTCGTCATCTGGATTGGTCACAGCTGGCGCAGAGTTAGGAATTTGTAATTTAGGACTAGGTAACTTTTCATCAGAGATCGGATTTGCATTTGATATTTCTTCGCTATGTCTTCGTTGACTAGGTGTTGAAGCTTCGTCTTCCGAGTCAGTATAATTAGCAGTTAAGGATGCTAATGCCGACATAGTATACTTTAGGGAAACACTGAATAATAGTTTATTTTTCACAACTAGTAAATATTTTGCATGTACATAATCACAAGTCAGAATTCTGATTAACAGATTACTTATCAAATTGATAAAACGAATTACCTTCTTGTATTATATTGCTACCACTTATACCACCGACATAGGTTATTCCTCACCAGGTTGTAAGGCGAGGTTTATAGATAATAAACCTTACATTTATAGATAATTGCATAAACATTATAAATTATTAATTATCTATGGATATTTATTACCAAAGACTTAAGATACAAAAATGGCCACGGCGTACACAATTTTGGCAGTTCCATTTTTATCATGAATGGACGCAGAAAAACAATATGCTAATCATAAATGATTATGTTGATAGATAGCGTAAATTTTGAGCTTTCTTATTGGTTGAACTATACGCGGTATTAAAAATTTTTAATAATCTTCAAATTAATGTATATACATTGTTAAACAGCAATTAGCTACTCAAATTTTCGAGTAGTCATTTACTCATAGAAGATAAGTATTTGGGACTAATTTTTTCCCTAACTTATAGTACGTAGCATAAGCTTTAATTTAACTTATGCTTAAAGAACGAAGTATTTTCTAAACATATTCAAAACTTAAATTGAAAAAGTTAACTTTTATTTTTGAATCCCCAGTAGGCAGGTTAAGGGTAAGATTTTCAAAAAATATATGCGTACAGAAAATAAATTAATTAAAGCATAAATAAAAAAAAATTTTTTTGATTCATTCATTTTTAAAAAAGTTTTAAGTAAAAAAAGTTAATAAATATTAATAAAACAGAAAACAAATCATCTTTCATTGAATTCATATGTAAAACAAAATAAAATGTCTCATTTAAATCAAATAATAAGCAATTAACTTTTAATAACAACGGGTTCTAGCATTAGAGCTAGCAGGTGTCAGTCATGCATGGATAATCGCCACTATTATTTTAATATCAAGAAGCTGACAGTTATTGATAAATATTTAATATTTATCATGAGAGTAAATAGCGCTTTCCTTTCAGATATAAATGAACAAATATCGGTTGCTAATAGTAAGCTTGCTGTGGCTTATCTGTGTGTATAAATCTATGTTATAATCCAATGAATCAATTCAGTAAATCGCTAATTTAAACAAATTTAAAACCAGATCGTTCATATATATATATATATATATATATATCCATATATAATTTACGTGAACCGTGTATTGTTTTCAATTAAACGATCGGTACTATTTGCAAGTTACATACCGTGACTTTTATAATTTTATCAGTAAACTATTTATTTTTATTTTATTTATCATTTTCCAGGGAACAAATTGTTTTTAAATAAATATAAATATATATATATATATATATATATGTCACATTGTGAAAGACCCATAGAGTCCACCAAGTGACAATTGTTTTTTTTTTCAATTTAAAAAATTAGCTATTAAAAAAAATTTATACGCTCATATGTTCAGTATCTTCTCCAAAATCATAATATATAGTTAATTTTATGTTAAAATTTATAAATTTTCATTCCAAATACTTCATTTAACGTTCACTCTATAAGTTCTCAGTTTTGTCTCAGAACGAGGGACGAAGGGTTCTAACAAAAATTTTTAATTTTTCAAATTATAGATTTTCATTTTTTGTAATAAATTATTGAAAACTTTTGATATTTTGATTGTATTGGGTAACTTAAGAAACCTTATCTGGTTTCTTAAGGTAAAATGTGTGTATGTCTATAGAAATGCATTCATTTTAAGAAGCTATAGAAATTTTACTTTAAAATTTATTTAAAACCTGTTTTAAATAGTTATTAACCGAATCTGAAATATCAATTAAGTGACAAACAAAAACCTCTATGTTTAATAATGTCGGTTTCAGAACAGACATTATTTAAAAAAATAAAAGCCTCCCGTCATCCAAAAAATCATTTCGGTACCTAGCCCTACACTTCATTTTATTCTAATCGTATTTTTGTTAACATAAAATAATATTAAACTTTTTTTATATCAAACTAATTATTTTAGCAAACTGCAAATGGAATGAAACATTGTATAGATGTTTAAATATTAAAGAAATGAGATTTTCACGTTAAGTCAATGTATGAGCAATATGACAACGGCCTGTAAAACGGGACCATTTGCCAAAGAACATTTTTCTAAATGGACCCCACCCCTCTCTGCCACAATTAATGTTTGAAATGCCGCACGAGAATAGCTTGCCATTGACGTCCTTTTTGACGAGTGGCGGTAGGGTTGGGTTCGGAAGCTAATTCAATGGGGTGGACGGCAAACTTGCTCACCGTCTCAGCATCCGATAATCATAAAATTTGACTCGCACATGCGCCTTTGCGCCTCTTGAGTCAATAACATAGAAAACCCCGTAATCTCTTATTTCCCTGTAGCTGTCGCATTTTGTTCAGATAAAAGTTAACCTCTGCTAAGCCCATAGATACTCCAACGGTAAATGAATTTTGAGTCATCAGCAAGTCCAGTATTTAAGTTAAACGGTTGGATGAATGTTGTCAAGGGCGGAGAGTGACAATGATAGAGTTAGCAGATTCCGAGTAGACAAATTATATCAATAGCGGTAAGCAAAAGCACAAGTCTTAACATATCACTTTATTGAACTACCCATATAAATGACTTACAATATTGTCTGTTTGGCCTGGTCACTAATTATACACGTGTTATCAAAGGCAGTATGGCAATACAGACGCCTATATCATTACCCCTCTCAACACACCTCGATTTACTATAATTGCAAACGACCATTGGTGTGCGTGTACCGAATACGCGACTCACGTTTTTCCGAATCAATAGCGTTATCACTAAATTTACACATTCTAATCTATCAAATTATTAATTGTAGTAAACAAATCTAGTTAATAAATGAATAATCTATGAAGTTTGCCTTTTTTAAGCTCTAAGATTTTATGTTCGTATGTTGTAGGTATCAATCGTGTACATCGATTTTGATTTGATGTCTGAACAAAATATTTTTTCATCATTTTTAAGGTAAGTTAATATATTTTGATAATCTGTTCAATTAGTACTGAAATTATTATTGCGTTCAAAATTTATTATTCACTTTTTCTTTTGAAGAATTTAATTGATAATCTTTTTTTTATTGAAGTTGTTATTTTGAAAATTACTATTTTATCTTAACATATATATTAAACATTCATAATCATGTTATATACACTAATTATATTTTCTTATCATAATCGAGAAACAGTATTATTAAAAATAGAACATAAAACTAAATAGTTGTATAAGTTCCTTTTTTTAAACTTACATTAATATTTTATGATCTAATCAACAAAATATTATCTAGCTTAAAGATTTATGTATAATGTAGTATAACCAAAATATACTTATTATTTTTTTTATCTATTTCCCATGAAAATCAAATTAATACAATTGGAAATAACATTTAATATTTATAAGAAATACTAAATATTTATTTTCTTAGTTTCGTCATAGCATAACATATACTAGTTTATTACACATAAATTTCTTGAAATGTTATTTATTTACTTCAGTTTGAATTAATCAGCCTTTAACACAAATTTACCAAGTAACCAAGTTATCGCAGGTGTTTATAAATATTTTAGGATTTCGCAATGTCTGGTTTTGACTTTTTTTTTTATCTAACATAATTTATGGTATAAGTTTTAGACATTTATTTTTCAATTAATATTGTATTTTGGTTCTAGACTCAGTATTTAAATGATGTGTATTTTTTTTAAAAATATTCAACAAATTTAATTTACTACAACTTATAAATATTTAATGGTTTTGAATGTGTATTCAGTATTTACCATGGTAAATTTATAATACATAAAAGATTTATTTTTAAATAGCTTTCTAAACATGACCAAAACTAATATATAGCTATTGTCAACTTATTATATACTAGTTTTCATACTCAAACAATAGTGTACCTTGATGTTACAAAGCTATCAAACAATAGAAATTTTCAACTGTGACTTATTTAAATTTAAAATTTTTTTTTTAATACAATGTCTAAATGTATAATCTTAATCATTTTAGTTTTACATATTCATTTTTGCTTAAAAATAAACCTTATACATTTTAGTTTATCATAATTAAAGCCTAGAATTATATAAATTTATAAATTTTGTTTAAGCTATTTTGAAGAGTCTCAAAATTGTACACCTTTGTCATAGAATTGTGTAAGATTATAGAAATATTTTTTGTTTTAAGGGGATTAACCCCTCTAACTATAACCTCGATAACAACATATTACTAAGTTTCAAGTTAGTTACTAAAAATTTGAACTGGATGATTGTATGTCCAGAATAACCTAACAAAAATGTTTAAATGCATATAATCTGGGATCTTAACATAATTATCATTATATAAATAAGACTATATAATAAAATGTTTACAGAAATGTTATTAAGTTTTATACTGTAAAAATTGTATTATATATATTATTATCTAATTGGTTTGGTTGATGAAATAAATAATAGTAGTCTGTTATTACTTATTGAACATAATAATCAATATCAATCTTGTATATATTAAGTTTAAAAAGTGAAATATTCTATAAAATTTTATTTTTGTATGTTTGATAAAAAAAATATGATTATTCACTGAAATATTTGTGTAAAATTCTATAAAAAAAAAAAAAATGGGTGTATTCATGTAAGAAAATTGATCTTCTGAGCCTATGTTAGTTTTTAGTTGCTATGACTACCGTGTAATAACCATTGGCTAAATTGTGTGAAAGTAAAATAGTTCATAATAGTTTCATACTTCATATTTTAAATTAAAAAGTAAATAAATGGTATGTTTTTCTATCTATATATTTTATCTTTAGATTGGGTTCTATTATTATTATTATTATTATTTTTCTTATATAATTGATTAAATTTTTATTCTATAGTTTTTTTTAAATATGTTATTTCATGATGCCAAAGTTAAATAATATAGACATTTTTTGGTTGTGATGGTAAAATTTTCTACCAACAATAGATTGATAATTAATATGCACCATGGAATTATTTTTTTCAGATTTCAAAAGCGGTGGGATCCGTACTTTAAAGAGCTATGATTGGCTTGAAACTAGATAATGATGACTTATCAAAGCTTTTCCCTAAATGTCGCCCTTCTACTGTACATTCTACAGATTTAAATTTGAACCCTCTGTGTGATAACTTAGATCATGATATGGATCTGACACAATCAAATGACCATCAAAGAACCAGGTATTTTCTAATCAATGGATATTAGTAGTTCCAATGTTAAAATAATAAGAATTAAAAAAAAAGTTTTTTTTGGATTTTTGTTTTTTCTAGATTAAATATTAATCATATATTTTATAAAATACTAATTTTTTTTAAAAGTTTATTATCACTACATATAAGAAAAGTGTTTCTATTTCAATAATATAATATAATTATATTATATATATATATATAATCACCATTGTTAAAATTAAATTATAATAATGTTTTTTAATACAATTGATCACAATGTTGTCTTATTGCGTGTTTTATTTACAGATGTGATAATGTACATGGAAATAATACAAGAAAACGCAGTTTACGTGGAATAAGAAAATTTCGAACACGTAGAAGAAGTGACAGTGATATAAGTCAAGATTCATCTTTAGATACTAGTATTGAAGATGATGAAGGAGAAATAAATGAAAATTTACTTGAAGATGAGGTTAATGAGTCTGATTTAAAAAATATCTGTAATGAATCCAGTATTTTAAATTCTAGTAATCAATCTAGAAATGGAAGTAAAAGTAATACTGCTACGCAACAATCTATGTATAAACTAAGAGATTCTAGGTATTTAATATTCTTTTAAGCATAAATTATTACTATTTTGAATTATAACTTAAACTATTCTTATATATAGAATTATAGAAATTGCTGGAGGTAGAGAAGTTTATAGCCAAAGTCGAAGTAAAGCTGGTCGGAAAACACGTCAATTACCTGTTAATACTGATGTAGATTGGGTAAAATCTCCAGGTCGCGTATGGGAACTTCGAAACAGGTAAATACTAAATTAAATAGAATAATTATAAGCCTTTAAATGAATTAATTAAATTTTCAAACAATAATTATAATATAAATATTGAATTTTAAGAGGGTCAGATATTTCTAAAGAAACATCCAGAGATATAAATGATTCAGTCTTTCAAAATGATATAAAAGCACCTAAACATCAGCGACAATTACCATTAGGTAATAATTTTTAAGTTGTAATTATCTTTTTGGTTTTTAAAATTTTATTTTACTAATTAGAATATTAAGCATAATTTATTTAATAATTAGATGAACCAGATTTATTTGACAACATACCAAATGAAGTATGGGATAAAGTTCAACATGATACTTCAATAGGCCATTATGGACTACATCATCATAAAAATTCATATCAAAATGTTGATGCTTATCAACCACGTTTAAATTTAAAAGTATTAAATTCAATTTTTCAATTAAATTTATAATATAAATCTAGTTTACCGAGCACACTTTATCCTTTTTTTTATAATTAATTTTTTATTGTAGATTAATAATATGTAAAAATTTTCTAGCAGGAGCAAATGGTTAAAAAGTGTTTTAAAATTATTGCATATTTTTTTTGTAAATGATGTAATTAAGAAATTAACTGGTTGATAAAATTATTTGGACCAATATTTCAAAAGTTATTAATAATTTAATTTCAAGTATAATTTAATTTTTGTTTTTATTATTTTTCTTTTTCCTCTTTGTCACTTAAATCTATCTCAATGTTTTTTTATATTGTGTAACATGCCAACATTTAAAAAAATTCTGTGGTAGGATCTACTGTTTGCTGTTTTCATTTTTTTAAAAACATATATTATATATAAACATAGATAACCACCATAGAATTCTTATTTACTCTGTTATCTTATGGTAGGATACCTTGACATGATACCATGATACCCGATCTAGCCGTATTTTTTATTTAAATGTGAATTTGAATTGAAATTTAATGCTTTCATTTAATACATCATAAACCAAAAAATTTTTAAAAAGTTAGTGAGTAATTTTTTTATTGGTGACAGTTTATCCTTAAAGCTGGGGTCTCCATATCCTTATTAGATTTATGGCTGAACAGTTTGGGGATCTCACCAGTCTTATTGAGAATAGGATTCAGATAATTGAATCAATGGACATAGATAAATTAACTTTATATTAATATTTAATAATTTTATTCTATTTGGGTGTAATTTTTTGATTTGCTAACTTGGCAATTTTAAGATGTAACTTTTAAACGATTTGTTTTCATTAAATTTTTCAAATAGTTTTGAAATAGCATATAAAAATAAACGTTAAAAAAAATACCTGAAAACAAGATTTGTTCCAAATTGTTTTCATTTTGTGATAACTATCTTATTTTTTTAAGGCTAATCAAAATGGTGATTTAAATTTGCTGATCAATAGTAATAGAACTGAAATATCTAGTACAGATAATACTGATGGAAAATTAAGTACACAGTATGAAGTACAAAATAACAGTTTCAATGGAACTCCTAAACATTATATAGAGGAAGAACATTCAATGCCATCTTTATTATCATCTCCTACACTTTATGTTCCCCGGCCTGGATTTCCTCAGGTATTAAATTTTTGGAAAAAATAAATTATTTTTTATTAAAATATGATTTTTATAAATAGAGAGTAATTCAAGATAATTCAAGGTCTTCTAGTCCATCACCAACAATGAATTTTGATTATCTATATGAATTTTCTGAGACTAGAAAAGTTTTAGAGGAATTTTTTAAGTCGTCTGCTACTGAAAATCAAAATTCTCAACAATTACAGTTTCAAGTAATTTATTTGAATTCAAATTCTATTTTCTCCTATTAATTGTCTATGTTTATTTGTTAATGTATAATTTTAAATCTATATTATTATGATTATATTAAGTTAAAGTAATATTATTTCATAGGATTTGGAATATGAGTTAAGAAGAAGAATACCAGCTTCAGAACAAAGTAGTACACATGAAAATATGCTTCTTTCTAATGAAGATTTACATCAAAGTTCTCAGTTATCTCCTCTTAAACAGGGTTCATTAGAAGAATCTCGCTGCTTAGCTGGTGCACATCAAGTATGTGTATAATTTAATCAATAATTATTTTTACTCAAATATTAAATACTATAATTGTTTATAGCAAAAAATAATGTACACTCTATGTAATATAGTTTATCTATAACCTATTAGCTAATCTGGGCTAATCTGGATGTTTTCCTCTTTATTTCCTATAGATTAAATTTTTGTTTAAATTTAGAATTTCAGTTTTATGATGCTTATAAAATTAATCTCTTAAAAATATTTTATGTATAGTGAATTATTCATATTTGATAAAAAAAAAAGCACTGTTGGTATTAAAAAAATATGTTGTGTAATTAATTTTGTCAAGATTAACTAAAGATTTATGTAACATTAATATTAGATTCAAATGTTTTCAAGTCTAAGGGATTAAATATTTGTACCTTAATTATTAAATAAATCAAGTATCATTCACTTTAAAAATTCATATTTTATTAAAAACTACTTTTGATTATTATTTTTGATAGAATTCTGCAGTTAAGTATCCAAGGTGAGCAAAAGGGGCTATTGTCTCTCCATTGGTCAATTATTGTTATAAATGTTGTATTATCTTGAAGCTAGTATTAGTTTATGATAAGGTGAAAAAATGGTCTTTAAAACCTCCCTCGCCCAAGTTAAATTTCTGGTAACACCCCTAGAATTATATGCTATTCTTAATCAAAAATTTCAAATTTAGTTTAAAAACCTTGTACATTCAGGAACTAGCATTAAGGAAATTGCTTCATTGAAAATTAAAAATAATTTGATTATCATTACCATTTTTGCTGTTTTAAATTTTAGAACAAATTAATTTTTACATAGTGTTGTTAGTCATTTTTTAAGGGAAATGGCTCTCGGATTGCTCTCAGTATGTCTATGGTATAAACTAGTGATGGGCATTTTCGAATATTTTAAACTATCGAATAACTATTTGAATTGTTTTTATACAACCGAATAGTTTATTTTTAACATAAACTATTCAAATAGACTATTGAACAGATTTTAAAATTATTTGAATATATTGTGTAACTATAGAATATTTTTACTATTTGAATAGTTTTTTAATGACTATCAAATAGTTTGAATAGTGGACAACTATCTAATAGTTCAATATTTTCGATCACTATTATAAACACTAATTTATGAATTATTTTTTTAAAGTAATTTTTACAATTTAGACTACATTTTTTTTGTGATATATTTTGATTGTTTAATAACTAGTTTTTTATATTCATTTTTGAAATAATAGACTTAAAAGATTGAAAAAAGGTTATAAGTGGAAAAGAGTTTAGCAACTCTCTAATTTTACCATAATATACAAATAAGAATTATTCTATGTTATTATTATTATTATTATTGTTCAAACCTCTCGCCAATAACTAAAAATTATATTAACTTAAAAAGTTGAATTCAAAACTGCTTATTAACAAGTCAAAGTTTTATTTAACTCATAACCCATTAAATAGTAAAAAAATAATTATAGGTTCCTAATTAACTTTCCAAAGTTACTTCTTGCCCCCTGTGGGCAGGTAAAGGGTCAGTTTTAAAAAAATATATACCAAATAATAGGTAAACACATCATGCATCTATAAATTATAATGTTACCTAAAATTAAAAACAGATGTTTTGGATATTAATGACCTTGTTAATAAATGGTGGACACTATAGCACCATAGAATAAAATTTTCAAGAAATAATTTTTAATAAAAAATAATAAGAAATTTTGATAAAATTAATTTGACACAATTTTTATGATGTATAGTTTTTTAGTTTAATGACAATTAATAATAATTATTAAAATATAATTGCTATTCCTGTTAGAAAAATGAATATTTTCAGCACATTTATAGACTATATCACAGATTATTTTTATGATTTTTCCTAAAGTACTTGTCCTAAAATTTTTATTGACCCATTAAATTTTTTTTGCAAAGAAAAGTGCAAAAAAAAAATATTTTAAAATATTTTAAAAATGAGAATAACACCCAAAAGATGATATCAACCAGTCATTTTCTTAATTAGATAATTTTCTATTATATAAGTATATAGTTGACATACCTATAAGTTATAAAGGATATTTCTAAAAAGTAATTAATAACTAATACTTTTAAGAAAATAAGCAACATAAAAAACATTAAAAAATTTTGTTGAATATTGTATTTATTTTGAGAGTAATTAAGTAGTTTATGATAAACCAATCATTGTGTATATAAGAAGGAGAGGCTAATTTTTATTCCCCATAAATATGTCTGTACTATAAAGTTTATAGTAAAGGTACTAACTATACTAAACTGTGCTATTGGAGCTAAAACTATGTATACTTACCTTTTCATTTTATTAATTTATTAATCACATAATTAATTACATAAGTACATTTTTATTACATGTAAAATTTATAATATTAATAAATGATTTTTTCATAATATTACAGAATTATATTGGAAGATTTAGTCGTAATGTAACTTTGTCTCCTGAAATAACTGATTGTGAAGACATTGGAATAGGAAGTGATGGTGAATCATCATCTTTAGTGGATAGTCAACATATGATCCCTTTGAGTGGAGTGTCATCAATTACTATGCCTGTTTTAGAAGATGGACTATCTAGTGGACACACTAGTGATACAGACAACAATAATCCTACAGTACATAAAATATATATTTTGAATTTTAAAGTTTCCTATTTTAAATATTAAATGTATTTAAGAGTATGTTAACCATTTGATTGTATTTTAAACCACAAATGAGTTTGGATGAGTAAAAATTATAAATAGTTATGATTTAAGATTAATAAAATTAATTGATGAAAAAAAAAATATATAGATGTCTCATACCTCACTGACAAAACTTATAACTTTTGATTTTATTATCATTATTATTATTATTATTTTATTTTATTAAAGATAAATAATAAAATATATGCTTTAAATGTAGTTAAAAAAGAAAATAATAAAAAATATTTTTAAAAAACTGATAATTGTATCAAATCTCATAAACATTATCAGATAGGTCTGAGATACTCTGTATGTAATAAGTGATTGATTTTTCATTAACCACTAGATTTCTTTTAAAATAATTATAATTTTATTCATTTTTTTTATTTTGTTTATTGTTTTTATAAGTACACGACTAAATTTTTAAAACACTAATATATATATTTTACTCGTTTATCACATAGAAAGTGCTATAATTAAGAAAATTATTGGACAATAACAACTTTTAACCAGTATTTCAGAAGTTATTAACATTTTAAATATATATTGAAGGTAAGGTGTAGGTATGACAATATTTGTTATTAGATATTTCTCAGGCACGTTTTTTCCCACCTAGGTATAAAAAAGTTAATTATTTCTGAAATACTGACCCAACAATTATGATGGACCATTCATTTTCTTAAATACATAATTTTCTATTTTATAAGCTAGTTAAATATGTATGTTGTCATTAAAAAAATAAAGTTGACACACTTGTAAGGTGTTAGTGATGAATTAATAACAAATAAATTAATAATATATGAAACTAAAAAATACCAAAGATGATTTTCTTAACATAATATTATTCAAAAAAAAAAATCAAGTGGCTAATGATAAAATAATTGATCTGTATAATCTAAAGCAACTAAAAAAATTTAGACTACCAGATTCTATTTACTTATTTTGCAATATTAATTTAGGTATTATTAATGAAAAGGCAAATTAGTGAAATAGAAAAAGAAATTATTGAGCGTACAAATAGAGTAACAAAATGTGATAATAATGATATAAATGGAAGTAATATATCTACTCAAGAAACTAGTTTGCAGTTGATGAACTCTTTAGGTAATTTGATATATTTTTTCAATTTCAATTGTCTAAGAAATTATATATTTATGTATTTTACTTTTTTCAAATATTAGTGAGACCTGATGAAAGTCGAACACCTTCACCACTAGCAGCACCAACACATCGAAGTATAAATGATTCTTCAGGTTTAGTTGAAGCTGCTTTACATGAAATCAGATCTAGTCTTAGACAAGCAAAACCATTAAAAATTACTAATTTAGATGATAATTTATCATTAACTTGTAGTCCTAGTAAAGATAGTATAAATTCAAACACTGCTAAAACAGAAGATTTACCAATTTGGGTTCCTAGGTACAACTAATAACCTTTTTTAATTCTGTATTTTCTCTATTTATTATTTAATAATTTTTTTTAAAGGCCTAAAGGAGTTGGTTCAGGTCCTAGTGGCGATGAAGGTAAAAATTAAAATAATTACATATGTTTATATTAATATAGAACAAGGTATCTTTGGTTTACTTACATATTTATTTTTTTATTTATATTAGAAGAAGCTGACACAGATTTAGAAACTGATAGACTTTTAGGACAACAACGAATTGATGATACTGGTTTTTATGATGAAAAATCTGTAAGTTCAACTTATAAACTAGACTTTTATATTTCAAGTATCTATAATAAGGTTTATACTAATAATACTGTAATATCTGATCTCTCTGTTTTATTAATTGAATATCATGCTTTTTTTTTTTATCCATTAAAAAGAAATGAAATATTTTCAAATTAGTAGTAATAATACAATTAATATAATAGGACTGGAAGAAATTGAAATCTCGATCTCTATTACCATTTAGTTTGACATCACCTTCAAGCAATACACCCTCTCACCCTGTAACTATAGATCCAGCTACAAATAATGAAAAAACTTTTATTGTACCCCAAACTTTAAATCCTGTGAAAAAGGTTTGACTCAATATTTGATGTTATTGTTTTAATAGTATATGTTGGAGAATGATTTGTTACTGTTGATTTTTTATTTACTGTGTGAGCTTTAACTAGTTATAAACTAAATTGCTTTGTGAGATTGTTGATGATCTGTTACTAATTTGAAGTTATTTTCTCAATTATTATTTTTTAAATTTGATGTTTAATTCGAAGATGCAAATAAAATTAAATAGACACATCCTAAGAAAATGTCACTTAATTTTTTTTTTGTAAGATATTTTCTTTGGTTACAAAGAAAAGAATCTATAATAATTAAATTAAATTTTGTTTAACAAACAAAAGAATAAAAACTGAGTTATGACCTTTTTTGTAGGAGGTGTCAAATTGACTATTCTTAAACTTTAAGAAACCTAATTCTCTATTCATATTGTTGTACTTATGTTTTGATTTTTAATTTAAATTGTATATTCTATACCTTTATTCATTTCAAATAATTTTTGTATTAAATATTATGATTAATCTATTTAGTTCAGCCTAATGAAATTGAACTACAATTCTTGAATATTGACGTTAAATGTATTTTTGGCTAAACTGTATAGAAATAAAATTGATGTGAAGTTATTTCAGTGCATGACAAATTTTATAAATTAGATTTTAAAATATACTGAGAAAAAAATTATTGAATAATCATAGTTAAAAATTTCATTTTTATTTTATTTATTTATATATTTATTTGTTTTAGTATTTCAAAAATATTTTAGTTTAACATTTAAAGATTTGAAAGAAATATTTTGCTATTAAACTTAATTCTATTATCATCATTTATTGGACTAAAAGTTAAATAATTTAATTGGTGTTATAGTTTATTCTCAGTCTCATAATTTTTTTACTAATTTTATAAATTGGTTCTTTTGCCTCTAATACATTTCGTTTATAGACATAAATATTTTTAGTTTTAAGACTAAGTGAGTACTCTAAGTGGGTACTCACTTACTATTATATATTTATGATATATTACATTTTAATAATATATTTTTCTAGGATAAAGAAAGTACTAAGAAAAAAACACGCAACAAAGAAGGTTAGTATTTTTAAAATAAAATATAGATATATCAACTAAATGCTAATTGCTTTACATCATTCAAATAGGTGTAAAAATGTATAAATATATATGTTTTATTATTTATCGCATGATATAATAAAAATTTTATATTGGAATGGTTGATTTCTATTAATGAAATTATTTGGCTAAAATTTATAAAACTTTTTTTAAACAAATTCAATTTTTAATGAATGTTCAATTTTGAAATAATCTTTTTTTGACAAAATAGGAAATTATTAAATTAAAATTCTAATTAAGTGTAAATAACAAAAAGTGAAATGTATTAAATATTCACCATAATTTAATTCATTGTAATTATAGTTTTTTTTTACACAACTAATCTTAGAATTTAATTAATTAATTATCTAAAGTTTAATAGATGTATTTTAGCATACTGTAATTTGTTTCATGTCAAATTAAGGAAAAGAAAACTTACAATATCTTTATATATGCATTAGCATATATATTATTAAATTTTTTCAATATATTTAACTTAATTTTAATATAAAGTTTAAATAATATTGAAAACAACTAACCGATAACATAAAACAAGCAATATCTACAAGAATAATACAAATTTAAACCTATGATTATTTTTGTTAATCAATTAATCAACAAATTAATTTATAAATCTTGTTAATTTCTTAATCATATTCAGTAAATACTTTAGACTTAGATAATGCTTGTTACATTTGCTATCAGCTTACCTGTTAGCAACAAAGTAAAATTACAATTTTTAACAATAATCTGCTATCAGCTATGAAATATTAAACTTTTAAAATGTTTATAGCACTATTATTCATTTCAATAAGCAAATTTTAACAGCTTTATTTTGTTTTTTTTTTTTATGCTTAGGAGTACCTCAGCACCAAACAGGTACACTTTATAATGGTTTATAAAATGAGTTTTATTTTTCATTTCTATTGAATATAATTGCATGATTTGGGCTTTGATTAACTCTAGCTTAATTTGGTTTATGATCCTAACAGTTATTTTGCTTATTGCATTAATTAATGAGTTTAGTACAATAATTCACTCTATAAAAAAAAAATATATAGAAAGCTTCCTATTTGAGTACATACATTATTAATAACATTTGAATTATTAAAATTTATTATTTTTAGATAAATAATTTTACAATTCTGATTTTGTAAGACTTTAAAAATCAGGCTTTATTTTATATTTTTATATAAAAATTTTGTAATTTTAAATTTTGATTAAACTTTAGTTGTTCATGATTACAGTGAAATATATTAGTTATTCTTTTATTATTTTAGTCCTTAAAAGTTTAAATTATTTTTTTCTTTTTTATGTATTTTTAATATACTAAAGCTCATATTATTATAATTTTTTAATATTTCATATCTTTTTGATATTTTTTTAAGAGATCAATTTTTTCTAATTATTAAACAGTTACAAATTTTTTTTTGATATTCTAAAAAAGTTCTTTTCTCCTGCTAAATTAGTGAAAGAGGTTTTCTTAATAAGCTTATAGCTTGTATTCATAGTAACTAATATATATTTGCTTGGTGAGAACATTAGTGATTACTCCAAAATTGTTGAAACTAAAATAAGCATTCCAAAGTGTTAGTTAATGGGTTAATTTTATTGTGTATGAATAACGAATTGTTAGTTCAATTAGTGTTCACTAAAACACAATTATCTAAAAAGAGCTTTTTGGTGATAGGTCACTATTATTTTCAGTTAAGAATATTTTGAGCTATACATTTTTCTAGAAAATGTCCAATAGGATATATTTGTGTACAAACATTTTATTATAAATTATTTGAGTAGTTTCTTAATACATTTTTTTTTAATAATATAGTGTCAATTTTATAATGAATTTATTTTATCTATAAAACTAACAATATTACTGTCTTATTTTTTATTCACGGCACTACACGGATTTTTGACATATAATGCACTTATTTGCACGGTAAGTCTATTCAAAATACAAAAAGGTTGGGTCGTTTTTTATACTACTATATTTAATTTATAACTCGCACCATGTTTTATATTATTCATTCTAATTTAATAATTTTACCTTATAATTCAAAATTTTTAGTCTCATTAATACAAAAGTATATATTTTATTTTTATAATCTTTTAATTTATATCAACTTTCATGTTAACTACCAATGAAATATATATATATATATATATACAAAATTAAAATTAAGAAGTATTTTCAGTTATCAAAATTCAATGGTTATTTTTAAAATTTTGATACCTTACAGTTATGATTTCATCAATATTAAATTTATAATTTAAGTGTTTTAATAAATATAGTTTAAAAAAATGAAGAAATTAATTTTTATAGTAATGATTCATGAACCTGCAGTATTAATTGAAGGTGTTCTCTTCAGAGCAAGGTATTTAGGATCTACTCAACTAGCTTGTGAAGGACAGCCCACAAAAAGTACTCGAATGATGCAAGCTGAAGAAGCTGTATCCAGAATTAAGGTTGGTTTAATATATTTCATCATAAAATCTTTTTTAAAATGATGTTTGTATAATATAATTTTCACACATTAATATGACTGTTGCTTTCTAATTGGATTTTAGGCTTTGGTAAGTTAAAAATTTTCAATGAAAAATTATGTAGTTATATTAAAATATTGTGTATAATATTTTCTTAGGCTCCAGATGGGGAAACTCAACCTAGCACTGAAGTTGATTTATTTATATCCACAGAAAAAATTATGGTTTTAAATACTGATTTAAAAGAAATCATGATGGACCATGCTCTTAGAACAATTTCTTATATTGCTGATATTGGTGAATTAGTTGTATTAATGGCAAGAAGACGATGTTTTTTAACACATCAACCTTCAGATTCTAACTCTGAAACAGCTTTAGTTCCTGCAGGGATTAATGGCATGGAAAAGGTGCCAAATAATAGAACACCAAAAATGATATGTCATGTTTTTGAAAGTGATGAGGTAAGATATAATATGTATACAATTTTTAAAAATAAAAAACAATGAAACAACAAAGTAAAATTCATATTGAGTAGAATAATATTTAGTTTTTATAATAAAGGTTGATTATAAGTTGATACTCTGTTAGTCTATACTATCAGTAGCATACATTAAAAATTTATCTGAAGAGATATGTAATAAAAAGTTATTCACACAAAACACTTCCTCTATTTTATTATGAAATATATATTTTAATTATTACCTTTTTCTCTGATTTTAAACTACAAATAATTATTATTAACTACTATATTATATTAAATTTTTAAAATATCCGAATCATTGGCAGATAGTTGATATTAAATATGAAAATAATAAAAGTAAATGTAATAATTAGTATAAAAAGTTGTTATAATTAGTGATGTAAAATTACCATAATAATTTTTTTTGAAAATATTTTAAAAAGACGAGAATATAACTTGTATTTTTTAAATTAGACAAATTTATATTTGATGGCCAAATAGACCCCAATTTTTGTTAATTATATATTCTTTTTTTTTTTTGACTGGAAATTTATCGTTTGCATTTATACTAAAACATTACTTTTTGAGTATTATTATTTTTAGATCTTAAACAACAATCATTGAGAAATCATAAAAATTCAAAATTTAAGAAGCCATAGAATAATTTTTTAGAAAATTTTTATTATTATGCTATTATTTAACCAAGTAAAAGATGGTTATTTTTCCATCATAAATTTCCAATTAATATTTACTTCAAATAATTTTCAAGTTTGACTAACTATTTTTACAGAAATTATTTATTCTATTACTTTTTATATGGTATTTTGTTTTGTTATAATCTGCAGAAGAATTCTCAAAAGTAATCCCAAAACTAATAATATACTTTTGTTATATCATTACTCGTCATAATTAAAAGACAATATAAATGCTTGAGTATAATGTGTATATATGGCAATTATTATCTTTTTTTTTGATGTTCAATAAATTATACTTTATTTCCTCATAGGGGTTGGAACACAAACCCTCTTATATGTGCACTGCTGATTCCTATTGATAAAATTACCTTTTTCATTTTGTTAATTGTACAGAGATCTCAGTATCATATTTTTTTTAGATATTAATTTGCAAGTTGTTATAATTCAACATAATGTTTATTCATATTTATAGTCATTATATAATATCATACTTTGTATTATTATTTATTTGTAATTCATTTAATTTTCTTATTATGTACTTTAACTTCAGCTAAACTGAATTAATTCAATTTAATTTAATTAATTCATTAAACATAAAAAAAAAATATATCTTATATACTTAAATAAAGTAATGCCTAACATGACTCATATAAGAAGTCAAAACTCTGAATTAATTTATTTCAAAATGTTTTTTTAATTATTAAGTCAGTATTTAACTACTAATTAAATATTGAAAATATTTATCTTGGTTAATATTCTTTTGCAGTTTCACTTTTTTTGTTAAATTGAGAGCTATTTTTATAAAAAAAAAATTCTAATTTTGGGGAGCATTGTATCCATGCCAGAAGTCTAATAAATTGACTAATTAAATTAGAAAAGACTACTCACTTTTATTTGTTGCTATTTTCATTATTAAAAATGTAGCATGTTATAATCCACATTATATTGTAAAACTTTTTGGCCATTATGATTGAAATAAAAGTGTTTGATTTTAATATTTAGGCCCAATTTATTGCTCAATCTATTGGACAAGCTTTTCAAGTTGCATACATGGAGTTTTTAAAAGCAAATGGTATTGAAGATCATAGTTTTGTGAAGGAAATGGACTACCAGGAAGTACTAAATTCACAAGAAATTTTTGGAGACGAATTGCAGATGTTTGCAAAAAAAGAACTTCAAAAAGAGGTAAATATATATTCAATCTTATTATTATGATTATAGCTTAATTTTAACACAGAAATGTATAATGATATATTATGTTCATGTTGTTATCAACTTTTTTTTTTTTTTTGCCAGTGCGTGTATATCAGAAGTTATTGAATATCTTTATGTAGGGTGATTCACTTATCATGAATTGCTTAATTAAGTGAAAATTAAAATTAAAATAATATTAAAATTATTTTATAAGTTTCTTTTAGTTCAATGTTTCAATTATAAAGTTTTTCTTGTGTTTATCACTTATGCCTTATAAGGATATTAACTTTAATTTCTCAAATGGCAACACCTATAATTAATTAGCTTATTTGATATATAATGATCTAATTAAGAAAATGACTGGTCAGTAGCAACTTTTGGACCAGTATTTCAGAAGTCATTAACAATTTAAGGTAATGACTTGAGGTGAAGAGTGGTTGCTGCTATTTTTATAACTAATCATTTCCCATTCGTACTAATCTTCTCACCTAGATATACACTCTGTATATGTTGAACTCATAATTGTTTATTTATAATATATCATTAAAATACTTAAATAGTTATAATCTGTATTATATTTCTTTGTAATTTAAAATTTATTTTATTTTTAACTTTTTAAATATGTTCATATATGATTCATATTTTGTAGGTTGTAGTACCAAAATCAAAAGGAGAAATTCTCGGAGTTGTAATTGTAGAGTCTGGTTGGGGTTCTATGTTACCTACAGTTGTTATAGCAAATTTAGCACCAGCAGGAGCAGCTGCTCGATGTGGTCATTTAAATATTGGAGATCAAATTATAGCTATTAATGGAGTATCATTAGTTGGTCTGCCATTATCAACTTGCCAAAATTATATTAAAGTAATTAATTAATGAACTTATTTACTTTTTGTGTACTAATTTTGTCCTATTTATATTAAGAATTCCAAACCTCAAACAGTTATTAAACTGACTGTTGTACCATGTGCTCCAGTAGTTGAAGTAAAAATTAAAAGACCAGATACAAAATATCAGTTAGGGTTTAGTGTGCAAAATGGTGTAGTAAGTGATATTTATTTCTATTTTTTAATTTGATTGAAGTATTTATTTTAGAAATTTTAATAAATTGTTGTATTATTAGATTTGTAGTCTACTTAGAGGAGGAATTGCTGAACGTGGTGGAGTCAGAGTAGGTCATCGAATTATTGAAATAAACAATCAAAGTGTTGTTGCAGTTCCTCATGAAAAAATTGTAAATTTGTTAGCAACTTCCGTTGGAGAGGTTTGTTTTTTATTTCTATTAATTTTTACAAAAAAAAGAGTAAGTTCAACTTTATGAAAAATAAAGAAACATTTAAAAAAAATTATTTTTTTCATAGAGTATTTGAAATAGTCTTATCTATATTAGTAATTTTTATCTTCAATTGGAAACCATTAAATTTCAATTTTGTTAAGTTATGAAGTTATTTTTTCTCTTTATTCTGAACTGTAACCTTTCAACTAATGGACAATGTTTACACTGACAAACTACGAGATGTAATGGCCAGAGAGGGAGTGAGAGTGGTACTGCTCAAACTAAATTTTCTCCCTCTCACTTTATATCATACCCAAAAAATCATGGGGTAGCGTGGGTGGTAGTTGATCTGAGCCCTTTATAATAATTTTTCAATAAGTTTCCAGTGAATTATATAAGCACATTAATAATTTATTTTATAATGGTATCATAAATTAATAATAAGTATACACACAATTAAATGATAAATAACTAAACTATTAAATTTTGATTGATTAAATTAAAAAAAAAAAAAATTATGTTTAGTTTATTTGACTATTATTGTTAAATGAGTAGTACTAGGTTTAATAATTAAGAAAAGCATTTATTTGTTTGTTTAGTTAGTTAAAACTTGTTGTTGAAATTTTCAGATATTAATGAAAACAATGCCTACATCCATGTTTCGATTATTGACTGGCCAAGAAACTCCAGTGTTTATCTAGTCATGTACTTGAATGTCTTACGTCTTGTTTTACTAGGACATCTACATACACTATGGGACTTAAATTATTATTAACTATTGTCAGGTATAAATTTAATATGAACACCTGGTCAGTTAGAAATGGACTAGTGAAGGGTTTATTTTTTGCACAATATGATAAGCATATCTTTTGTTTATATTCCCTTTTTATAGTCATAATTATGCATAATCACTAAATTTATTTATACAATTATTTTAAAGCTTTATTGTTTTAATTTATATTCTGTAACAAGATATTGCTCTTGTGATTTGTTGAATTCTCTAAAAAGTCATTTAATTCAAATATTTGAGAATTTTTTTTTATTAAGTACATGATGTATCATAAAATTTATCAATAATTTGCCATATCATAACCACGAAAACTAGGATTACCAAAATTATGTTTTTCATTATGTACCATGTATTCTCTTTTTAGTTTTATTTTTATCTTAAATTTTTTTCTGTTTTTGTTTTACCATTATTTATTTTTGTGATAGTCTTCATATTGATATTGCAGTTATTTATTATAGCTTAATGTAAATATTTAAATATGGACCAACTACACTGCATAAATGTTTAAGCATATCGTTTGAACTACCCATATATAATTTTTTTAATGTATGTCATTATGTCTGTTTTTTAAGCAGCTGTAAATTAAAACTACTCTTAAATTCCTAATTATTCTAGTCAACATCGTGAATGAATATGTTATAATGTATCTTTAAATTTATTATAAATATGGTCATTAGACATTCAAATTGTGTATTATAACAAATATATATAATAAATACATTTTTTTTACAATATGATTAATTTTTTTTTCTTTCAAAAATCATATTCTTTAACATAATGTTTTTTTTTATAAAATATTCTAGATTCAACATTTTATTATTATGAATTAATATTTTATTTGTTATTTAAAAATAATATGCTTAAAGTTAGGGCAAAGTGCAATTTATCTATGGATATATGTGGAAGATTAAAGTAAAAGTTATATAAATCAATTTTTAGTAATTTATTTGAAATATATTTAATTTATATAGATAAATGTATATGTAAATTTTGAAAATGCAATGATGTTATGAGTTATTATTTATTATTATTATACATCGAAATAGATCTTTTTTTTTAAATATGGAGTACATGGTTAATTTTCAATAAAATCAAATACATATATTTATATAAAAACATACATTACAACACGTCAATATTTATTAATTTATGGTTAATGATAAAGTTTAAATAATGATTATTTTTAGGGATAATGTTTGCAGATTTTTCCAGAAGTTAGCATCCAATTAATTATCCTATTTGGTTCTCGTATTTTGTTTAGTTTTAGTAGTTATAGAGATGGCCATGAACTGTCCATGCACTCAGACCTATAGGTTCATTATGTACACCTCTTTCCGAATTATATTTGTTCGGTTTCTTCATATAAGTTTTTCTACTGAAGTGTTGTTGTATTATTAAATACCTAGACTAAACATAGTACGTCCTCTTAGGACGCACCTTTATATATTCTAAGAGTTCTGTCTCTTAAGCAAAATTAATTATCTCTTGGGGTTATAGGTTTTTGATATATTCTTTTTCAGAAAAATATTTTCTCAAATGTTTAGATCATAATGTGGCCAGAGTATCACATTCACACATTATGTGAAATTAATCTTCCTCTTCTGTTCCACACTTCTAGCACAGTAGTGATTCTGTCACTCCTATTGTGTAGAGATAATTAAGCAGATTACCGTGTCCTGTCAGTAGTCCAGTTAAAGTGCTTATTTAATATCTAGTTATGTTATTAAAATGTCTTAGTAGTAGACCGGAAATCTTAATAAACATTTTTAATTCCTAGGTACCACAAGATAACACCATATTTTCTTGTGTTTTTCTCTAAATTATTTTCTGGGTAGTACTTTGATGATGGATTGCTCGACAAGTTCTACCACTGTTTCTAGTCTAAAAAAGGTGTTTTCTGCATTTTTCTTGAATACTAGAAGGTTCTACTAGTATTGCTATTACCTCAGCTTGGAATACAGAGGGTATTGTGCCCATTATCATGCTGATATTTATGCAAGGTTTTATTCCTCAAATTCCAGTACCTACCTTTCCTGATTTCTTAAAGCCGCCTGTATAAATTACAAACCCTCTTTACCTAGTAAAGTGGTCCATTCCCCATTCATAAGTTTGACTCTTGCCTCAATACGTGATATCCATCTTGGCTTATTGTCTAGAATAATACCTAAGTAGGTCACTTCTGACTTAAAATCAATTCCTTGTCCATTCAGGCTAAGTGTACCAAGACTGTCAAGTTTTGTTCTTGTCCTAGTAAACATATTACCTCTTCTTTGTTTGGAGTAACAGCTAGTCTGTACTTACTACACCGCATGTGTATAGTGTTCAATCTTAGCTATGCTAAGCCTATAATTGTGTCTGAGAATTTACCCACCACTACTATAGCTACGCCCTTCTTTTATATACCTATCATTAAGATTCTCCGTAGTCTTAAGAAGAAATCAAGTGAGCTTTATTGGTCTATAGGATTTTGCTTCATAGTAGTTAGCACGGATAGGTTTAGGTATAAACCCCATCCTGCCTTTCGGTTTGATAACCGTAGGCTAGGCATGCTCTAAATATGTCGCAGAAATGGAGGACGATTCGATCTAGTCCCTCTTGTAGAAGTGCAGGAAATATTTCGTCACAACTTGCAGCCCTAAAAATGCAAATAGTATTTATTGCCTATCTTAAGCCACTTGGAGTTATTACTTTCTTTGTTAGCTACCACTCAGAACGGTTAACACGTTTGACCCATACTTCGTATAATTATTTTATTAGTATTTCTTGTATTTAAATATCCCAAGCACTTGCTCCTAAAATTTTGCCCAAAATACCCTACTGATCTTAAGGTTCGTGGCTTCCTATTGTTTACACACAACAAAAATTAAATATTGAACGTTCAGTAAACCAGGAGGTCAGTAAATATCTCATAAATGTAAAATTATTTGATTAAGATATAAAGTTCAAAGAGTTTCACGACAAAACCTCAAAGTTATAACCGTGAAAATAGTTATACTATTTGTTTTAATTTAATTATATTGCTTTTATTTAGATTCAATTTTTTAAATTTATTATATAATTAAACAGACATAACATTTATCTCTGCACAAGTGTCAAGTTTTATTAATGTATGATGATCATTAATTACAATTTCTCTAATTCATAATCTATTAATTTTACTCTCTTCACTAGAACTCATAATTTCAAGCACATCTAATGACTCATAATATTCAGTACTATCAACATTTTCTATACTACTAATTTGTTTTTTATCATTAATATCTTTTTTTTTCTTACACATAATCTTGATTTAATATACCACAGTTATTACATTTTTTACCAAATGCAAGACACATCAATCTTATGATTTTTGCCACTTCTTGTACAATTATTTATAAAATAATTAATATTTTTTTGACTTACTACTAAATTTTTTACACAACATTTTATTATATTATACATTTTTAAAACCTGATTTAGAATTGGTCTTTTCTGATGATTGACCATTTGAATTTGTTTCCTTGTTGAACAACAATTTGGTATTATCTACTTGTATGACCCTTCTATTAATTTCAGTTTGCTCTGCAGCACAACAATGATTAATCACTTTTTCTAATGACAAGTCCTCTCTTAAAAAACTAATTTGGACATCTTTATTTGAAATACTAAGTACAATCTGAGTTCTTAATAATTTATTCTCACATTTATGTTTTGATCAATTCTCTCAAACCTGTGTAGAAATTCTCAAATGGTTCTTTAACGCATTGATTGCGAGTAAAAAATTTATAATGTTCCATAATTTCATTTTTTCTAATGCTTTCAGAATATCGCACACTGTCTCTTTTTTCACTTTTAGAGTATTTTATACTTTTAATCCATCTGTTCCTAATAAGTTTAATAGAATCGCTACCCGAGTCACTTTCTTTTTTGAATAACATTCAGTTGTATTAAAATAAATTTGAAGCTCTTGTTTAAATATTTTAAAGTTTTAAATTAAATTACCCGTCATTTCAGAAAGGCTGGTTTATTGAACTCCATATTTTATCTAGTTCAATCAAATTCAATTAATCACATAGATCCTTACGATTGCTTCAAGTTTTAATTTATTATTTTTCTCTTATAATAATTATATCATCTCTTCAACGATATCATTCATACATAAAATAGTATGTGTTATAGTGATTTATATGAACATATATTTTTATTAAAAATGAACAATGGACTGTTTATTTCATAAACAGTCTAATCCTACACTTCACACTGTATCTGTATATTGACATATGCAACAGATATGGTAATAAATCACTTTATCAAGAAAAAATATAATTTATTTTCTACTATATATGTATGTTTAATGATTTTCTAAATAGTTTTTAGATTCAAACGAAATTTTTGATTTTTCAACGAAAAATAACTTTAATAAAAGCAATAAAATCTAAATTAAAAATGCTTAATAATAAAAAATCAAGTTTTTTAATTTATTGCCATATTTGTTGAGAACTTTGATATATAAAGCTTATTATCAACGGTCTATACCAATGTTTTATATTGAATGGCTTCTGAAATTAAGTAGTTTAAAATTTACTTGAGAGAAAGATGCAACGACTTATTAGTACACTCTAAAGACTTGCAAATTGAATACATTTATACCAATTTTGTTATGTATACAACATATTATACATTATTTTATATTACCTCTATATAATATGCTATTTTGATTAAAAAAAAAAAAATTATTAAATTTTTAACAAAAAAATAATGCAATAAGTTATTTTTTTGTTATTTTACAACTTAAAATAAACTTAAATTTTGATTAAAAAGTTTCTGAATGGCAGTTAAAGTAGTGATCAAAATACTACTTAAATTATAACTACATAATTATCATAAATACAGATATCTAGTTATGAAAAAAGCAATAAATTTTTTGATTCTTTTCTTATAACAAATTAACGAAATAACAAAATATTTAAACATGTTGAGATAAAACAAAAAGCAATAGGATAGTTATTTGGCATTTATAAGTTATAGTGGAAGTATTTTAATTAAATATTGATTTAAGAATTTTAATCTTAAAATAAGTTTTATTGACACAAAATTATGGAATTTTGGTAATAAGTAATAACATTGGTGATAATAAATAATAATAATGTGTATCTAAATATTATGGACAAATTCGAAACAAAAAAAGCAGTACAATATCAATATTAGTATACATATCATATGTACACATTTTACTATTGCTCGCTAGAAAGTAATATGGATGTATAACTTTAGTGAACAAATTAATAAAATCCATACCCTTTTATAAGATATTATGTTTTTTACATACTTCATAGTGAAACGTACATTTTCAAAAATAAAAAAAAGGAATCAAAGAGTTTTAACAAATTTCTTTAAGACCATTTACTATAATTATTAATAAATTCCCTTTTGCTAAAGGATAACTGATGGAAAATATATATAAAGTATATTGCTCGATTTACAATGATTTTCATTCCGAGTACTTATTATAATAACTTTTTTTTTCATTTTAAATTATTTTTCTTAATTCTGATTAATTTTCTGTAGCATACATGCGTGTCCATTCTTTGGCATTGCGTATGGCTTCAATTTCATTTACTTTCCACAACTCAGCTACATCATTAGCCAATGGATCATCAGGATTAGGTGCACTAAGTAAAGCTTGAATTGATAAGAGAACTGTACGAATTTGTAATGCAGGTGACCATTTATCTTTTAATATATCAAGACATATTCGACCTAATCTATCAATATTAGGGTGATAGATTTTTGTGATGAAACGAACTTTAGGAGCAGACATAGGATAATCTTCAGGCAAAAATAATTCAAGTTTAAACAAACCACCTTCAAACGGTGAGTCTTCTGGGCCAGTTACTTTAACATGAAAATATCTGTAAAATAAATATAGCTTTAAATAATGGTATACTTAGTAAAATTAGTCTATAAAAATTTTTTTAGGAAATTTGATTTAAATTTTTTTAATTCACATAATTAGCTTAAAAAAATGTATTTGAAAATCAAATAATTATAAACAATCAATTATTACATTAATTTCAGTTTAAAATTAGCTATTGTATTATGATAATCAAAAACATATATTTACTACATTTGCTGTATAACATGTAAATTTTTAGCATTAATTTTTGGAATCAAAACTATTTTATTTCAAAATATAAAAACTGATTATATAGTAAAAAAGAAAGTTTTATAAATTTTTAAACAGCATTTTAAAAATTATAAATTAAAATAATAGTTACGTTACAAATAATTAAGATAGAACAATGAACTACTTTAAATGAAGAAATTTTATTAGGACAAAATATACTTATCTATCATTAAATAACAATGTTTGAAATGTTAGTCTAAATGAAATAAGTATATTTTTAATTTTACATACCGTGCATTACCCTCATCAGGTTGAGCACTAATACCTGGCACGGGCTCTTGCATTAAACGTTGCGTTTCTTTTAGAATTCTTCGTGGTAAAGCTGACATATTACCGATTTAAATTGTAAACTATAAAAAGAAATAGCTGTATGTTTAGTTAACTTGTCTATGATTTTGATAAATTCGCTGGTTTCGTAGTTATTGAATTAAATAGAAGCAGATTTCCTAAAATTCACACGAAGATCTTAATATTTATTCACTTCGTTTATCTTCAGAAAAACATTACTACACAATCAAATTTAATATGCATGTGTCTACAATAAAAAATTAAGATGCAGTATCACGAAACGAAAACATGTCAATTAGACGTATATGATGTATTGGCTGTTATTAATGATAACTCAAAAATCTAATTTTTCACAGATTTTGGCGAATATCGAGAAAAAGTTATTTTCTGTAATCTAACTAAAATGAATAGTATTTGTTTCCAAGGGCTGCAGCTACCGCTATTATTATTTCTTAAGTTTAATGACAAATTATACAATGGTAAAAAATAGAGTAATATCAAAATGGCGTTTGAAATTGGTTCTCAACATGTAATGTTTTAATGTTTATTACTAGGAAATTGGTGATGTAAGGGGTGAGTTCATTATAATGAATTAAAAATATAATCGTTACTATTACTAATATTTACTATCATATTTTAATTCAACTATAGGCTTTTTTCAATGTCATTATTACATCGATAAATTATTCGCTAATGTGGTTGTTTCGTTATGTTAATTATTGTCATTATTATCATAAATATAAATCTTGCCTCTGAGTTCTGTACTTATAAGGTACCACAAAAACGAACCTTACTTCATTTTAACTTATCAGGTTATGTAAATAACTGTCGGCATTCTCATATCTTATAAAATAACTTACAATCTCAAATGAGTTAATTTCATTGTTTATAAGTATTCATAGAAAACACTACAATCTAATAATAGCTCTATACTGTATACTATTATTATTGAATGTTATTGTTGGTATTTTTAATGTTACATTCATTTAATTAAACTTATTAAATAATGAGTAACTAAACACAACTATACAACACAAAAAAAGTATCCGAAAAATGAAAAAATCACTGAAGATTTATTCAATTAAGTATTATTAAATGAAATCCTATTTTCAATGATGTTAATTTTTTTATGCAATTTGAATGTGTTTTGTATTTATGTACAATATTTATTCCCAATATTCCTTTTGTGACATAATGTTAAGTTTAGTCTGCACTTTATTTAAATAGTTTTACTTTAACAACTATAATTTGGTTTTTTAATTATTGTACCTGTTTATTTTTTATAACTAGTAATATAAGCAAATAATTTTTATTAAATTCAAAGAATGATTGAATTATATTAAGGATATGTGGTTAATTAAAGAATCAATTTTGTTTCTATATTTGATGATATGCATGTTCTTTTCAAATTTTCTATTCTTGTATGGATTTTTTTCTTTTGATTACAATGACAATGTTAAATCTTCAATGGATGATATCCCTTCTACTATTCAACCGAGTCCTGATGATAACTATTGGCGGTAATAAATCTTCAGAAATTTATTAAATATTTATTAAAAATAATTATGTAATTGTTGACAAATATGTATAAAAATGTAATTGCTTAGAAATGCATAGTAATAATATGTTATTCTCGATTATATAAATTTATAAAAATAAAAACAAATTTTATTGTAGTATAAATTTAACAATTATCCTAAAATAAATTATATGAATATATAATTATATATATATAGTTTGCTATGCATTTCTTATTGCTTGATAAAAATTGAACTTTAAGTAGTATATGTTTCTTGTCAATTTTATAGTTTTGACTCGCAACGTTTATATCATAAATCAGTGAATAAAGTAGTGCTAATGATAATTGATGGAATTCGTTTTGATTTTTTAACTGATACACAATACAACAAATTTATGCCATTTGTTACAACTCATATAAAAAATAACCAAAGTTGTTTGTTTCGAACCAGAGTTAGTGCACCTACCGTTACAATGCCTAGAATAAAAGTATACAAGTATAGTTAAATATTGAAAGGTGATTTTTTATATTAATAAGAAATGTAAAATTTATTTGTAGGCATTAACAACTGGTACTATTCCAAACTTTATTGATATAGCATTGAACTTGGGTTCTTCAGAAATTAAACAAGATAGCATTATTAATCAAGCTCAACTAGCTAATAAAAAAATTATTTTTTTTGGTGATGAAACTTGGTTGAAATTATTCCCAAAATCATTTGATCGTTATGATAGCACTACATCATTTTATATATCTGATTATACTGAAGTAATGCATTTTTTAAATTTACCAAAACATCTTATTTCAATTGTTTATTTTTTAAGGTAGATAACAATATCACACGCCATTTAGATAAAGAGTTAAAGCATTCTACTGATTGGGATATTATGATACTTCATTATTTAGGGCTTGATCATATTGGTCATTTGGCTGGCCCTCGAAGCCCTTTGATGCCACATAAATTGTTGGAAATGGATAAAATTATCAATTTCATCATAGATAATTTGGTGTATATTTGTTTTCAAATTACAATTTACTGTTTAATTTTCAAAGAGATCTTAAAATAAATTTAATCTTAAAAAGCTGTTTTTAATTTAACATATTGCATTTAAGTAAAAAAAAAATGGATATTTTTACTTTTTTGTAATATTGAATTTTTATCTTATTAACCTTTCAAAATAAAAAGTAAATATTTATTCTAAAAGGTGAAACATTAACAAATTATTTACATATTTAATTAATAGGATTCTGGTAATTCTGAATTACCAACAGTTTTGATAGTATGTGGTGATCATGGAATGCGAGATAATGGTGGCCATGGGGGATCATCATTGGGTGAAGTACTAGTACCTGTATTCTTTAGTGTACAAAATAGGAAATGTGGTGGTCTTATTGAGTAAGCCTAGATTTTTAAGACTATTAATTGAATATAATATAATAATTATTAATAATTATAATTTATTGTTTATATAGTGAAGAAATAATGCAAATTGATATTGTTCCATCAATATCTGTTATTATGGGATTACCTATTCCTTCTGGAAATATTGGAAAATTAATAAATAGAGCTGTGCAATTCCTAAATATTAATGAAATTTTATTTGCATACCATTACAATGCTCAACAAGTCTACAAAAACTATATTAATAGAAGTGGTTCTTTAAAAACGGGTAAATATTACTTGATTATATAATAAATATTATTAATTTTGTCAAAATTTTATACTTAAAGCTGAAGTCCTTTTGTATAATTTTACTTAAATTACGTTAAAAAAATATTTAATGTAATTACGCTTTTATTGTATTTACTAAGTTAATAAATATTAATTTTCTGAGTTATTATATAGTATTGTACAGTACAGTACAGTTTCAAGTCTAAAATTTGGAAAAATAGTTGTATCCAAATTTGTGAAATCATAAGTTAATATGATTAGTTTTGTCTAGATTTTTATTTGAGTAATCTATTTTATTATTATATTCAAATATAAATAAATTATTTAGTTGTATATTTAGGATAACTTTTGATTTTTAGATTTCATTTTGGCATATAATAAAGCTAATTTAAATTATTACAAATGGCTGAAAGGAGAATTAAAATCTGATGATGAAGCTAAATATACAATAAATTTATATAATTTTGCTTTAAATGGTATGAGGAACTACCTTATTGGTTCAGTTAGTAAATATGATGTCTGCCTTTTAATTATCTCTATGATATTAATATCACAGGTTAATCAAATATTGTTTTTTGTTGTTTAGATTAAAAAAATTGTTTTTTAAATTAATTATTATGATTTCTATACTGTAAAATAAAATATTTTAGATTTGGTTACTTCTTATTGATATGCAACCTAAAAGAATAAATTATATACATATAAAATACTTGGTTTTCTTCTTGTTAATTCGTTGGATAACTTGTACTTCATTACATTGTGAAAGCATTTTATGTGAATTTAGTATTAAACTAAATACTTTGGCAATTACAATATTTACCATATTTATTTTTAACTTTGGAAGTTTTTACCAGTTGCATTCGATCAAACTTAATATAGTGGTATAAAATTTACTTATTAATAAAATTTTTACTATATAAAGATAAATAAATTTTTTTTTTTACCAAATTAATTTATTTTTAGAAAAGTAACATAAATAATAATGACTTATATGTTATATCTGGGATGCTAATTCATTTTCTAAGTTTATTTTCATCAAGTTACATTGAAGAAGAACATCAGCTTCTATATCATCTTTGGACAGGTTTTTCAACCATTCAAATTTACAATTATTTCAATAAAAACAGTTATGTTGATATGATAAAATGGTTGTTTTGTATGATATTACATCGATTTTGTAAAGATTTAAACTATGTTGGTAATCAGTGGTCTAATTCATATAGCTTGGGAGACTGGTTAAGAGAACCAACAAATAAATTATTTTTATCAGTGTTCATGATACTAGGTAATTCATACTTTAATTTTTAAATATTTAATCAAAAATTTATTAATATCAAAAACATTATGGTGAAGTGCATAAATGTGTTAAGTGCACTTTTAAGCCAAAGTAAATTAGAGTATGAATAAATGTTGAAACTGAGAATTTTTTTACCACAATAAAATATATTTAATTCTATTATGCCATTGTTTATTGTGCTTTAATAAAATGAGTTGAAATTACTTCTTATTGTAATATAAAAATTGAAATTAATAGCCTTTGAAATGCCTAAAACTACATTTAACATATTTTTGTGTTTCACATTTAATATATGAGTATCATACCAAGACATGATAATTCTTAAAATGTCTTGTACATAAGGTCAGTTTACATATACCACCCACTTCCATACTCACTTTATGTATTAAAATGCTTGTAACTTGTTAAGTACTTGTCCTAATATCGTAATTGATCCACTAAAAATTGTTGTAAGAAAAAAGATAAAAAATGGTTATTTTGAAACTTCAAAGAAATTTTACTTTTTTTATTATTAAATATTAATGAAAAATATATTTTTAACGTGGTCTAAAGTTGTAAAAAAAAAAAATGAAAGAAGTCAAAACCTGGTGAGGCATCTTGTATATTATTTAATAATAATTGACATTTTCATTGATATAATCATAATTAAGTTTTTGAGGTATCATTTTTAGAGTGATGTGAAATTGATAAATAATAATTATTATCGATTAATGATATAATTGTAGTTTACAATATATATATTGTAGGACTTTTTCTATTTGTTTTTAATAACATTTCGGTTTTTTATAATTTATTGGATAGTTGTTTTTTACAAAACTATTCACATTTCAATATGAAATATACAAAATATAATGAAAAATTGTCTACTATATTTAGGTAAATTCTATAAAGAATTTTAATGCTGATTCCATTTATGACTTTATAACTTTTCCATCACATCTTGTTTTTAAAATAATTATTAATTAATCATTAAACAATTAAACCTTTAAAAAAAACTGAAATATAATTTTTTTTTTAAACATTTTTAATGTAATTTGATGATGTTTAAAAAGTCTTCAGTAATATTTGGAACTTTGTCAAGTTTACCTATTTTTGTTAACCTTTAAATTTAAGTTTGATGAGCATTTTTTTAAAGTAAAAAGCTGAATTTTACACTAGTTATTTTTGGGTTAATCACTTAATTATGAGATTAATTCAAAACATACATTTTTTGTTTTTTACATATCAAATTATTTAAAAATTGCTTGATTAAAAATCTAAATGAATATGTTGTTAAACAACTTTTTTTTTCATTACTTCAGGGTTAAAAACCTAAATTTTAGTTTTATTTAGTGGGAAACTCTATTTTTATTTTAATGATATAATAGAATGAAACGTTTAAAAAAAATTTGTTCTTAAAATTTTTTTATCTAATATTACCTAATATTTTATCCAATGTAATAAATCATTAATCTGTTACTGTAATTTAATGTATAGTAATTTGATACATTAATAATCAATAATTATAATATACATAAATTGAAATTACAAAAATGAAATAGTGAAAACAATAAAGTGATTTAAATATGCACTTATCAATCATCATAAAAAGAAAAAAAATTATTTAAATAATGTTTAAAATATATTTAGTGCTAACTTGATACCAACAATTTTTGAAGATATTTGATTTTGTAAATTGTTGCGAATCAACCAATTTATTTATTTGATGTTTATACTGTATATTTTATTTTTAGGTCTCATTAGTATTCTTATTATTTGTGTTTATATTCATGTATTTTTCTTAAACAATAAAAGAAATATACATGAAATATTTAGTTGTATATTATATATTTGGATCTCATTTTGTAATTATGTATACAGAGTTAATACTGAAGAAATTTCTGAACCATATGGTTACAGTATATTGTAAGTAAAAAAATTAAGTAATAATACATTTTTATTTTTAAACATACATTTTCACTCTTAGGAAATTGATGTTTTCACTTTCATCGTGGACCATAGCTTGGTATTTACTCGTAATAAATCATTTTGTATTAATATTTATGCAATCTGAAAAAAATTGTCAAAAATGGAAGCATTTAAACTGGTCCTTTATTATTTTATTGCTTTTACGTGTATCTCTTTTGTCAAGACCTCATAATTTATTAATACCTTTTATCTTAGTGTACACGTGCGATCTAATAAGAAATAAAATGTATAGTTTAACTACGATTACAATACTCCATTATTGGTTATCACTTCTTTTCTTTTTTTATCAGGTAAATGAAAATTATTGAAATATTCTTATTATTTTTAGTTAATTTTTATTTGAAAATTATTTGTAATAACATTTTAAAAATCTTTAGGGTAATTCAAATAGTATTGGAACAATTGACATAGTACCTGGATACATAGGACAAACGAGTTATAATCCAATTGTAGCTGGGATACACATTTATACTCATACATTTGGCCTATATTTAATTGTCTATTTTTTCTTTATTCTTGAATACAAGTAATATAATATTTAATTAAATTTTAAAAAATTTAATTAAAAATTCTATGAAATTATTTTAGATTTTTAGGCCTTCAGAAATTGTGTGTGCTGAGTATTGCTCAAACATTCTTGTATGATGTTGTTATCTTGTTTTTCCGAAATCATTTATTTATTTGGTCTGTATTCTCTCCAAAACTACTATATATGGTCTCTTATTCATCAACACTCTGTTTATTTTCTGTAATTTCTGTATTTCTAATGAATTTATTTGCAAAAAATATTGACGACAAACGATTAAATAAGTTTCAATTGTGATATAGTTGCTTAAAATAAATAATAGTTAAAATAGTCTTGAAAAATAAGTTATTTTTTTTTAAAAGCTATCTTATTTTAATTCAAAGTTATATTCATAGGCACAACTAGGGATGTGCTGAAGTATTTCCAATCCTAATTCATTATAAGTGTTGTGAAAATAACTTTTATTCATTTTATTAAAGATGTTTTTATCTGTAGTTGGCAATAAACATAAATAATTTACAACTTTTTTTCATACAATTTAAAACGTCTTTGTGGTTATTTTTTAAATTAAATTATGATAGTAAACCAAACTGAAAAATGATATAAATATAATGTTTTATAGAAGTATTGTTACTGTCATACCAAAATTAGACATTTATTTTAGCAAATTGTTTACATGACCTAAACAAATTTTTTGTCCACTTTATTTTAGCTTGTTGAGTGTACAAATAATTTTAAAAGACTAAGTAAACAATTAAAACAATTTTTTTTTGATTATATATTATGTTTGAAATGATTTTCTCCCATGTTATAATAAAATTAATTGTATCTTGTAAAGATATTATTAAAAAATATTTTTCCTACTCTTTACAAAGATAATCCAATACCCCAATAGTAATAATAAATTTTTATTTTACACTATAAAATTTAGGCAAATTATTTGTTACATAGGTAAAATGTAGTTATAAAATATCATGTTCACTGCAAGGAATGTAAAATGGCAACAAGCTTCTTCTTATATAGGAAAATTTATCTATTTTTATAGAAACATTTTTTTATATATTTTTTCTCTAGAATTATTCTTAGTATACCAATTCTTTGCTATACTTTTTTATTAATAATAATCCTGAGTATGTCTATACATTTTTAAAAATAATAATATGCATAAGTTTCCAACAATGTAAACATTATTTAGAATGTTATTATTCTTTTATAAGATAATAATTCATTCTATCTAGTGTATAAACAAGTATTTTTTCAAGTGTTTTAATATAAAAGCAGTAACTTAATATGAAAATTTTAAACATTTTACCAAAATTTTAATTTTTAATAATTTTATTTAAGTTATCAGTCGCTATAGATACATTTCCTATATTAATAAATGTACAATATAGTTGAGAAATTTATTTTGAACTTTTTCATCTTAATGCTATAACTTTCTAATTCTTCAACGCATTTAACATTTTTTATATTAATTGACAAATACATTTGCACATACTTCAAGTTCAAGTTTAATAATATACACAAAAATGATTGATTCTTTATAATTTAATGTATGAGTAATATAGAATAAAAGTATTTACAAGAAGTATTTTGAATAATTTATTTATAATGTATTAATTTTAATTCTTTAAGGTGGTTAACAATGATCGCTATTGCTAAATATATATTATTCAATTACTAGTAAACGGTATCAATGAGTACTTCTTATTGGGAGAACATTTGTGTATGTTTAGATAATAGGTTTAATTTAAATAAATGCTTTGATTTTTTTGATATTGAGCCAGAAAGCTATGCTCCGTCTAACACACATACAATTGTTAAATGTCAATTTCATAACGTTATTGTCTACAGTTTGTCTAACTTTAAGATATGTACGTTAACACTTCTTTTAAAAAAATTTGCTACAAAATACAATAATTTAAATTGCACACGATTGGCTTTTAAATTAAAAATAGAAAAATAATGAAAACAACGGCGTACAAATTTGTATACAAAGGTGTAGAAAAATATCTCCTTACATGTAGTTTTTTGAACAATTAGGTATAAAATATTAAATTAATTACTCTTTAATTATAACTCGTCCAATTTCAAAACGTTATTAATTAATTATCTTAATAGAACTATTTTTTATAAAAAAATTAAATTATAATTGAAATTTTAGTATAAATGTTTCCAAGAAATATTTGCTACGAAAAACGTAAAATTCAGACTTGTATTTTATGTTTATCGAATTAGATATCTTCTATATAAGTTTTAGCTATTTAAATAAATCTACTGATAATAAACATTTTTCGCACTCCAATTTGCCTTTGAATAATTTACTTGAGATAATTTTAATTGGACAGTTTTGAATTGAAGAGCCGTTATAGACATATTTTAGTAGGAATTTTATTACTTATTTTATACTTTTATACAATTCAAACATTCATATACCTCAATATGTTTAAAAATCATAATCATAATAACAATAAAATATTCTACAACAGATAGTACATTTATTTAAAACTAAATAGGACTAGAGAAAACATTAGAAAAAACACAATAATTCGAGCATTGATTTTATAATAATCTTAATTATAAATTCAATGTTTCGAGTTTCAAGTTTTATATCAGGTTAAATAATATTTGTCTTTTATCAATGATATAGTTTTACACAAAGTTAAGCTCAAGATACACACACAAGTGCTGGAAGAATGATAAAACCGTATTCGTTATATCTCTATGATATGCAAACATTTTTTGTGTTAGTAGACCAAGATAGTTTTACTTGGTAGTCAGTATTTAATACAAAGTCAGAAACACAACCGATAAATCCTTTTTTGTATCTTTTTCCAGTTGACTTTTCGACGTCTTCTGTACCTCCTTAAAATTTTTTATTTTTTAATTAATTAAGTGATTTATGATAAATCAATCACTCTGTATATGATAATTATATATATATTTTTTTTTTCGTTATTATCTTATACAAAATGTTCAGTAAGGAAACGAGTATCTCATTGTTTTCATTGTTTGTAATGACTGACCTGTTTTCTTACTTACTGAACACTGTATATTAGATAATAATAAAAATACTAGTAGAACTAGGAACACAAAACACTATTTTTTTTTTTCAAAAATATTTCTCATTATGACTTGCAAGTCATTATGCATGCACAATAAATATTTAAATCTCTGAATCGTCACAGAATAATTAAAATAAAAGTCATACAATTAAAATTATACATTACATTTTTTTAAAAATAAATCCAAAACTTTTATGGCCAAATTAAAATTTGCCCCCTATTTTTGCAAACGTATTAGTTATTAGAAGTTTTAACGAAGTACATATCTTTTTTTCAGAAACCAATAAAATGTTTCTATATAAGCGCTGGTTATAAATGAAGCCTTATTTGCTTATACATACAATTTGCTAAAAAAAACCTTATAGTTATGTTTTACAAATTGATCTAAGTAAATATATGAACAAAAAAAAAATTACTGCAATTACTTTTTATTTCAATTATTGCATTGTTAATTATCGAGATTATTATATTAACATGGAAACGATGATATTATATAACAATAAAGTTATTTTTTATTACTAATATGTAATTAAAAGTAATCAATTAATGAAACTTACCAAAGTATAAACCTGTGTTTGTATTTAATTGATTTAATTTTCCATTTGATATAGTGAACATTTTTGTTCCATTGTCTATTACAATAACACTCAAACGTTCATGTCTATAAATACATAAAATCAAAAAAGCAAAATGTTTATTTCATATAGTAAAAGTTGTAATGATAAAATAAAATAGTATTTTTTATGACAAATTTATTGATTGATAGTATACTTTTTATACCTCGTAAATTTAATTTTGTGCCAACGTCCATCGTTTATTGACGAACCAGAAGCATTGTACTTAAGGACCGTTTCACCACTTCCTAAATCAAAAGCTACTTCAATTCTTCCATCTTGTAACCCTAATGCCAAGTAATCAGCTGACCTATCCGTTCGTCCTGTCCACAATATAAGTCCACTAAGAGCGGTTGTTCGAAATCTTAAGTCAATTTCTAAGTGCCCATCAGTAATTCTATAGATACAAAAGATGCAAATATTAGAATCATCTCACTTGTATAAACATTTACTGAAAATTTTTCAATAAGAGATAATGAATAGAAAAAAATATCTCCTTACTTTTGTAATGGCATACACAAGATATCAGGGGTGCTTAAGTCATTTTTTTTGCTTATCATTTAGGACCCGGATTCGAATATATTTTAGCTTCGATGCGAAGCTGAGAAGGTATTATTTTACTATGATGTGTTTTTTTTTTTGTGTCTGTTAACACCTTTTCTCAGCTCTCACCGAACGGATTTCTTTCAACGATGCGTCAAAAGATCACAAATTGTATCTAATCGAAGATATTACCCTCAAAAATTGAAAAAATTTCCCTCGTTTCCCGTAAATGGGGGAAACCTCCAAAAAAATTAAATCGCTAATTTTCAAAATTTTTTCAATTTTTTTTACTAAAAACTGCCATAACTTTTTTAAAAATGAATGATGTCTTTACCTATCATTTAGTATATTTTTTTTCATAAATTTAACCCTTTACCTGCCCATAGGGGGGATTTAAAATGACAAATTTTTCATAAAAAATTAACTTTTTCAACTTAACTTTTGAAAGTGTTCCGGAAGGTCTGACACTTTTATATATATCTTAAATTAAAGCTAATGTAAAATACTTTATTATGGAATAAAAAATTTCGGACTTTATTTTGTCTTCACGGTGAAAATAGTAACCAAATGCTATTTTTGTGTGAAAATTCTCGATTTTGTATTTTATATTTTTAACTTTATAATGTTATAACTTATTGAAAAGTGTATGGATCAACACAATTTTTTTATGAGAAATATTATTTTTTAATAATCCCTTTTTCATTCAGGATATTAATATGGAAATAGCAGATCATATAGCTTTTGGAATAATCCACCAATTTTTTAAAATTAAACACTATCTAAAGATTTGCATCGAAACGTTTTTTTTTATAGTGATTTTAATCACTGTCAAATATAATTATACTTGATCCAACTATGCCACGTCACCACTGTGTCGCGCTCCCCCTGTGCTAGTTTTTTTTTTTTTTGGATTATGTTAGATGATGGTTTTCAAGCAAAACATTCGATTTATGTAATGGAGAGTTCAAAAATGAAATTCTTATTTTGCATTATTTAAGATTTTAAAGCGTTTTTGAGTAATTTTAATAAATTAGAGCACATTTATTCAAAAATTAAGTGTATTCATAGACATAATCAGGGGTCTAAGGGGATAAAATTATGATAACTATCTGCATTTTTTACATAAAAATTTTTTAAGAATTAAAAAATTAAGTTTTAAAAATTAAAAATTAAGTTTTTTAAAGAAGTTAGGTTAGATTTCTCAAATATTTTGTCTAATCGTGCTAATTAAAATATTGTGATTAAAATTCAGTTTTTTTAAATGTATAATACTTTTTGAATTATTAATAATATGTTTAATACAAAATCAAATCAATGTATACGAAAAAACAAAACAATTTTGTAGTGACGAATAAAGAAAAACAAGTTTATCAATTTTAAATCTAAAGAAGAATATCGTATCATTTCTTAATGACATAAATTGGCGCAACTAACTTTTTGGCGGTGCTAAATTAATTTTCCCTTTACCCGTAAAAGTATTTTTATAAACATTATATACCATAAAATTTACATTTTTAGTAGGGCTGATTATTCAACAGAAGTACAAAATTTCAAACTGCTCATAGTTGCGATAATGATGATATAGTGTGTCCAACATTGATTTTAGGAAACTATTGTAGTTGATGGATGTATTTAATTGTAATCAAGAAAAATGTTTAAAGATTTTATTTGTTGTGCAGTCGTTTATAAATACCTTTTTTGTATTTCTCGATTAGTGTAATGAACAAACGATGTTCCGTCAAAAGATACTTGGCTGCTATCGGTTGAATTACAGTGCTTATTACATACACATTTGTATTTGTCGAACACAGGAATGCACTGAGCTTCAGTGCCACAAGGTTTCGCCACGCAAGGGTGAGGACAATTTCCTATGTTTGCTCCTGATAGAGCACCTTGGACTATTCGCAATGGTTTGTCATTAACTACTATCTATAAAAGAAAAATTTATCATTAATTAGTTAAAATTAATTATTCGACATAATTATAGTTTAGTATGTTGTTAGGTTTTCAAAAAAAATTATTTGAACACTTCTATGTAAATGCATACCAGTTTGGTTAGGATGGCTATAATAAAAACCGCTAAAATTATTATTCAATCGAATAATGGAAAATTTAAACTTTTTTATCACTATAACTAAAAATGAACACTTAAAATATTTTCATATACATTAACATTTTAATGAAATTAAGCGATATAGCTAGTAAATAATTGAAAAATTCAATTGTTTTAAAATTTCGTTATTAAACCAACAAATTTAATATTAATGTTTTATTACAACTGTATATTGAAATAATATAATATAACTATGAGCAACTAATTTTTGTTATTTCCAAGTGTTGAAGCAAACACAACGCGTAGGAACATTACCAACTTCTTTAATGGCATTATGACGACGAAGAAAATATTATTAAAAACTTTTACTTTGCTCAGCATGATTTTAGTCATCAAAAACCTTATACAGCTTTGTTCCACATTAAAAGTTAAAAGATGAATTTTGTTGAAATTAAAGAATATTTTTAAATTTAAAATACTATTTTATGTATTAGTAGATGAATTTTTTATGCAATTTATTATTTTTCCTCGTCCGAAGATAGTGTTAATTTAATAGAGTAACAACTACAAGAAAAATAAATACTAAAAGTTATTAAAAATTGTTTTCAATTAAGTTTTAAAATATTATTTATTGTTAATTTTTAAAAATTATGCATTTTCACAATTTTACTAGTTTAGGTATTAAATTTAATAGAATTAAATTAAATTGAAAGTAAAAAAATTATGTTAAGTTGTAATGTAGACTTACTTTTTGAATACAACCCCTAAATGAATTTCTCATTTTAACGTTTGATGAAACTTCGTCAAAATCTGGTGTACCACCTATAAACATGCTCAAAGGTAACGATAATTGAGTAAAAGCTCCCGGGGATAAAACCTGTAAAAAATACACAGAAATATAAAATATATTTATTTTCCACGACAAAAATACAAAATTTCATTTGATCAAGAGTTGTATATATTTCAACACTAGTGTAGTCCAAAAAAAAATTCAACTTCGAAATATCTTTTGTTACTTAAAAATATTATGCAGTGAAAGCTCTTATTTGTTATTGACAATTTTCGATTCTGTACAGATAATTAAAGTATTTAAATGAGTAACTATGGTTTTCGCAATTATTTATATATACCATTTTTTTAAATGCTAGATTATTATGTGTTAAAAAAATAATTTGATAACAGAATGAAAATATTGTATTACATTTTAGATATACAATTATGATGAATACCGTAAAGGTTTAATTGCATACCAGTATACATTGTATACTGGTGATGAGACTGTGTTGTAGTAATGAATATGATTTTGTCTTATACCGTTACGTCATTCCCAAAATTACGTTTTACGATTTTTGGAATATTTCGGGAGAAAGAAAAATATTATAATATTTTTATATATATAACAAGAAAAACAGTTTATTACTATTCCATTATCTTAAAATATCTTTCTTCTTTTTCTTCGCCTAATCTAAACTAATTAGGTCGGCCAACCTTATAATATATATATAATTGTTATATTCAAAACGCTGAAAATATATGTGAATATTTAAAGTATTTTTTCAAAAAAAGTAAACTCAAAATATCAAGATATGTAATTTTATCGGATAAAAAATATTCACCAATAAATTTAAATTAACGTTACATTTTTATGTTTTTTATAACTGATTAATTAGTAGCTACACGGTGTCATCGGTGATATTGATTGTAATATTAGTTCAGTAGAAGTTAGAAATTAAAATTAATATGTAGGACATAATAAAAAGAATATCTTGATAATAATAATAATAACTTCGTATCTTCGAGTTAAAACTAATATTTGATCATCAGTCAGCGGACATTTAGCCAGAATTTCATGGGGATGTGTCAAAAAAATGTTTTACTCAGTTACTCAATACTATAAACCCCACTTAACATCTACAATATACGTTCAAAATATTTCGAGATGGTCAATATACTCTCTTGGATACATGTCGAGGTTTAGTGGTATACAGAAATAATCTATACTCTTTTGTACCCATGTAAATATAGAAGGGAGGTGTTCTACCTCATATGATAGTTAATATGTCTGATAAGGCCTCACAGAACCTAACGACATTTACCATAAATTTAACACGGTGAAAGTTTAACTTTGAAATTTTAAACATAATGAATAGTACAAATTTCATATAATATTTTTTTTACAATGTATTTTAATTTTATGTACAATTTTAAAATGAAAAAAAAATGTTTGTCGTACTTGTACATGTGATTGATTATCTACAAACATTGTTGCTAAGCGTCCTGTTCGTGATATCAAAACTTTATGCCACTCGTTCAACGATATAATATGTGGGCTCCTATTACAGAAACATAAATTTCAAAAAGGAATAATACAATATAATATTTAAATACAGAAAACTATATATTTTTTAATTTTTAATTTGAAAAATGAACTTCAATAATACTAAAAATTTGTAAGAAATAATGAAAAAATTGCTTTTTAGTATTAATGCTAACGTTACTTTTCAGCTAATCCTTTTATTATTGTTTTCGCATTTCTTAGAAAAATATGTATATTAGTATCGAGAAAATTATTTTTAGAGTTATTTATGGTATATTTGAAATAAGAATGGAAATCTATAAAAAAAATAGTTTTATCAATAGTTAATGAAATTCAAAACACCTTAAAATAGCAGTTCCTGTTCCTAAATCGAACGCGAACTCTAAATAACCATTAATTAAGTAAACACTAATGAAATCGGCTGTTCCGTATTTTTGATACCCTTCGTATAAAATTAGCCCATTCGGTGATTGTGTCTTAAATGTTATGTCCAAATCAAGCCAAGATAAAGCTGTATCACCCAACGCCGGATGTCTTAAGTAGCTTGACCCATTAAAAGCAGGAACCTGTAAAAATAGACAAATACTTTTATTAACAAGTTCTTAAGCATCGAGATTAAATTACACAACTTACGAAAATGTTTTAATTTTACAACTATTATATAATTATCTAGCAATTAAATTAAAACGACTCATTTGAAAAACTTATTTTACTCAAATAGTGTTTAAAAAAACTAATGCCAAATAAATAAGTTCCCGATACAGCAAATCCTATGAAAGTATTTCTCTACATTTTATGAACGTAGTACTTTTTTCTGCTAATTTTAGGTAACACACAAATATTAATATGATGTGATTTTTTTTTAGTTTCGTTGCGACACTGAGAAGGTTTTAATTCTACTGTAATGTGTTTTTTATATATCCATTAATACTGAGCTCTTAATGACCCGATATAGATCAACTATGTGTCAAAAGATTATAGACTGTATATAATTGAAAAAGTTATCCGCAAAAATTTAAATAATATCCCTCGTTCTCTTAAATGGAGAATATGCATTAAAAATATCAACTGTTGAAATCTGAAAATTTCGATATGTTTTTACTTTGTTGGCTTAAAATTGCTATAAATTTTTAAAAATAAAACTAATTAATAATTATTATTAAAAAAAACAATTTTTTTTATAAATATTAAAAACATCAACGCATATCATTATACAATTAATTTTTGATTTTCGTCAAAGTATCGAAATTAGCAGATTTTACACAAAAAGTTATGTTAAAAAAAGCTGTGTAAATGTATTTAAGGAGAAATTTTTTTTTCTCTGTTATATTTAATATGTTAACGGCGGAAATTAAAGTTAGAAAGAAATCTATTTCTGTTAATTTTAAATTTAAAAATTTGATTATTAATTGTTTTATAAACAATTTATAATTAGAGTATTACAAATTTTTCCTACTTCATAGACATTATTAAAGAGAAGGTTGTACGGTACCACCTAGTCCCCCTTCCTCTAAATTTTTAATAATAACTTTTATTTTGTAATATTGAATGGAAATCATTTAATAATACTTGTATTAATTGCTGTTAGATTATTATCTATACTGAAGTATTGTTCCCAAGCTAAAAATATGGTAAAACTTAATTTTGCCGATAAAATTTTTTTTTTTAATAGTTATTTTTTAGTAGCATACACCCAGAGAAAAACCTCGATCTATATAATAAATTCATTGTTCAATTTGATAAATATATCATTACTATTGAATCTATGATATATTTATCAATATGATGATTTTTTTTCTTATCTTGAACAATAATAATTATTGTTCAAGATAAGAAAAAAATAATTATTATTCATAAGAATAATTATTTTGTTCGTATTAATAAAACATTATCATAAACCCTTGATAAAATTTCTCTATCAAAATTGATTGAGGTTTTTCTTTGGGTGTACTCTTATATTAAAAATTTGCCGACTCAAATGGTTTAATTTTGTCAAAAGGGGGTGTGATACTCTCTACATCAACTATCCCGACGGCTCTGGAATGGTGTTTAATATGCCGGATCCCAAATTACTGAGTTTTATTTTATATTTTGAATTAAAAATTTTATTGAAACCTATTAATATTAAATATTAAACCGGTATATTCAATATCTCTAATTGGTAAAACGCCTTTTTTGGTATATTATCTTATTTCGAGTAATTAATAAAACTTACATGCAATAATTGGTTACAATACACGAAAGTTATTCAAATGTTACCTGTAAATCCAGTTTAGTTCCACACAAATCTCCAGTATAACCAAGTGGACAGAGACATAACGATGTTTTGTTTGATGTGACACATTTTCCACCATGCTGACATGGAGATCGTGTGCACTTATCTGTCGAGCATTCCTCTGTAAAAACAAATCGCACACCATAAACATTTCATTTTCCCCGTCATTTAGCAACAATAAATCATACTGTTTTTTTCAACACGCGAGAGCAATGGGTATAATATTAATCCTCAAGACGGGCCACGAAAAAAAAACATGTTATAAGTCGTTTATCAAAAGCAAATTATAGTGACATAGATTACTAATATTTCTGTATTACTGCATTACAGCAATCTCAATTCAATACAACATAATGATGTTTTTATAATAAAGGTGGCCTAACATAAATGGCATTTGTCTTTGCGTAATTTAATATGATATCATTCATAATATTACTATAATTTTATTAAACTCTGATAATAAATTTACTAATTCAATTTACTAATTTACAATCTGATATGTGATAAAAACAGAGTGATTATTACAATGGGTTTTCTAGGTCTTTAATATTTTTACTAATTATTACAGTATTTTCCTTTTAAATGAGACACTACATATAATATTTTATTGTTACTATGATGAACGGCTAATTAGAACACATAAATATTTTTAATATTAAAACAGTTATAATTGTAATCTCTAAACATTTAATCAAAATTACTCCAAAGTTTCCGGTTTAATTTACTTTAAAAGCATTTTACCATTAGCAAGTTAAATTGCAGAATTTCGTTATTTCAATAGATAAATCTTCGACTACTGCTATATCTCTCTAATCATGTTAATTTATCTTTACATTAATTAGTCAAAAGTATAAATAGTATAAAATAAAACTTCAAGTACAACAAATATTTGACAATAATGTGTTATTGTTATGATTTGAATAATTGTTTATTTAACTTCAGGTGAAGTACATTAATAATGTTGAGTATACAAATTAGTATTATTAGTATAACATTTTAATTTATAATAAAAGACTTTCTTTAAAATTAATATTGTATTAAAAAAGACTTGTATGATGATAAATTGAAAATGTACAAACCTTTTTTTGACAAAAAAAATGTAAATTCTTATCTTTCCGTGTTTTATAAAGTAATTAGAACATTAAATTTTCACGTAAAGCTTAAATTCGATTTTTTCATAATAATTGTTGTCATTATTAATAATAAAAAAGTAAATTCCAAAAATTAATATTCTATAATTATAGTTTTAAATTTTATAGACGTAATTAGCATTTATTGACAAAAAGAGAATAAAATAAAATATCACTTTTAAATAAATAAATAAATGTTACGTGTTTAGTTTTATACAAAACATTTCCTACTTTACCACAATTGAAATATACACGTGTGAAATTTTAGTCAACGAAAACTATAAAGAGCTTAACTTTATTTGATTTTTACATAAGTTATGTATATTTATGTTTGTTTTAATTCTATATTGTTACAATATAGTATAAAGGATTCGTTAAATTATTCCTGAAATAAGAGTCTGTAATACCGATGAGGGTTTATATAATATTAATTAACGCCAACAAAATGCCATAAAATAACGGCTATCGGAGTTAAAGTACACGCCCGCCCTTGACTTGCCTCTAAAGCCATTTATTCCTTTTGAACATTAACCCTACCAACGCTTTGAGCTGCGTTACTTTTTTCTTTAGCATTGTTGTCGGTAGCAGTTTAATAATTAAGGCGATACGTAAATAAACTCAAACACACGCCCTTCTTGACAATATCATAATTCCTAATTATATTTTGTCTTTATATCTCTGCAATTTATCTATCGTCTATCATTATGTCAATATATTGATAAAGTGCGTGGCTATTGAAATGTATAAGATGATAGCTCATTAGAGTTGACGCAAATTCACTAGTACATTAAATAATTGAAGAAAATTTATCAATATTAAAATTTAATTAACACAAATAATAATATTACATTTTTTATCAAATACTTTTATATGATACAAATTATTTATTTATTTTATGTTTTTTTTATTTTAAATGCGCAAAGTATTAGTCAAATCACTCAAACTTTGATATCAGATGAAATCTTAGGAAAGTAATCGTATTTTATAAGTTCTATGCTCTTAAAAAGTATAAATGCCTACGTTGAGAGCAGTATATGTAGTTCTTGGATAAACTTTTTCGTCACCTCGGAAATACAAAGCATTAAATTACAAATAATTACCACCATAGTTTCCAACAACCCATATGCTCTGAATTTTAGTATAGTTTGGTAAAGCAGAATTTCTGCAAATACCTCCTTTATTATATCACATAAGTCGTCGAATAACTTATTATCTGGGCTCAGTTTCTCGTGATATGGTCACGAATTAAATAGATTAAACTCTAGGAGTTTTATCATAAGAAAAGATTTTGTTTACTATAATTGCATATTTTATTTTATATAGTATGTTCAGGATAAACGTTCTATATTCGTTTTTTTTACTTCTTGATTCTTTAGTTTGGTCACGTATTGTGCGCTTCGTTTTGAATATTTCAAAAAAGTGTTTCATCAATTTAAGGAACTTTTTTTGAGAAAAAATAAAGAAGGCGTTTTTATTCTTGTTGTTCACGATACGATGTAATACTTAGTTATACTGTTTAATAACAAAATTTGAGATATTTTGTGAATTTTTTTTATTACATAAATTTAATATTAGTATTGTTAGCAGATTAAAAAAATCATGCGTTCATATTTCTTTCACATTGTAATTGAGAACATAAGTAACAGATAATAGTTTAAGAAAAAATTAAAATAATAAATGTCTTAAGCTCTTCTTCATTGTTGGTTCGATGAATTGGTATTAATTTATTGAAAACTAAAAAGAATTTTTTTCTTATCCGAAAATTGTTTCATTGCAAATTTTATACATGTTTTGTATCACTCTAATAGCTACTCGAATTAAACCGGTAAGATAGATAATATCATTAATAGGAAAAGAGTAAACTCTTTTCCTTTAACCAAATAATCAAATACATAAAATATCGACCATGCACATTTTATAATATTTTTAATGCTATTTCTATATTAAATTAACTAAATCGATAAGAACTGTGACTGGACTAGAATTTTTAAATTTTTTTTTTGTATAAACAACATTTTCATTAATTTAGATACAGTATTCTCCATTAGAGATTCTTAAAAAAATTAAATGGACAATTAATTTTATTTTGTGTCTCTTTAAAATCTATTTTTTCTAAATATGTCACTATTTTTTCTGATAGGTGGTATATACAGTTTTTTAAAGAGTATAATAATATTTTAAAACTTAGATGAGTTATTGTATGATGTACTTCAGACCAGTTGTGTATTTTGGGGTTGTTTAAATCTCCCTATAAAATTAATACCTAATCTGAAAAATGTAATTTATAGAATATATAATTAAAATTTTTTTTAATGATTTTTTTTTTTATTCTTGAACTTTTAAAATAAAAATTTTTCATTTTAATCTCAGAGTTTTTTCAGAAAATTCACCACTGTCTTGGACGAGTTGTTAACTTAAAATATTTATTAATTGGAAAATTAATAGAGGTATGTGAAATTTCATTTAAACAATATTGCAGTAAACTCACCAATTTCTTTAGCACTGATAGTATCGCCAGCTGGAGCTTCTCCAAAATCATACCTATGATCGTTAGTTTGCAAAAGCCTGATGCAGCCAACAAATCCTCGATCAGTGGGTAGACGTTCGACTAAACCAGAAGTATTCCCGGGGCCTCCAATAAAAACAGGTTCGCGAAATGTGATTCGCGAAAAAAGACCCTAAATAAATTTCAAAATTAATTATTTATAATAATGATATCTTTAAAATTAAATAGGATGTTTAGTAAGTAAAAAAAATTGTTTCTATTATTCTCATTGTTTACAAAAATAGAACTATTTCCTCACTTTTTGAACATTCTTCATAAAAATATTCCATTAAATCAATTTTTATTTTTTAATCAATATATAAACAAGTTCTTGAAAAAAAATATCTATCATTTTAAAATGTTTAAAAGTATACCCGACATATAGTTTATGTTTAAACATTATTAATAAATTGCATCATTCTGAACCCATTTAGGAATTTTCTTGAATTCAATATTGAAATAAAAGTACTAAAATTTATTTTAGTGTTAATGATTTTGTTTTATTTTAGAATTCACGAACATAATTAGAATTTTTTTAATTAAATATATACTCCCAGAAGTCTAAACATATTAATATTTTCAATTTCATCAAACTTTATTGAGGTTTTTTAAAAAAAACTTAATTTATGTGTATCATGTATGAACGTACAAAAACAATATTATATATAAAATAATTATAAACTTACTTTTGATCTGCCAGCAATTCTTTTTCCTCTGTTTAACTGAATCCACGCATCCCATCTATGCCGGTACACAGATAAAGTATTCCACTGATTTAAAATCACCGTTTCATCGGACTTCACAACTCCTATTCCAGATCCACAGTCAAATCTATTGAACATATACGATAAAAAGTCGAACATAATGTATTAGAGTGTTACGTTACAACTTACCTGAATTCTAAAAATCCATTATGAAGCAAAATAGCCATAAAGTCCCCTACCAAATCGTCTCTTTCACCTGCCAAAAATAATATTCCGTCCCAGCTTTCTGGTCTAAACTCTAGGCTAATTTGTGCGTGTTTGTATGCCCCGCGAAGTGGAGGAAACGCCAACCAACTAAGACCATTAAACCGAGGATATCTTATTTGATTTGCTGTACATAAAAAAGTGATTTTTACAGTAACTTACTTAAGTTAATGATAATTAGTATTTATTTGTCAAATTCCGCATTTTATACAAATAATATTTATACTAAATTGTATCATTTTAAAAATATACATTATGATTTTTATTTCCAGTAAACTTACTTCTAAACTGGAAATGGAACAAAATCAAATCAGATTTTTGGACTGGAACTATTAATTTTTAAAACCATATTCTCTTAATTTTTTGTAAGCTATTAACTAGTATAACTTTAGTAATGAATCAAAATTATAAAATAAAAATATTTGTTTTTTTTACGGCTTCTGGTTATTGTTTTTGTCTACAGATCTCTATTCATGATATTCTTAGTGTTTTAATATAATTTCATATATTAAGGATTCTTGTCTCAATAAGAGTATAGATCTTAATAAAATATCATCAATTATCTTTAATAAAAACACATTATAGTTTATAATATTTAGGACTGTCAGCGTAGTTTCATACATAATATTAAAGAAATATACTTAAACTTGTAAAATTAAAATTTTATAAACAAAATATTTGTTAAGTCATTAGTCAAAAGCAAAATAATAAATTTGTTTAAAATGTTTAATAAAATAAAAAACATCACATTGCTCTTATTAAAATATAATAGCGCGTGTAAAACTTCATTATATCAGTCTTTTGTCACTACAATAAAACTTAATAACATTAAACTGTAATACAAGCTAAACTATAATTTAGTTAATTGAAAGTTTCAAATTACCCAAATAATTTCAAGTTAAAATTTTATGATAGCAAAAAACTTAAAATTTAGTTTAATCCGTAATTATTTTTCATTAATTTATTTAAATTGCTTTTATAATATTTAAAATATTAGTATAATATTTATATGTTAAATTTTCTTGTGGTGATATTGAACAAGAGTAAAAGAATTTTATGGCTGTTATAAATTTGTATGAATTGAAAAGAAATAAAAATATTTAATTATTTATTTTTAGAATATGTACTTATTTCAGACTGTGTATTGAATGTTATATGGCTACTCTATTACTAAGAATTATTAAGACTGTCCAAAATACCTATTATGCGCCTTTATAGGGTTAATTTTGAAACTTTGTTGGTTTTATTTCAGGTATAAGGCAAGTCATAAAATAGATAATTTATCGGATCAACAACTCTAAGTTTTATCGTTATTATGGAACTGGCTGGTCAGTTGTACACATGAACATTTACAATGGTGAATTTGTGGTATAGGCTTTGCGTGTGGCTATATTTAGTCGAAAAGGAATGTATATTTTAATGGATTTTTATCGAAAGAACTAACTTTAAGACCGGCGTCAAATGTGGCTTCCAGGGTGGACGGAACAAATATCCGGGGCGAATTATTGGGTGCGGTCACGCCAATGTAATAATTGCAGTCACGCAAACTCAAATTTAGCCCATAAATATATTTATTAAGAGTTCATAAGTATTACATTTTTTTTTAATACAACCTACCCTTAAAAGACAATATTAAATTAATGAAAAAATTTAATTAATCTTAATCTTTGATAATTATTGACGAGTTTATTGATTCAAAAATTTTTTTTTTGAATTATTTTAGTTAAAATTCCATTGAAGTATAAAAAATAAATAGTTATTGGTTCAATCTAGCATTGTCACTATTTGGTCATGAAAATATTGCAACGAATAAGTGTTGTTATTCGTCGTTATTAAAAAAAGGAAAAAGTACTAAACAAACCGAAAGTTGCTAGTAGGGTATTATTTCTGATCAATAAACAAACAAAAAAACGTGTATCGAATTATAAAACTGCAATAAAATATTTTTGTAGGTACTTACGCTGGATATCGTTTTTGTAATATATATCATGGTAGTGTAAATATATTTTTTACTGATGCTTAAGTAACATATTTTTCATTTAATTAAGTGGAAATTTGAGGGTTTTCTATCATTTAGTTCATACATTATATGATTATTGAATTAAAAATATATTTTTTTACTAAATAGTCTTTGAATTATGTTATAATCAATTTTTTTTTGTTTTAATTAAAATCTGAATTCTAAGTTATTTTATTTTTTATTCTTTATTCAAAATTTCAAAAACGGATATTTTTTCAAACTTTAAAATTTTCTGTCAAAAGTGGAAATTTATTATAATAAAAGTTGATGATTTGATATTTTGTGATAATAATATTTGTTTTCTTATATGATTAAGAGTTCCGATTATATGCAGTTGAAACCTTAAAATAAAAAGTAAATATGCTTAAAAATCTAAAAATAAGCTATTCAAAATAATAAAATATAGAAAAATCTTTATTTTTATTTATTTTTTTCTTTTCAGACAATAACTCGAGGGACAACTGATTATTCTTTGCTTTATTCTTGCAGAAATTTCTCTTAAAGTCTTATTTTAATATTTTTTTTAACAGAGAACGAGAATTAAAAATTAAAAGTTTCATTTTTATGAATATTAATTTATTTTTAAAACTAATGTTTCATAAATTAAATAGATTTACAATGTCATTTATAAATGTGTAAACCAACATCATAATACTTCCCCTCGATTTAACTAAAGATACCATTTAAAATCCCAAAAACACACAAAGGTTTATCTCATTGAATTGTATTGTTTTTTTTTTAAAGTATAAAATGTTATGTAGATCAAAAATTATATGAATTGTCAGTTAGAATTGTTCCACTCTGTATATATAGTTTTTCATTAAACTTTAAGTGATGCTGAGAAAATGATAGCTATCGCTTTATTAACAACGGTTATAGGTTATGACTTTATCATCGTAAAATATCTCAGTGTGACTTATGAGATTACAACATTTGAATATTTTTTTAAAAATATAGTGTAGAATATTTATAGATATAAATAAATCTTTTTAACTTTTTAAAGCAAACATTTTGATTATTCGATTTCAAATAACTTATATAGTTTAATGCAAAGAACATTTACATTCTGGATATTTATTTCAAAATATAATAACATTTAAAATTTAAGATGTTTTATACTATCTACTAAAAATAGTTTCATTTACATTGATTTGTATTTGGTTATATATTTAATTTGTTTAATGGAATGAGCAAGAAGAAAGAATAATTTCTGATCACATAAATATATCTTTAGTGAAAACGCCTAAAAAATTAAATTGTATGTATTTACTTTATCATAATATATTAAAAAAATGTATTAAATTTTGATGAAAGAGCAAAAAACTTTATTTTTAATTTCAAGAGAACTATAAGTTGTCATATTTATAGGATTTTTTTCGGGAGTAGACTAAAAAGTTTTGATTTTTTCAAATCAGTTTTTCAGTTATTTAATTTACTTGAATAATAATATAGAAATTTCTGAGATGATTCCTGTACCATAAATTCATTGTTAACTTTCTGTCCTAATGTAAAATTTACGTGTTTCTTAAAAGAGTTAAAAAACTTAATGCTTTGTTATAATGTCACCATATAAGTATGAAAGTAAGAGTATATATTTTAACCTTAATAAAAAAAATATTTTCTTTAAAAATTAACCCATTCAGTTTAATTTATTTTAAAATTAATTTTCTTTGTCAACACTACTTTATATTAATATTGTACAAATGTTGTTTTATTAAAAATGTATGATAACTAAACTAAATTTATGGATAAAGGCAGTTTTTTTTTTTAAACTGCATTGTTTTACTTACCGTTAGTTGGTGAAACTTTATAAGTATTTTTATTATATATTCAAAGAAAACTTTTACAAAATGTATTGTGGTAACAAGCTATTTTAAAGTAAGTTTCTAGATTATCACTTTATAGTAAGTGGATTTTATTATTATATTAAAAAACTCTTGGTTATACAGGAACGTTTAGGACCATAATCTTGTTAATACCAGAATATTCATTTATACAAAAATTAATTGCAATTGATGAATGAATTAATTATTAAATAAATATTATTTTAATTTATAATTTCATTTATTTGAAATTGAGAAATAATATCTTTTCAATGCATTTGGTTTACAGAAACTATAATAAATAGCATTTAAAATAAAAAGTTCATCATAACTCAATCAAAAAAGTGGGTATTGTACTACTTTATTTTGCACTTTTGATTTTTTGTTCAAAATAGTTATTTGACCTCTCCAACTTTGGTTGCTTCATTTGTTTCAGTTATATACTTTAAGAACCATTATTTAACGATGTTAATTTAAAAAAAACCAAAAAAATGAGATAAAATGAGATAGGATCACAAATATAATTCTAACATTTAAAGCATTTTGGATATTCCAATTGTCTTTTGAATTATATTATATATTTAATTTTAAAAGATCGTTTGAATAAAGATTTAAAAATTTACAATGGCTAAAAAGTTTATTTTAGTACTTTTGATTCAAATTACAAGATTTATATAATTAGATTTCCATTTATTATTTTTAAAAGAAATATTATATTTCAAAGACATTTTATTCGACTACATAAAAATGTTGTGTATTGATTTTTGTAAAAGTATTATATTTTGCTCAGAGCTTAGAATCGATTGATAATTATTAGAACTCTTTTATTCACTACGTATATACTTTGTAAGGTTTGAACACGATGTACACTGTGTAAAAATACAGTTTTAATTAATTAATAGTTAATTTGTAATAATAAATACAAAAGTATTAGAAATATTAGTGCTTTCAATTAATCTGTTTTTAAATATCTACTTGGATAAAAACATAAAATCAATAAACTTACTGATTTGACAGTCAGACCCAGTTTTTCCAAACGGACATCGACACGTTGATTTACCATGATTGTCAAAAACGCAAACACCTTCACCACATTGAAGAGAACATATGTGTGCTTTATCAGTCGTCGACGTTGGTTTTGATATTTTAACAAACCGTACACTATCTTCTGAATCGATATCATTTGAATCAACAAACGTCAGTCCAATGTCTTGTTCAAACTCTTTTATTTTGTCTGTCGCCGAATCATTTCCTTTTAGAGGAAAAAACAATTTTTTAGTTAACTAATAATAATAGTTATTTATGAACGATACGTCAAAAAATCAAAAGTCATATCTTGTTGAAGTCATTACTCATGAAAAAATTCCCCCGTTTCATGTAAATGGAAGAAATTCCACAAAAATTTTTATTTTTAAAATCGGTAAATTTCAACTTTTTTTTCTTAAAACTGCCATAATTTTTTGAAAAATAAACAAAACAAAATATTTTTTTTATATAATTACTTTTGGTATTTTCCTTACATTTAATATGTATTTTTTTTTAATCTAATCATTAACTCTCCACAAGGGGGATTCAAAATAAAAAAATTATAACATACTTATATCATCCAACATACTTTTTTTTAAATCGGACCATAAAGTCTGATATATAAAAAATGAAAATTTATTATGTTTATTTCATTAAAGGGTGACTAAAGAATATTTATATTGGTTTTAATAAAACCAATAACAATGTAAAATCATTTTACACAATATTAATCCAATTGTTAGAACAATATAACAAAAATAATTATAGTTTAGGTTCATATTTCAAATATTACAATCATTATTTTTCTAATTAAAAAAAAAGTTTCCTTTTATATAGAGGAGTTCAAAACTTGAAACATACAAACCTTTTATATAACATAAGTGAATAGAAATTTTTCAATATAACTTTTGAAAATGTTCCAGAAATTCTTCGATCTTTAAATATATATATTAAATTAAAACTAATGCTACATACTATAAGTTACAGAAAAAAAATTTGTCCTGGGACTTTATTCTGTATGTATTCGAAATTTGACAAAAAATATTATCTTGGTATACAATTAAAGTATTTTGAACTATTTTCTGTATTCTACAATATATTAATAATCTGAAATATTCCAGGCCTAGTTTCACCAAAGATTTTGCCACTAAAATTAGAATTGATAGAAATAATCTAATTGCTGTTTTGAAATTGGCGCAAAATTGGTTTAGACAAAGTATTATTTATCTCAGATTAAAATTTCTTGTAAACTAGTTAAGACCAAATTATTTATAATTATTTTCTCCAAAGTTTTACATCATGCAATTCAATTTTTAATATACATTTTCCATAGAAGTAGCGAAATATACAACTACTTTATAATATTTTATAATTGCTCCGTAAAATTTACGTTATTAAATTATTGAATATCAATTTTATACTAATATTAATTGCTGCAATTAAAACTATTAATTACTAATTATATATTCATATATTAAACTTATAAATCAAAGAACTGTTAGTCTGAATATATATTTAAAGAAATAGAGTTGCTTTTGAAATAATTCAACAACAATTCTTTCTTTCTTAAAATTATACACCAAGTAAAGATTTGCATCTAAGCGTTTCTTATGACAGTTATAATAATCACTATGACACATCATCTACACTTATCTCAACTATGTCAAGTCTCCAATATATTATCGTTTTTGTTTTAATTACGTGTTAGAAATAAATAATTTTCTAAAATCAGAGATTTACCGGATTAGGATTTTATCATCTCTAGTGTAGTAATGAGTCGCTTTTATTAATAAAGTACTATAAGTGTGCTATGATAATTTGTCTGAATTGGGGTATTTGTATCATATTAATTATATTCTTCGGGATAGGTATTATATTACGTATTTAATTGATAAAAATAATTAAAACGTTTTAATGTTACATGAAATTCAATACTTGTTATTTTAAAAATTTGTTTTCTGTTTTATAAATGTTTTACTAACAACAGTTTTTATTAGATATTAAAAAATGTAATAGATATAATAACAAAACCAAAATACAAAATACAACTTGTTTTAATTACATTCAATTGCCATTTTATTTTATTTTAGCTAGTTCACTGTTTTTTGAAAATGAAGTAATTATTAATTTTTAAGAGAATGATAAAAAATAATTATTACTATTTAAAAACTTTAAAAATTGATATTTTAATTAATGGAGTTCAAAATTAACAAAAGAAATAATTTAAAAAAATTTAAACAATGTCATTATATTTAAATGTCTACGACCAACAATATGGAGATTAGAATTATTGCCAACTAAGAAACAAAAGCCGCTCCATAAAATAAAAGTAATCTGTAGGAAACTATAAGAACTATGAACACCTAAAATGAATGCAATTACTACTTAAATAACTTCCACAATACTCTTATATCTCAACTAATTAATACCAAAAAGATCTTTTAATTATAATCATTTTACATTTTTTCACTGAATCAAGATTTATATTTTGAATAACACTCTGAGCATCAAAGATAATTCTTACTTTTATAATTTATTACAGTAATTTTTTTAATTTAACAATTGGTCACAAATTAAAAGTGAATGAAAAGAACAAAGGAAAGTCAACTTATTTAAAAATATTCAACAAATATCTGATTTGTATATATTAATCTTACCATGTATGTAATTAATTAATCATGGTGTCAAATGGGCTACGATAGTTTATAATAAAAACTTTAAGTTGTTAACACTAGAAAATAAAACAAGGTAAAAATATACCTTTATTGAATACATCTTCCTCGTTTGAATAAATATACGTAAGCTACTTTAATGGTGACAAAACTATCAAGTTACTGAAAATGTTGTTTTGGTGGATGTCTGATAAATAAATTTGTCAAAAAACATTTTACCACATTTTGTGAAGTAATAATCCAATAAATAAATATAACTCATAATAAACTATTTAATAGTAAAATCAATAAACCTAGCCGAATAACTATGTTAATTATATCTGTTACAGTATTATCTTATTTCTCAGTTGGAAGATTATTTTAGTATAATAATTTGCATAAAACATTGAAGATACAGAAAAATATTTTTTATATGAGTTACGATCCTAATAATTTTAAAAGTATCATTTTACAGTTCTTTTACTAAGGATATTACATATATAGCAAGAAAGAGTATTATACAGGGTGATTTTTTTATCATAACCCACTCAATTACTTGCAGAATAATAATAATTTAAACATTTATTTTTTTTATTATCTTTAGTTACACATTATTCTTGAATTTTTAACTATATAATACTTTTTAAGTTCTACCCTTATGCCTTGTAAGGGGGTCAACTTTGTTTTTTTAAATGGTAACACATATTATTAATTTAATAAAATGTTTGAGTTTTTAATTTAATAGTAAATGGCATTTGAATTTTTAATATAACTTTATTAGCTTATTAGATATAAACATTTAAAGTTTCAAAATTTTGAGTTAATATACATGTATAATACACATGGGATTGTAAATACAGGTAGCTAATTGGATTTTTATGACATTGCTGTCTCAGTCACGGATTGTTTATTATCAATTATGATTATCAATAGATATACTTTCTGTATTGTCAGTTAGTGTATTTATAAACTCATAACAATGTGCCTTACTACAATTGATAATAACAATGCTGTGTACCTGCTAATATCGATGTTATAAAAAACCAATTAGCTACCTATATTTGTAATCCCTTGTGTATTATACCTGTATATTAATTCAAAAATTTGAAACTTTAAATGATTATATCTAATAAACGAATTAAGTTATATTAAAAATTCAAATGCCATTTACTATTAAATTAAAAACTCAAACATTTTATTAAATTAAAAATATGTGTTACCATTTAAAAAAACAAAGTTGACCCCCTTCCAAGGCATAAGGGATGAACTTAAAAAGTATTACATAGTTAAAAATTCAAGAATAATGTGTAACTAAAGATAATAAAAAAAAAAATGTTTAAATTATTATTATTCTGCAAGTAATTGAGTGGGTTATGATAAAAAAATCACCCTGTATATATAACTATATATATAGAGTTCATTTATTATGTATGAACGAACAACACATTACAAGTTACGTTATTCTAAAGTATCAATTTTTATAACAAAACTTAACATCTTTTCAGGTGTAACGTGATTATAAAGAAGATAGAACATAACTTATACTACTATTTGATAGAACTTTCGATATCAATACTTATAAGTGTTTGGGGGTAATGTTTATTAATGTTACTATACCAGGAATATCATCCAAGTACTGACCGCCAATACTGGATAAAATCAGAATGGACACGTAAAAAAAAATTTACATTCCTTCTTATGGGGACCCACAATTTTGAGCTAAAGAGTACTAATGTAACCGCGACTAAGAGAAAAAAAAGAACAACAATAATTGACACTGTTTTTCAATACATACTTTTAAAGTTATGAGTAGTTCATTTATTTAAGTTAAATAATAATCATTTTTTTTTTAATTGAAACTTTGCTCAGCATGTTAAAAAAATTGTCTATCCTATTTTTTAGTAAATTTTTTTTATAGATTTATAATAATTTAACTTTTAATTATTTCCTAATTTAAAATAAATGAAATATGTCAAGATAATGTATATTTAAAGAATCAGATCATAAATATCATAGTATAACATACTAAATTTGGAATTGATGTAGAATAAATTAATAATTTATTTTAAATAAATAAAATAACTCTTTGATTAATTTATTTTTTCTTTACAAATATTCAGATAAAATTATAACGTTTCAAACATGCACTAACTTTTGAACTTTAAATACAAAACTGATTAAGAGGAAAAATATTTATCTTCCAAATCAATATAATCATAAATATATTGTTATAATAAAAAAAATTATTAGTTATTCTTGTTTTTAAACATAATCTAAGATCTTTTGGCGCTAAAAACACTATTCTAATTCCAATACAACAATTGAAAATTAATAATTTTGAAATAAAATTAAAGGTACCATACAAGATCTGAAAAGGTTTGTATTATAATTCATAAATTAAAAATGTTCTACATTTGTAGTATTAACTCACTTGTACATGTATATCCGTCTTCGTGTAATGAAAATCCTACTTTACAGTCACACTCGAACATGCCATCATGTAACTCGTAGCACAGTTGTTGACATGGACTATCAATACCACAACGACCTGTATAATTAAATGATTAATAAAAATCAAAAAGTATTTTTAGAAATTTGCACAAAAAAAAATAGCAATACATTAATATTTTGGATTAATGTTATTCCATAAAATAACTTAATTAATACTTTAAAAAATTTAATTATTTATGTTTTGTAAGAATATTTTTGTAACAAAATTATTTATCACTCTTCTGTCGATTATTTATTTAAGTTGAAAAATTAAAAATTATAACTCTTTTTTATAAATTTAATAAAAAGTCATTCCCACCAATTATGTTTCTATTCCTTTTTTTCTATGTACAAAAAAATTATCTTATGAATGGGCTAAATCCTCGTGGAACAAAAATAAATCCAATGTAAAAATTTATTCCACATTACTTTCTATTTTAGCTTTAAAAATATTAAAAATAAGTTTGATAAAATACATTACATATACTGAGTCATCACATGTATTATTTATAAACAGTGTGAGTTCTACTCATTCTGTTCAAATATGATATGTCAAACCTATTTAAATTTTGACTATATTTTAAGACGTTTTTAAAGAAGCACTATTAAAAATACATGACGTCCATTATTATATAAATTATTCTTATAATTTAAATATATTTTAGTATTATTTAATAAAATTTCAAAAAGATGAAACTTAAAAAATAACACGAATGTTTAGGATAACGTTATGATTATTTAATTTTAATTTTATTATAAATTACTAATTAATTATTAAAAATTGTGAGTAGCGTATTTGTATAATGTCTGAGAAATATTTATAATAGAAAATGTACGTTTATTATATTTTAGCTTCGATGCGAAGCTGAGAAGGTATTAATTTAACTATGATGTGTTTTTTTTTTTTTTATGTCTATTACCACTTTTTCTCAGCTCTCACCGAACCGCTTTCTTTCAAAAATACGTCAAAAGATCACAAATCGTATCTAGTTGGAGACATTACCCTGAAAAAGTGAAAAAAATTTCCTCGTTCCCCGTAAACGGGGGAAATCTCCAAAAAAATTACAAATTTAAAAATCGCTAATTTTCGATATTTTTTCAATTTTTTTTTTACTTAAAATTGACATAACTTTTTTAAAAATGACCGAATCAATATAATTTTTTTTTTTATAGATACCTTAGATATTTACCCTTAAAAATTAAAAAAAGTTCCTTCGTTTCCCGAAAATGATGGAAATATCCAAAAAAATTATAAATTTAAAAATCGGTAAATTTTGTCATTTTTTTCACTTTTTTTTCTTAAAACTTCCATAACTTTTTCAAAATTAAACAAATCAATATAATTTTTTTTTATACTAAAACCTTAGATATTTTCCTTTCATTTGATATCATTTTTTTGAAAATCTATCACTTAACCTGCTCATTGGGGGGGGGATTTAAAATAGCAACTTTTTTACAAAAATTAACTTTTTCAACTTAATTTTTGAAAATGTTCGGGAAATACTGAGTCCTTTAAACATATATCAAATCAAAGGTTATGTTATATACTATTAAATGAAAAAAAAAAATTTGTCCCGACGACCTATCTTCTATGTGCAAATGGCTACCGTATTTAAAAATATGCTATTTTAACAAATTTTTTTTTTTTCAATTAAACACTATCTACAGATTTGCATCGAAGCGTTTTTTATGATAGTGATTTTAATCACTGTCAGATATCATCTATACTGGACCCAACTATGCCACGACCCCACTGTGCCGCCACACCACAGTGCTGGGTTTTTTATTTATTTTATAATTTTAAAACATTATTATAATATTTTAAAACATTATTTTTTAAAATTGCTTTCTAAATATTACTGATGATAGTATTAATTTTTTATATATTTTTATTTTATTTTTTCGACATTGAATATACTAGAAACGTTTCTGTCTTTGGCATTTGAAAAATTTGATTTTTAAGTGAAACTTATTGAGAAAATACCAATACTTGAATCAGCTAATTTGCTGTACGCGAGAAATACTTAAGATCAGCTAATTCCCAAGATACCAACAAAACGTGTTATAATATTTTGAACGATATTCGAACATATATATTTAGACCATTCGAAAAAGTTACACATAAGCTGATTCTTTTATCAGTACAAGTAATACAATTTTATTTTGTACGTTTAAGTTTCTTTGATTGTCATAATGTAAAAACTCATGAAAGGCTTGTTTTATGGAAAAATGTTTTTCCATTTGTATGTGTAATGTATAATATAAGATACACCGTTCATCGAAGGTTCGTTTATACATTTTAGGTAAAATTTTTTATAAAGAAATCATTAGAATATTTCGCTTTGTGTTTATCAGTGGAAAATATAACCGCTTATGTGAAAGGATCTTAAAATGTTTTTAGCGTATTAGATGAAGGCGAAATAGTGACGAGGTAGAAAGAATACTATATATATTTTTAGATCTGTATGAAGGATCGATAGAAGAAAACGATATGAATATTGAAATTATAATACAGTCAAACAAAGGAGACATAGGTCCAAATATAACAAAAATTGAATTCATCAAATCACTAAATGAATTGAAACAAGATAAAGCGTTATAAGTCGATAACATCCTGAACAGAATTATTGATAAATGTCGGAAAAGATACTGAGTGTAAGCTATTTGAAATGATTAAGAACGTGTATAGGGATAGCAAATTCTAAAAGACATTGCCAAAAGTAAAATTGTACTAATCCCTAAAAAAAGTAATTTCTTAGAATGCAAGAATTACAGAACAATAAGTCTCTTAACACATGCTTCCGAGATACTGCTTTACATAATAAAGAATAAGAAAAGGAAGAAAATAGATAAAGATCAGTTCAGTTTTTGAAAAAGAACTGATATAGGTGAAGCAATTATAGTCCTAAGGTTACTCACGGAAAGAAAGCTAAATGTAAATAGAAATACATTTATAACAATTGATGAATTATATGAAAAAAACACGAATAGATTTGAAGGATAGGCGAGTAATGTTACTATACAAGTAACAAAAGACCCTAATAGATGTAGGAGAACATAACACTACAGCAAAAATTAATAAGAAGCTAAATAAAAAAGGGTAAGATAAGGTTGTTCCTCGTCTGTTCAATTTATTTGTAGAATAATTATAGACTAGTATAAGAAAAACTTTAAAAGAATACGCATGAATGGAGAAAAGATCTACTGTATACGATTTAGAGTTAGTATTGTTTTAGTGTCTGAATCGGAAAAAGATATTCAAAATTCTCTTAACAACCTTACTAAAATATTGTAAAAATATCAAATTGTAATAAATGCAAATAAAACAAAAACAATGGTGGTGACTAAAGCAAAAGAAATTCCTTTAGCGAAGCTGGAAATAGAAAATTACTTAAAACAACAGGTAAAACAATCCAAGTTCCTAGGAAGTATTTGAATTATTGAAAAGGTGATGGTATATGCGCAATGTAAATTAGGCAAGAAACAACTATGGTAAAAAGTGCATTTATGTAAAAAAGTAAGCGGCTTGAAAACAAAAAACTTAATATAAGTATAAGTAAAAATTATTGTCAAATGCTATGAATAGAAGGTATTGTTATATGATTGTGAAACATAGACCATCAATAGTCAAGAAAAAGTTGAAAATGTGTACGTGGATGAGATTGTTGAAAATCAAGTGGGCAGAAATGAAAAGTAGGGGGAAAAAATTCTGTTAAAAATCATGAAACAAAGAAAAATGAAAATTTTTGGTCACCTACTGAGGTAAAATCATCTTATGACAATATATTTGAACGACGAAAAAATGTACTCAAGGATAGAGGAACACCGAGGAAGGTAAATACAGAGGAAATGCTGTAATACTGTAATCGATACGTAGACATGAAAAGACTGAAGAATGGAGAACCAGATTTGCAAAGACAAGAGAAGAAGAAAAAAATGCTTAAACTATTTAATGATAACGAGAATAATGCATGATAATGATTCGAATATTGAGTTATTTGCTTTGAAGAGCAATGAATAATAATTTCACTAGATTTCTAAAAGAGTTTAAATACTACTAAAAATATCATATATACAATGTATATTATATGTAAATAATTTTCAGTTGTTAATACCATTAACTTGATATATATCAAGTTAATATCAATAAATATAAATACGTTTTCATTGGCCTATTAAAAATAAAATGCATTACAATATGCAAACAAATTCTTACGTGAAAATTAACTCAACTAGAGTTTTTTTTTATTAATCAGGATTTAATAAAATTTACTGACATATCTTGGCATCAATTTTAAATTTTACACTTAAGCTATGAACGATTTTAAATAATAGTCGTACAGCTGTAGTGACTAGATTGACGACACTTTAACGTTTTTGGATCGTATCCATTTTCATTAAATTGTCTTTCTTTCTAAGCTAAGATACTAACATTTTTATATTTAACCAGCAGCGTTTATTGTCAATATTAAACTAAATTAAACTGTCATGTCTATATAGGGTTATTTCATTATATTTAACTCTAATATTCTTTAAATAATTATAAAAACATTGTTAAAATGAATTTTGATATTTTATTGAGCAGTCCATTTATATAACAAAAAAAAAAAATTGTAAATAATATTACACGTATTATGAATTTTAAATAAAACAATTATTTTATGAAATTTGAATGTAGGAAGTTTTAAAACTAAAGAAAATAATTTTGTTATTCAATTTTTATACACAATTTTTACATAATTAAAATTTCTAAACAATTTTACATTGAAGGTTATATTATTATTATTTTTTTGTACATATTTTTATATGAAAGGTTTTTTGCATTTTAAATTTATTAATATTTGAAATTCTTTTTTATAATAATATGGTAAATAATATAAGGTGTCAAAGTGTGAATGCAGGCAAATAAGGCGACGTATTACGGTGTAAACCGAAAAGCATGACCCCGCCATATCCAACAATTGTTGTTAATCAATACACAAGACGTTACGGTGGAGTTGGTAGCGATGGTAGTAATACGTCGGCGAGACGAGGACGAAAGGAAAAATTGTCTAATAAATGTTTAATATATATGTTATACTTATTTTTTTATGGGACACATGCCACTTTTTAGATTTAAGATTTAGCGATCCTGTAGCCTATTTATGAAAACGTAACGCAGAATGCGGTCAAGATTTTCTTATCAATTTATTCAATCATATGGTCTCAATATATCTTTCAACTTTTTATCCTTAAATACTATTTTAAAATATCAGATATAAAACCAAAAAGGATTTTTACACTTGTCGCTTTCATTAAAATCTTTGATTGTTTTTCAATAAAGTTGATTTTATTTTAATTGAGTATATAATGTGTACTTGAAGTAACAAATATTGTTTTAGAATATTTACAGTACAATTACATTACTATCTAAATTTTTGAAATAATCGAAATTGAGAATTTAATGTATTTCCTTCTAATAAAGAAGATTAAATTATAAATTAAATAATTATTAAAATAATAACCAAATAAGTGGCGTACGATGTAGAACACTAACAGCTATGATTTTTAACCCTGCAAACTTGAGAAAGAATTGATTTTTCTTACAACCCTCTGTTATCGAGTGCACACCTGTAAGTTCTTTTAAATATACTATCATAAGTTTTCAACAGTCAATATTAAATGATACATAAATCATTTTTTAGATTATAATTGTTTACTTATTTAAGATCCAACTAATATAGTTAAATTGACATCTTCGAATTAAAGAAGATTAATGACTAAAAATTATACTTGTTAAAAAAAATCTAATAGTAACTAATGCATTTAAGAGTGCGTGTCTTTTCTGCGTGTAATTTACTTAAATAAAAGGTTTTCTTATTTGACACTTATAATCCATACAATTTATAAATAAAATTAAAAAATAGATTATAAATGTCCTCGTTCTTTTTAACTGGAGTTCTATTAAAAACTGTATAAGATTTTTAAAATCATAAACAATGGATGATTTTTTATAAAGAAAAATTAGATGATAAATTCAAAAAGTATAACAATTTTATTTTAAAAAGTTGTATACGTATTTTTATTAGTTTTAATAAACCATACATAAAATAGTCTAGAATAATTCTAACGATAGTTTTTATGAAAATTATTGTATATGTACATATTTATTTAAGTATTCAAAAAAACAATTAACTTCCTTTAGCTTCCTGTTATATCTCTATGTGTCTTAGTCTGCGCCTTGAGTATTAATCATGGAGCATTAATCTAGTAGTATTAAAAGTACTTGACTCAATAAATTTCAATATAAAATAGTTGCTAAGAATATGTGAAGACACATACCAATATATGAATTATTTAAAAAACCATATAATAGTAAAATTATTATCTCCTTAGCTTCGAATTAAAGCTATAATTATCAAAGTCTCATATTGTAAAGGTATAAGTATAATGAAAAAAAACTGGTTTATCCTTAAAAATTTCTATTAATTATTTAAATTTATCAAATCTAATTTTAAAATGGCAGTATTCCAATCGTTTATAAAAATTAATTCATACATTTTATTTAAGAACAACGCATACATGTATTGATTTTGCATAGACATTGCGCCTAAAATTCATTATTTCTCTAAGATATTTTACTAACTCATTACAAAAAAAATATCGACATAAATTATTAAATGATTATTGTAAAGTTAAAAATATATATTTACCATTAATAATAAAATGACACAAGATATTTTTGAAGTTCTTACGTATGTTATACAATTTTTGTATGTTTTTTTGTGTTTATTATCATTAGGTATTTTTTTTTTTAGCAACAATTTAGTGCTTAAGCAAATAAATTATTGAATATATAAATTTAGCATTCTGCAAATTAATAATTGTAAATTGACATTAAATTTTAATATTGAATTTTTGTTTTCTGTGTTTGATAGAAAATAAATATCTTAATGATTATATAAAGTGAGGAAAAATGCGATATTTTAGAATTATTGTCATATTTAAAAGAAATTAGAAAAAGATAATATTTAAATAAATAAATATTTAGACAAAAATACAGTGTAACTTTAATGAATAAATGAAATAATCTTACCCTGAAACGCTGCTTCGAACTGTAAATTTTTCTCAGCTGTTTGTAATTCTCCAAAAACGACATTTATGACTGCGATAAAGACAAAAACTGTTAGGGAAAACCTATGTTCTTGCATTTTACTGTCTCACAAATTTCACCAGCACAAGTAATATTTGAGCAACATTTATTTGCGCCCCTTGCGTTTTTTTGGAAGCATGACTTCTTACGTTTGGTATTGTGTCACATTAGCGTCATTTTGATCAAATATATTACTTATGAACACTACCACTGTCCTATAATTCACACTATTGGAACTTAATAAGCTATTACAAAACTTCAAAAAAAGTTAATAACAAAAATTGATAAGCCTTTTGATTAATGCGTAACGGACTCGTTGAATTGCTATGGGTGACTGACTGTCTGCTTGTTCACACTAGGTAAAATCTGTAAAACATTCAAGTATGCGTGCTATCTGTCGGCCATAGCTTTCAATTTCTAAAATCCATAGGAAATTTTCAAAGACGTTGTAAAGTAGAAAGTTTTACCGGCTAGTTTAAATTACATACATATTATGTAAGTGTAGTAACCATAAGCGTAAAATAATGGAGATTTTTGATCACAGACCTAGATTTAAATATATTAGCTATATATTTATTACACTTCTTTTTCACTCAAATAAAACATTTATTTTATATATAAATATTTTTAATATTCCATTGAATGAATTTAAATTTTTTTGTATTTTATGTATTATAAGGTTTGTGACATTTTCATTTATGGTTATAGTCAATGTGATATTTTAGGCAATGAAATACAAACTAATTAACTGGTAACCATGTAATTTTATAAATAAAATTAAGCAATGTAAAATATTAGATTATAATATGTTAAATCTGTAGTCATTTTCCAATGACTACAATTCTCACAACATTTTACAAAATTTCAAAATCTTTTACCATTCCTCTCCACCAAACTATTCCACTATTTACTATACCCTGATGATCTTTATGCAATAATTTAAGTATTTCTTTTTTACCCTTTCAGTCATTATTATACTATCATCAAAAAATTAACATTTTTTTGGGGTTTCCAACTTATCTCTTAATTTAAAATAATACTTTACATCCTCATTATATTATTGGCCAACTTTCTTGCATATATATATAATATATTCAATGGTAATGTTGACAATACAATCAACATGTGTCATTTGTAATGCATGTCTATATTGAATAGTATAATTATACGTGTATATTAAAACTGCCCAAGCTGTAAATTTGAAGCTACTACCACTGTTATACTCTTGTTCGGATTTAAAATTTCTTTTAGTGCTTGAGAATCTGGACATAATGTAAAATGATTACCATAACTATATATTTATGGAATTTTTTATAACACAAACAATTGATAATGCTTTTCTATGCAATTGAGAATAATTCTTTACCGGTGGTGATAATGAGCTTGATGCAAAGCATATTGGTTTTTCATCTTTACCAAATATTTGGCTAAAATTCACAAATCGTATCTAGTCCAAGATATTACCCTCAAAAACTGAAAAAATTTCCCTCGTTCCCCGTAAATGGGGGAAACCTCCAAAAAAATTACAAATTTAAAAATCGCTAATTTTCGAAATGTTTTCAATTTTTTTTACTTAAAACTATATAACTTTTTCAAAAATGAACAAATCAATATAATTTTTTTTTTATAAATGTGACCTTTTACCTGCCCATAGGGTGGGATTTAAAATGACAACTTTTTCACAAAAAATTAACTTTTTCAACTTAACTTTTGAATGTGTTCTGGAAAGTCAGACACTTTTATATATATCTTAAATTAAAGCTAATATAATGTACTTTATTATGGAAAAAAAAAATTTCGGAATTTATTTTGTCTTTATAGTGAATATGGCTACCGAATGCTATTTTTGTGTGATAATTTTCGATTTTATATTTTACATTTTTTACTTTATAATGCTATAACTTATTGAAAAGTGTATGGATCAACACAATTTTTTTATGATAAATAATATTTATATCCCTTTTTCATTCGACATACTTTATCTTTATCTTTATCAGGATATAAATAAGGAAATAGCAGATCATGTAGCTTTTGGAAAATCCACCAATTTTTTAAAATTAAACACTATCTAAAGATTTGCATCGAATCGTTTTTTATGATAGTGATTTTAATCACTGTCAGATATCATTATACTTGACCCAACTATGCCACGTCACCACTGTGCCGCGACCCCCCTGTGCTGGGTTTTTTGTTAATTATATTTGTATTATCTGTTATAATGTATAAGTCATTAAGTTGTGAAAAAATCAGTATATGTTATATGATTAATTGCTCATGGTACTCAATCAATATATGTTCTATTTAAATTTGGAGTACTTATCCCATCCAATACTTAAAGTTAATTACAGATTGTAATAAAAAGTTAACCGTGTATCTAATAGATGGCACACGACAACCGGTATTACATCAAATTGCACGACTATTGTAGTGTCAAATAAAAACAATTTATTTCCATGTTACTCTTTTTCATAAAAGTTTAATTATTTTGAAATAATTCTTTTAGTACCAAAAATTTCATAATCTGGCCCTACTCATTGCATAATAACGAGTGGTAGTGATAAAATGACATTTTGAAGAATATACATAAAACGACATTTTTTTATCCTCTCAAACAAAAAAAAGTTGCATCTTCTCAATGGAAGATATAACGACCATATTCCCCCCATAATTACGTCAGTGTAGTGGTACAAAAATTATAAAACATATTATTTGTTGTTTTTATTAATGGACTATTAAAAAAAATAATTTTTCTATAATACCGTCTTTTTTTTTATATAATATTGATACAGGACCATCCTTAAGAGCGGAGATAGTAAGGCCAGAACCACATTTTTATTCGTTAAATTAAGGCATGATCTAATTAAGGTATGTCTTTATTACATAGTGTTGTTGTATAACTTGAAATAAATGTTCCTTGACAACCTAGGTATTTAAATGAATAATAATAATTATTATTTTTTATCATATAATTAAATACAGATTAAGCTTTTTATATCAATATGTTACAAATGAAAATGTAGATGTGACAAAATGTCACAAATAACAATATAGATGTTTTATATATTCTGATATTGCATATTTAAGATATCCTTAAATACACCAAATTATTGTGGTAACTAAAAAAATATCTTAAAATTAAAAAGAAAGTCGTTATTATAATAATAAAAAATTAACTTAAGTTAAAATTGTACAATAATTTTTAATTAATAGCTCCTTTAATGATAAAAAGTAAATTATTTTTGTTGAAATGACCAACAAATATGTTATTAATTTATATTGTACTGTTGAAAATATATTATTAACCATACGTCTTTTTTAAAAAAATATTCAATCCAAAACCAATGAATTCAAAAGTTAGAAATACTATGAAAAAAACATATTTTTATAATATTTTGATGATAATATACAATTTATGATTTTAACTTGAGTTATAATAGGTATTGTTTTTAACCGAGGAACATGCATCTAGTCAAAGCTAAACTTGTATTTTTTCTTTTAATAATTCAATCAAACACATTATAATAATAAATTATAATTGTAATGATACTCATCCATGTTTGCTGACAATTGCATTATTGTTATATAAGTAGTATTTATTATTAATGTATAATATTTAGTAATAATTTTGTAAATATAAATGTCTATGACTAGAACAGAATTTGTTTACAAGGATGTGGTTTAAATATTTGTACAAAATAAATCTATAAAATATTACTAAAAAAACAAACAAAAGTTGGGTAAATATTTAAACATAATAATTTGAATGAAAATTTGCACTCGATTAGAAACAACAACTTTTAATGCAAAACAATAAAATATGATCATATTTTCTTTCTTCATTTACTTTTGTTATTTGGTACCGAAAATGAGATTTGTACAAAATGGAAAAGTTGTTTACTTATATTTTATATTTTTGTTCAACACAAAAAAAATGTATGTACATTTCCATAAAAACAAGGCATTTGTTTTTTACCTTTTATAAGAGCCTCGATAACAACATAATTTATATCTTAATCAATTTTACTTAAATAATTAAAAACATTTTTGTTTGAATAAAACATTGAATAAAAATCATTGTGCCTCAATGGAAATAATTATAGTAATAATAATAATAATAATAATTTTCAATACATAAAATTTTGTATTCACATTTAATGACCTAAATTATTTTTTATATAACATTAATATTAAGTGATTAAAAGCTAAACAAATCTATTCTACGCATTTAATTTTCATTAAGTATTTACAAAAAAACAAATTTGTCTATAACTTATAATATATAGATTCGATGTTGTAGATTTATCTATTCGTTTGACATGTTCAGAATTACAGACATTAAAGTATTTTTAAAATTTATAACAGGCACTGAAATTTTTTACCAGTGTGTATTTTTGATTGTTTACGGACTAACTTAATATGAGGGTTTGTTTTTATGTGTAAACAAATATCAATTATTAAAGAAACATAACACACAAGCCTTCAATGAAAAATATTTAATTTAAATTGATATTTATTTCATTTTATCTAAAAAAATTGTTGATTTATACTTGGTCCTCACTTATTAGTATAAATTTCAATAACTTAAATCAATTTGAAATTTTGTTTAAGTAGTGATTAAAAAAATTTAGAACAACAGTTTAAGAGTTTAATGATTGAATCCTTAAAGTGAATTTAATTTAATTTTCTTCTAACAATTTAATACAAGTTCTTTTTTTCTCTCGTATTCTTTAATAGAAAAAAAAAAATTTAATTTCTATACTGTACAAAAATTCTGTAAATATGAAAAAATGCAAGGTCATCTTATACAGTATTTATGAATTTATCAATACTTTATCAACATTTTTTATTTGTGCGAGCCTGAAATTTTATACACAATTCCAGTATTTCACAAAAAAAAATATTTATAAGTATAAAATAGGTTAGGTAACATTTTTTTTGGTATATTTATAAGGTAAATACAAGTGTGCGTGTAGGTGTATATTATGTCAGTATTCATATACAATTATATTATATGATGTGTTTCTTTTAAAATTATAGATGAACACTGGATAGGTAAGCCATTTCAGAAATTGTGCATTGAATTTTCGTGTACATAAAATCAAATCTGTAAACAAACATATAAACATAAATTTTTAAAAATTTGTTAACATTATTTTAATAGAATAGTATAATTGTATGGTACACAATAATATAAATAACAGCATTTTTTTTTAATATTTTTGTGTAATATTATTAATTTATATAAGAAAAAATTAAAGAATCCAATAAAAGAGTTCATAAAATAAAATTTACCCGAAGTTTTTGATAACTCTAAGCTCTCGTATTTATGTAACAAAACTTAATTAAAGAAATTCAAATAAAACTAATAAATTATTTGAAAATCTCAGAGGACTTAAAAAAAATTATATGTACTATCAATGTAACATACAGACATTTGGTCTTACCTTTTGCATGTCAACCGTCACGAGTCATTAATTCGGCCGACGATCTAATACAGTCCACATCCTCTAAGGTTGTTGGCAATAATGACATCAGTGACGGCATCAAACACGAACTGAATGTTGTTTGTATCTGTTGCACACGTCATATGGCAGTAAATCTCTTTAGTTGTAGATTTGTTTTTGGCCTCAAATTGTGCTTGGATATATGCAGCAGCTTCGCCATACTCTTGGGCACCTAAAAAATAAAAAAAAGATATTTAACATTGGTATAATCAGTTCAAACTATTACACATATATTTTCACTTGTTGGCTACTAAGTAGTAATTCTATAATCGAGTTTAGGTTTAAAAATAACTAATTTATTTTTAATACCATTCTTTGGTTGTAAAAATAATAATGTACTGTAAAAACTTTCTCGAACAAAATGTCTTCATGATCATTTCTATAATATTTATTATAAAATCTCAATTATTATCATTTAAAGAAGACACGAAAATAGTAGGGTCCTAAGGTATGGACCCTCTGAAAATTTAAAAACATGGTAATTGGAAGATAAAACATACGATGAATAAACAGATTACTGACAACTGTAAATAAAATATATCTGTGTCTTTAAAACTTTATAATTAATAAAATGAGATTGCATTATATCATACCTGCATATTCTGGGAAACATATAGTGAGCGGTGATTTCTTGATTTTCTCTTCAAACAGGTCTTTTTTGTTTAAAAATAATATTATGGACGTATCTGTAAACCATTTATTATTACAGATCGAATCGAACAGCTTCAAACTTTCTTGCATACGATTCTAAAATCAAAAGACATAAGAGTAGGTATTATATTTATTTATATAAAATAATTATGTTTTGTTACATTATACATTATACATTACTGTAATAAAATTATAACTACAAATAAAATTATTTAAAAATAGTTGATTAATAATATATAAATCTTATTTTACAACTGATTGTTGCTTCAATAATTTCAAATTTAATTCACTGTAAAATACGATTATTATTTTTAAAAACATTTATTTTGTGTATCATAAAAACATAATTTTATTTTAATAAACTGGATAAAATCCAGAAACATACCCTGTTTAATAATTATTTGTCATCGTGTCATGACATGTAATTGTTGGTGTTTAAACATACTATTATTGAGTTCATCGTGACATTAAAAAACATTTGTTAACTTTAATGGACAATTAAACAATAACATCATAGAATGCATCAATTATTAAGAAACTATTGATAACAATAATTTTTATTGGTTTTATTTTATTTTCATTATTATGGTTATAAAATTTATATTTAACTTTAATACAACTTTTTTTTATTCAATTTTGTGCAACTAAAATTATGTTAAAATACATTCGAAAAACTACACTAAAAAAGACGATTATCAAATGTGAAAATAAAACTGTATGTACACCTTAGTAAATAAAATATGCATAAGAGTTATTTGAAAATTTTCTGGGGGTTATTGGTCTTTAATCTATTTCATAAGTTTGAAAAATAGTTCTAAAGAGTGCTTCTCCAACACATTACAATGTTTTCACCTAAACTGACAGTTAATTTACAAGAGCTCAAGACCAAATAGGTCTCATACAAATTACCTTAATGAAAATATTTATACAGTAATAATTTATGTATTACAAATTTTCACAATTACACGAGAAGTATAAAAAATAATTTTAATTAATTTTCTAGTTTGTGGTTGACCTGGAATCTATTTTTAATTTTTTAAATATTCTTAAGTAATCCCAATTACTTAAAATGGATACATGTAATGTTTTTTTTTTATCAAATGATAAATATTTTAATTCATGTCTTGGGAACATTTTTAAACTTAGGCATGCGTACAGGAGCAATAAAGGCTGTTTTTATTGCCTAATGAATTGCAATTAAGTATTTCTATAAAGTAATAAACAATTCATCAGTAAAATATAGGAAATTTTTTTTAAGAGACGAGATAAAAAAATATACGGATGTATATAATGTATAGAAGAGCAACTCGGTAAGTTAAATGTTATACATTGAATATAGTTCAAGGGTTGACCAATGGAGTAAGTGATGGTGCGGCGTAGTGTCACAGTTTAAGGGAAAGAGTAGAGGGGTAATACTACCGGTGATGGTTGTATCGATCGAGAGCGGTGTTGTCATGACAACGACCATCGTCAGTGTCGGAGATAAGATCTTCATGTGTATATAAACACAAAAGTTAACTGTGGTACAATATAAGGTGATTGATTAACTATGCCTCACGCAATATCTTTGAAAGTAAGAAACCTATTATAGTTTTTTTCTTTTTAAGAACTTATAGTATTCTATGTTCTATAATTTTCAAAAAAATATAGTTTTATCCCCTCTTTTATAGAGGTTAAAATTCCTATAGATAAAAATAAATAGATCCGTGCTTCATATCCAATTATTATAATGTTAATAACTTCCTTATATTTGTTTTACAACATTATTTTAAAACTCTTAGCTACGCATCAAAGCTAAAATTATAATCAGCACAACTATTTTAAATAAGTATTTTACATTATAAATGTGTACACTTCAACTTTGTGGGATATCAATTACAAACTTGTTTTCACCAAAAATTACTAAATATTTATAAAAAAATTAAGTATTTTTATTGTATTGTCGAAATTATATTGATTTTCAGTAATCTATAATATGTAATTACATAAATAAAAATAAAATGAAATTTTGATCCAGAGTAAGTGAACATTCAACAGGTCAGCGCGGGGCGATACAAGTTGCCGTGGCTTGTGAATCATACACCACAAGCAAATGTCCTCGAATGAAGTGATATTGTTTCGATTATGACACAAACAGCTTTAAAAGCAGCATTAAAGGGGTGCTCGAAATTAGTTACATTTATAATTACCGGAACAATGAAACAAAAAAAGATACCAGATATACTTTTAAGTGACTATTTGGTATTTTTCATAGTAATTGTTCTTTTGTAAAACAAGTAAGTAACAGTTTAAACTTCTACCGTGGATACCGTGTCGGTCTATGAAAACATTGCCAAAAAATGTAAACGTATTTCACACATGTACACTTGAAGGGCAAGCCACGTGGAGTTTCGGCCCAAACGTATATATTAATATTTTTTTTTATAGACCAGTAACTGATTTAAAAGCATGACATCATAAAAATGGTGACAAATACAATTTTAATTATGTCAAAGATCAATTAATAGTGCCAAGACAAAAGATACTACTAAGCAATATGTCGAAACATCACTAGTTTTATTAACGATATAAACAATTTTTATCAATTTATACTGTTCGTTTTATTTTCCAACGACACAGTAATCATTGTTAATAAAACGACGAACTAAGACAAATTGAAGTAAGAATGTAATATTAATTTGAGTATTTACCGTAGTCTCATCTTCGTGTAGCACTTGATCATACTCGGACATGGCCACACAGAATATGATCGCTGTAACATCTTCGAAACAATGAATCCATTTTTTCCTCTCCGATCGCTGACCACCGACGTCAAATAATCTAAAGTAAGTATATTCATTTAGTGAGCCATGATTTAGTTTCAAATAAATAACACAATAACATTTCATATACTTACTTAAAATTAAGATTTTTAAACGAGAAATGCACTTCAACAATGCCAGTGGTTTTCACTCTGGTACGCAATATATCCTGTTCAGTGGGTTGGTAGTCTTTGGACCCTAACCTGTCCAAATCGTCCAAAAAGCTAAAAAATAAAAAGGACCATTTTAATATTTTCAATTTTCTTTAAATCATCAAAATGCTCATAATATTAGGAATGCAGCTAAACCTAAACATAATGTTAATTATTTTTAAATAAAAAATGGTTAATAGACTAAACATTTTTTTTTAATTTCTCCCTAGATTAAAAATTAACAAAAAAAATTAATTTTTTGAGTATAGAATATCATAGTTAATATGATAAATAACTTAAGCTCAATAAAAAGTATTTTGAGAGATTTTGTAACATCCACAAAATTAAAAGTATTCATAATATATAATACATTTTTGCACAAATTAAAACTTATCTAAAAATGCAGTTTGTACCTCCCGAACAACTTGCACAATTTTTTGTGTAGCGAAACATACAGTCAATAAATATATTAAATAACAATGAAATTTAGTTAATGACTTTAAAATATTATGAAGTACAAAAAGCACATATACTGCTCTAGTTCCAATGATACATCTTCTTTATTCATTAATTACAACCTAATTTGTAAGAAATATTCCAAATATGACAATAAGTGGATTGATTAAAAAAAAAAAATACAAGAAACCTAAACCAATGATTATTATGTTGCATAGCAAAAAACTCGCTTCTCTGAATGTATGAGAATATTAATCTCAAATAACCTTTAATTTTTAGATGATACTACTATTCTAGGGGAATCATAATTCAACAGTAAATTGAATATACTGCAAAAATTATCTTATTAAACAAATATAAGGTCATATAATAGACTTAACAATGTTCTAAAAATTTTAATTAAACTTCAAATAATTTTCATTAAAATAAAATTTAAACATTTTATTTTTATAAAAGTGTTAGTCCTATAAATAAACATTATATTATTCTACTAATATAAAATTCGTCATGAGGAGTCTGGAACTTATATCTCCTCGTAATTACACCAGTCCAATTTGGTCTAATAAAAACTGTTTTTACTATACACATAGTGCACAGTAAATTGGGGGATTTTTAAGTTATTCTCATCACAAAATTACTTTTTCTATGGAATTTTAGAATATAAATTTTTTGATTTCCAATTCTTTGTTTATAAATGATAGCATACATGTTAAGCAAGTCAAAAATACATTTTTGTAGGTACAAAACCTATCGACATTGGCAGGTTGCACGTTTCTCCAGACGCGAAGCCGTGTTATCGATCCACTGACGTCATTGAGGACCACGCCCGTCCGCCGAGCCGGCAGCTTAACTATTCAGTACCGTACACCCCTATCTGATATTGGAGTTGTATACGGAACGGCAGCTGTTTCGAAATACACTTTTATAACTTTTTTTACCTAGTGTGTCTAAATATTTTAACTTTAACAATCAGTTATTTATTTTTAACTAGTAAATATTTGAGTAGTTTAATTACGTTCATTAATAAGATATTTACCGTAATAGCGAAATCTAATTTTATTTAAATGCCTGAAAATAGCTTGAATTAAAAAATTATCGTTTCGATATTAACATTAAAACTTTATTTATAAACAAATCAAAAAACTAAAAAAAATTATATATTATCGGTTCAAAAGTAATTATCTTTTGATTTCAAAACAATTTAAAATAGAAGGTTAAAAAAGCTGCACAGCATGTTAAATTTTTTTCATAAATAATCGTTTAAAATAATGTTTTCATATATAGCATTTTGAATCCGTGTAATAATATCTTTAATTATTTTAATTATTCATAAGATATAGAAAAATATTTATTCAATATTTAACTACAAAACTCCATAGTATGATCATATTTGAAAGTTATTCATTTACAATTACAATTAGGATATTAACATGATAACTCAGTCTTATTATTCCATGTCATTGATCTGGTAGTAGACAATAAAATAACGTTATGTTAAAATTGTGACACGAATTTCTTAGAAGCAATATCACCTACTATTAATTAATTTACCCGAAGGGCAATATTACCTAACATGCAGGTATTTAATTGTTTAACGTAATTTATAATGTAACGTATTTGATATTTAACGTAAATATATAATAAGTTGGTTAATACGAATAAAGTCAAAACTAAATCAAAAAAATATTGACCTCATAAAAAATGACAATTTTGGATATTTGTTAAATGCCATTTATAATTCTTGTGATCATTTTATATTAATAAAATGTTATAGCTAGTAAAGATAAGAGCATTTTTAAAGGTCAACAAATTAAGAAATAATGAAGTCAAAAAATAATACTAAATAAATAATTGAAGAAAATCTATTGCAGTTAAGGCCATTCTATAATTTTTATTGTCTTAACGATAATAGATACAAATAGATAGAGAAAACCGCTTAATGTAATTATGATAAATTCAATTACTTTCTAAGAAAAATGAAACACTTACTATTTTGCAGAGTCGTTGAGCTGATATTCATTAGATCGGGAAAAACACTGTTGCACCCCGGGGTCGGTCCATAACCTCTTCATGGCTGCAAGCAGTTCTTCCGAGAACGGTTCGGTGTCTTCCATTCTTTGTATTACATCTAATACCATTTTTGCGTCAGTCTGTTAACAAATAACAAGTGCATTCTTATCAGGTTTTATAAAATGTAAAAGGATTAAGAAAAATATCACATATGTTTTAAAATATTTCATTAGACAACATTATAATTTTATTATGCACTCTAATCAAATTTATAAAAATCGTAAATATATTATAATCAGCTTTACTCGTACATGACATTGGAATTTTCAAAAGCTATCATAACATTTAGGGGCTAAAAAAATGTCAGGATTTTTTAAAACAAGTAATTTGAAAAGTAAAATTTGTTTAAATAACTTAGCTTGAAAAAACTATGCAAATTTATAATACATGCACACCGACATACAATTAAAATATCAATGGGAAACGGAATTGGAAAATTATTGAAATGGAGAAATAGTTATAAAAATGTTGATTTTAAAAATTAATACTTTTGGTAACCTTAAACATTCGATAAAATTAAAACTCAGAAAATGGAAAAACTAAAAGCATGTTATGTTAAAGAGTATTTTTTATTCACTTCATGGTTTTCATTAAATTATAACTATTTTATGGCTTTAAATTTAAGAGACTCGAACACTACGCACAGCATATATGCAAAGATTATGTATGTTTTTACTACTTCCAATTGGTTTTAGTTTACTATTTATACAATCGTAACACAATGGAATAAACTGTAGCATTCAAATTGAAATTTAAAATTTCCAAGTTTCAGTATATGTGTAAAACACAATCTATTTTTCTAGAGTATTGTAATGTATACAAATGTCAACTCAAATTATTCAATCTATTGTAGTATTTTGGATATTTAAACTATATGTAGAATGTATAAAATATAGTTATTCGCAGCATTAAAGGAAATAGAAATAAATAGTAATATCCGGCGATATGTAAACTATATGTAATAGTGATCCCTGTACCTTATATTTATTTGGAATATTGACGATCATTCAAAATTTAAAAATACAAAAACGTTAAATTGTTATTAAAAACACTAAATTATTTAAATGCTCTATTCTAAAAAAAATCATATTTAACTTTGTATAGCTACGGGATTTTTTTCAAAGCCCCCACCTTTCGTTTAAGTATTAATATTTTAATGACATGTCATTGTTCTCGAAAAATAACATAATAATTATAGGTAATTACTAAATAACGTTTTTACCGTTAATCACTCAAATTGGAATTCTGAATGACTAAAAACATCATATATATAGGGTGGCCCACCACTCACTGACAACTTAAATAACTTTTGATCCAGTTAATATTTTTAGTTGATTTTTTTTTTAAATAATATTTATACGTTAGGTCTATAGCTATATCTCAATAATTAATTTTTTTACATTTTATTAAAAATATTAATTATTTTAAAATTTTAAATAAAATGTAAAAAAAAAATCTAAGATAGCTATTTTGTAGAGTAGAATTTAAGAAAAATTTTAGTAAAAAAATATCTTATTAATATTCAGTAGTAAATATTCTGTAGCGTTTTGAAGTTTGTAAAAATTTGAATTTTCATGTACTATTTTACGGTTATAAACATTGAAATACGTATTGAGAAAAGGACAGAAGAAAACGCTATCTTTTCATGATTACTGTGTATACATATGATGATAGTGTGTATACATTACAAACTTGGCATTAATACCATGATAAGAAATTAGATAAGGCAATTATTACTTATCACTCTCATTCAAAAGTATATTGAAAAGATAGCGTTTTCTTCTGTCCTTTTCTCAATACGTATTTCAATGTTTAATACCGTAAAATAGTACATGAAAATTCAAATTTTCACAAACTTCAAAACGCTACAGAATATTTACTACTGAATATTAATAAGATATTTTTTTACTAAAATTTTTCTTAAATTCTACTCTACAAAATAGCTATCTTAGATTTTTTTTTTACATTTTATTTAAAATTTAAAAATAATTAATATTTTTAATAAAATGTAAAAAAATTAATTATTGAGATATAGCTATAGACCTAACGTATAACTATTATTTAAAAAAAAAATCAACTAAAAATATTAACTGGATCAAAAGTTATTTAAGTTGTCAGTGAGTGGTGGGCCACCCTGTATATATAGCTTAGAAAATGCTAGACAATCGATGAAAATTTAATACCAAAAATATCAATAATAGCAAACCGTATGTAGTCTTATCGAGACTTAAGATTAATACATTAATAGCTTTGTAAAGATTAGTTTTAAGTACCTAATCTATTAAATAATTTTAAAAGAATAGATGCCATAAAATTATTTGATAAATATTTAATATTTACTTGTTATACAAACATTTACAAGCATATTTACAAAAATCAAACTCAACTTAAATTGTTTAGCCTGAAACAAAATGTATTTTAAATCTGAGTATTAACAATATGTTTTATTTTTCATCAATCATTGCATTTTTTTTTATAGAAATTAATACAAGTAATTATAAATTAATTTAAGTTTTCAAATTTGATACAACAGTACTTTATTACATAGTATGAGAGATTTGTATTTTTGTACTCAACTGCATTTACAGAAAATGGAATGTCAATACAATAGTTAAATACACTAATGTACACACATATTTTAAATCTATTTTAAATAAATATTTTATTTTAGATTATTTTTATTTGTTTTAATTTAATCTATGTCTATTATACATAAAATTATATACATAAACAGACGAGTTCAAATTTAAAACATATGTTTAATTCTTGTAAATAGTGCATAGTTAAGACTCAAGTTTACCATGTGGTACATGAACATTTATAAATTCTAAACTGTGGCACACTAAAAAAAAAGATTTTTATAGTTTTTTTAGGGGGAGCATAAAAATAGTAAATAGGGAAATAATCCGTTTGCGTATATTAACACAACAACTATAAACAGAAGCATAAAACATAAAATAAAGTACTATTTTAAAACAAATGGTGACTTAGAGGTTTTATATTTCATTATAAAAGTAAAATAAATCAATTATTAATCAATATTGTAAAGAAATAAGATAACATATATTAAGATATTGCGTATAATAAGCAAAAACCGTATTGACTGACAGTTAATAATAACACAAATAAGTGTCATTATTTTTTTAATTAGATGTAAGTTAAAAACAATGACATTATGTTATGTTTGTTTTTTTTAAATAAATAATTGAATAACTTAATTATTAAAAGAGAAAAAGATATGTAAATATATCCTAAAATAATAAAAAAAAAACTCAATTTGTATACTGTGTGTTAAATTTACTATGAAATATGATAAATATATATATGTATTCAATAAGTAAGGAAATGGTTTTCAATTGTTCTGATTGTTTATAACAATTTTTCGGTTTCCTTACTTTTTCAACACTTTGTATGTTTATAACTAAATAAACATAGAAATTAATAAAAAAAATAACAATTTTTTTTTTTTGAAAAGTATTATTTTGTAATAACTTGATTTTCGCAAAACATTATTTATTAAATATTGTCACTATTATTTAGAATGTGGAAGTTTTTCTTGTTTCTTCCGTTATAAACAAATTACTCTTTGATTTAAATATATATATATATGCTAATAAAGTTCTAAAGAGTGTAATATTACTAATTTGGAAAATTCAAGATACCTAGACATAATTTTAATTTAATTAATTAAAAATGGGTTAAAATACTAAATTATTAATTAACAAGAGTTCTATTACATTAATAAATTATCATATACATTTTTCTTTAAATTTACATTTCATTAAGTCAATTGACAAATTTAAAAAACACAATTAATTTTCAAATATTTTTTTATAAATTATGGAAATAATTATGTGTACATATGCATTTTAATTGCGTGCCAGGCTACGGCCAAAGATCTGACCTCAGCGACGACACGTATTGTCCCAACTTGTGAGAATTAAATAATATGTTATTTAATCGTTACATATTAAACAATAACAACTTATTGTAATAATAATACTAAAAAACAATTTTATATTAAGAAGTTCATTGAATTTTAAGTTTTTTTATTTTGTAAAAATTATTTTAGTAAGATATTGAAATCCATAAATTAGTTTATACATTTAATATTCATTGCATGTATACAACCATGTATTAAACAGCTGTAAAACATAATACATCTAGGGCGCCAAGTAAAATAAAAATTAGGTTAAATTGTTAATTTTAAAGGGTCGTTTTTTTGCGATAATGCATTTTTTTTAATATTGAAATAAAAATGTATAATTGTGTAATTGCTTTATAACATTTTGAAAAACACGTATAAAAAAAACTTTATTTCTGTTTTGCAGTACAACATTAAAAAGAAAAAGTTTTCCTAATACCTTGTTGAACTATGAAATAGTTCATGAGAAATAAAAAAATGAACTTTTCTAGTAAATTCTTGTCATGAATGTTAACTCTAAAACTAAATTTAAGGAAGAATATTAGATCGCATTAATTATTATAAGTAAAAAAGTTTCTCGTTAGTTTTGTTATACGACGGTTCTTAAAAAACATTGATTTAGAAAAATTATTTTTTTTATAAAAAGAGGATGTATTAGATGAAAAATTTGTTTAGTTTGGTTTTATAAAAAAAAATATTGTAATCTGTTATTATTTTTGGCAAATTCAACAGTCTATCCATCATACATTATGTAAATATTTTCTTAAAAATCTGACAAGTGTTTTTGTCTATGATGATTGTATTATTTTAACTTTAAATTATACTATACAAATTATTTTATGCGATAAATAAAAATTAGAACACGACCATCATCTAGGAGACACATCCGTCGACACTAAAACTATAGTGACGGTTAGAGTTCGTTTTCGCTCAATTTAATTTATTTTCGAGATTTGTCGGCGACAATCACCATGCGCGTAGGTCAAATTAATTCGTATTTGTCCTACACAATAGTAGTTTTAATGTTTTAAGTTCCCACAAGGGATATAACTGTGGGGGTTACACTAAGTATTAATTCTACCCGTCGCCATCAGAAAGGTTTTATAAAATAGTTTTATACTCTATTAATTCCATTGTTCAATTCACAGTAAATTATAACAAATTTTAACTGTTCCGTACAATGAATTCTCGACAACTCGAATTATTGAAATTTAATTATTTATATAAAATTTTTTCTTATTATCGTCTTAACATACTAAATTAAATATTAAAATATTTTATAGTTTAGATTATAATGTTTCCACTGACGAACTGAATTGTCTAGGATCATATTGCATGTTCTTTTAGATAAAAAAAATAATATTTATTGATTACTTCAAAAAAAATTTTGAAGTTTATTTCGGATTAAATAAAACTATAGCAATAAAGTAAATTTAATTATGACTACAACACTGGCCAAATTCAATTCGCGTGCATCATACAAGAAGACAATGATCGCGTGCTATGAGAGTTAAAATACATTATTATTATTACTTTATATATAGAAAAAAGTAAGCTATTATGACAGTGAATTACATTAACATTATTATAAATATCGTCTACATAGGTAGTTTTTGCGAAATGCTCAGATAACAACTATGTTATGAACAAAACTATGAGGAATGTGTGGGAGATGGTTACGTAAGATATTAAAAGGAACTTGCTCGTAATTTTTCTTATCTAATTCAATTACTAGACGATAAAGAATAAAGTAAAGAAATAAAGAATTTAAGTGTCTAAAAGAACAATGTTATTAAAATATAAACTTTGAAACATAAATGATTGTGATATTTTTTATTCTTGTTTTGGGATATATTAACAATAGTTTCAAGTCTTATCATTGATTTTTATAAAATGAAATATCCTAGGAAAAAAATCACTTGCTTTTCTTACCTCCCGTTCGTTAGTGCCGAATCCGATTCCTAGATTTGGCATAGCTCTTAATATGGCGACTAGCGATTGCACTGTGTTGCTGAACACCACAGGCCTATATTGCTTGAAGTCTTCTGACGTAAATCCACTTTCGTGTATAATTCTGAAAAAAAATATTCAATAAGAAAAATTTAACGGATGAAGTCACATACGTAGTGTTACATTTGGTAAATAGTATTACTAATATTAGGTTACATAGTTAAGGTTATGTAGCTAAAACTGTTATGGGTTGATTACATCTCATATTACCTTATTCATATATTAAACAGAAAGTTTAGTATAAGGCTGATTGCTTTGTGCCATTCATTAGTGTACTATAAAAGTTTTACTATTTTTTTTATTTTTCAAGCAAATTAAATAATATTAATATTTTAGCAGTTGTTTAAAAAATAATAATTTTCCCAACAAATTGAATAATTTTATAAGTTAACAGGAAATATGATATCAGACTGTTACTATATCATAATTTACCGGGAATATTATATTTTATAATGAATAATACTGTTTGACATGAAATTTTTATGAGTAAGAGAGATTATCAGTTAAATTGTTCCAATTTTTTTGTCAATTAATTAGTAATAGTTAAAGTAACAACGTGTAAAACAAAACATAACTTCAATTCGTAAAACTAAAAATTTAATAATTTATCTATTTTTTCAAGCTAGTTACCAATATATTTACTACTGTATACTTAAATAATAAAAGTATTTTGATTTTTTTGGCTATTTTTATAAAACTATCAAAAAGTTTCAAAAATGTATTACTTTTATTTTTATATCTATTATAAATTTAATAATATGAGAACTAATAAAATGAGTGATTTGAGCAACAAGAATTTATTTAAAAAAAAATGATTTATGTCTTATTTAAATTATACAAAAATAACACGAAATTGGTAAAAATAAGTCTAAATAATATTTTGAATAAATGACATGTTTGCACGATACCTTAAAATCATTAATATAAAAAAATAATCTAACATTATGACCAATGTTCAGTTTGACTATGACTTATAAAAGGGCATCTAAGTACATTTTTTGTGCATCAAAATATGTCTGGAGAGAACAAATAATGGTAGAGAGATAATCAATACATCTAATTAAACATAAAAAAAATTATCTACGACTACATGGACGATTTTTAATTAACATATTTCTTAAAAAAATGTAAGTGCCTGGATAAACAAAAATTTTACATTATTTTTAAGACTTATTACTCTTTAAGAAATATGTTTATCAAAAATTATGTAAACATTTAGAACATTTTGTCACGTTTAATTTTATGTATTGATCATGTCGCTAAGATTACCCAGTCCTTAAACATCGTTGTTGACACAACTCAATTTTGCTACGAATACAAATACAAAATATTACACAGAAAATTTTAAAGTAAATATTTTTGATCATTTTTTAATTAGAATAGTTTCTACTTGAACCTTTAATTAAAAGAGTATCAAAGGAAGTGTTCAACGTGATATTTTGTTTCTTAATACTCTATCACCCAGGAAATATATTAAATAGCTTAATTTTAAGAACGATAGTTGATTAGTTAAAAAAATTAACTACAGGTAATTTATATTTAACCAAATTTATATCAAAATAATTAGTTTATAATTTAATTATATTTTCTATCACATCACTAAAAACAATATTGACAAGATCCTAAATACAGGAGCAATAATTTATACAGTTTTGAAAACATAATTAAATGACTTTTTATTAAATAGTTCAAATAAATTATTAAATTATTTATTAATAAATCGATTAATATAGATGTTAAAAATTAAAATTTTAATAAATTATTATTATTATTATTATTATTGAGGTAGAAGAAAAAATGAGAAAAATACGCATTTAACAGTATTTAAAACATTAATAACATTGAATACTATAAATTCAATGTTCTCTACATGAAGAATAATTCAGTAAAATAATTTGAAATTTGTATGTAACAACACATACAGAAGATTGTAAATTATAGAATCAATACAAATAACAGATTGCAAAGTTAAATAAAAATCATGTGAATTGTTTTAATATAATAAGAAAAAAAATGTACGCCATAATAAACAATCATATCATTGTCGTTATCTATTGAATTAACGATAGATGAATCTGATTTTTTTAAACAATTATTTTTTTAGAAAAATAGCTTTAAGTTTCATAGGACCGGTGGCAACGGTGGTCATTGATGGGTCGTTGTTGACGCGTGCTCAACAAGAAATGGGACGCATAGAAGTATCGATCCTGCACCACTACTATTGCCGCCGAGGAATCATCAAACCTTGTTTTGTGGTACACATTAGCATCGTTGCATTTAATGCCGGGGCGTGGTCGATCTCTAAATTTTACTTAATGCACCGATGAATTATTTGATACTTGTTACTACTAAAAACAACTATCTAATAACATTAACAGAAGTAGTTTAAAAATATAATAATAAATTATATTTTTATTGGTTCTGGTAAGTTGGTAGCCTAAGACCTCACAATTGGCGCCAAATGAAGATGTACATTAATATACAAACATTGAAGTAAATTTAATTGTATTTTATCTATTGCATACATTATAAAATACAATAACAGAGAATAATTCATTTCTTTAAGATTTTATTAAAAAATATTTTTAATCCTTAAACTATTATATCCTGTCATTCTATATTCTATTAATTAATTGTATAGTGTAATGTTACTTTAAATAGTATAATTTTTTTTTTATGAGATTGCATTATAATTGTGCTGAGGAATAAAATTAGAATAATCGTTTAATATATCGTTTTGATTTGCTCAAAATTAAAATGTTTTTTTACTTACAATATAAATATTTATCAAAGATTTAATTTAACAAATTATGGACCCTATAAACTCTCAGTAATTTTACCTGGTATTAGTTTTTATTTTACGTTAAAGATTTTAAAAGAGGAACGAATGACTTTTATTAAGTCTGTTAAGGAAAAATTAAGAATATGTTTAATATAGTTGATTACTTATAACTATATGAAATTAATCCAATAAAATGTTTTCAAAAATTACTGATAAAATTCAAATAAATGCGTTAAAGTTATTTCCATAAATTTTTTACTTAAGTTGTTTCAAAATACTCTAAGAAAGTATTGTTAATGATCGAGACCAAAGATAATAGAGTAATAAGTGTAATGATAATGGTGACACTTACTTCATTTGTTTGACTATTGTACTTTTCCCTGATTCTCCAGCACCTAAATTAAAAACATTCTTAGATGAGTATTCATCATTAATAAAATATTATTAGTATATATATATATATATATATATATATGTATATATATATATATATGTATATATGTATATATTAGATTATAGAATGACGTGTGTATTTATTTGACTAATGTTTTAACGTTGGTAATATCAAGTGTGATGGCATTGACCTAATATATTTTAATTTCATTCTCTGTTTCCGTAGTACAATTAACTGGAAATCTGTGGTGTAATCATTTTTTATGTGCTAAAAATTGTAACGAGAAGGTATTATTCCTTTATCATTCCGACATATGTTTTATATGTATTCATATATATTGATAAAATTGCAGCTTAATTTTGAGTGATATCAGCTAATTATTAAAACAATCATACAAAAGATAGTTAATTATGTATCTTTTAAAATTATACTATTTTTAATAACACTGAAATGCAAAGTGGCTTATTTCCTATTGGAAAACATGTGAAAGAATTTATCTTGAAGGAGTAATAAGTCAACACATTGATCAATTATCCTAAAACTCTCTTTAAATTATCAAACGTTATGTTTGTCAAATGCCTGTTTATGTTCATTTTTTATTTACAATACTTGAAAATACAAAGTGTTTGCAAAAAGAGTATTGAAATCTATCTAAAGCTACAGAGGAGGTGAATGGTCTGCGGCAGTAGTGAATCGATTTCTCGAGGGGAGTTACCGCCACTGTTGAAACGCAGGAGTGCCACTTCTAATGGAAAACGGTATTTTCCGTAACATTAATGGTTTTCATAATGTTCATAACAATTAGTTACAACTTAATGATAATATATTTATGATAATTAGTGATTTTTATGATTGGAAAATTGATTGGTATATTCCAATTTACCGTCTAAAAAATTTAATTTTTTCTTTAGTAACGAATTTTTAACTTCAACAACACTTACACCTTGACAAAAATAAGACCACTTATAGGTCTCTTATAGGTATACATAATATCTTAGAGATGTCAAAAACAACCTACAGACAGAACTATTAAAAAGCTGCATAATTAATAAAAAAATGTTATATTAAATTACAATTTATAGCAGATTCTATATTAAAACATGGGTAGTGTTTTAGATGTGTAGTTATTTTTGTGTATTTTTCTAAGCTAGTGAAGAACTCACCTAACAATAGCAGTTTTATATCTTTGGCTGCTTGCAGACCATCTTCCCTGAGGTTCCTCTCGATCTGCCTGCTCCGGGCCAGGGCGGCCCGCTCTTCGGCGGACATTGCACAGCCCATCTTTCGGCCGACTTTCGCTAGGGCGGAAATTTTTACGCGCGCGGCTATTATACGCGCCGGGTAATGGACGACGCCGCACCGTCACCGATCGTCAACCGCAACGCTGTCGAACCACCAAGGGGTGTGCCGCCGGTCATCGGCACCATCCTGTGCCGTGAATGTAACGCATTATCGTCTGTCCCTTTGGCGAGGGCTCAAACTTTCAATCGCTGTCGTCTTCAGGCACCAACTAAACGCACACAAAGTTTTAGAACGAGCGGAATCCCGTGTTTGGTTACACAACTAGGCGATATACTCGCGTACGCATTAAATCGCGCACACACACATATACTCACGATCGCGATTTCGAACTAAATAATCAATTTAATGTGGGTAAAAATTATTACAATAATGTGATTACTTATGAAACACGATAAATGAAAAATATTAATATTTTTTAACAACTAAGCACGGACTGATACTATATTGAATATTAATAATATTGAACTGACTAGCGGTTACACTACTGTTTGGGTGGGGAACCGCTTTGCGTTTAGAAGCAGCGGTAGCGGACGAAAACTACATGGAGCAAGCGCAAAACGCGGACTGACGCCCGTCAGTACGGCGTATGCGCGCGGCGCTAGCGATCGGGTGATGAGTGGGTGCGCGCGCGTGCACCGGCGGCTTTTGCTGCTGCCCAAGCTGGGTGTGACCAACTTAACGGGACCCCTCGGGAACTCTCGCATCCCGTCACGTCCCGTTACGACACTGCCGTGTCACCGGTAGCCAGGGATCCGGTCGACTTCATTCAGAACCAAATTTCTCTCATCCGTATTCTCTGACAAAATAACGTATGCCTATTGAGACTGGATTTCAAAGTTTTCATTGTTACTATTGTATCAGTAATATGGTATAATATGAGTTTTAAGTAATTTTTTGAACTCATTATAATCAAAAAGAAAAGAAAATTTATTTAGATAATTCTGTAGGTATACTAAATGTTAAAAATTTTTTTTGAAATTATAGAAATATTTTTCAACATTATAAACTAAATAATCGAAATAGATTTCATCATTGCTGATTAGATTAAATTGATTTATTTTACAATTATCGTTAAACAAATCGATTTAATCAATAGTTCACGAGAATATCTTTGCTTTTCTATTAATGTAAATTAATCTTTAGTCTAAACAATTATTTTATCTAAATTTTAGGCTTCATTAAGACTTTAAAAGAAGTCTTTATTCTTCTTAACAAATACAAAATAAATATTATGAATTTTTATCAGTCCATCAGAGATAAGTCCACTTTAAAAAAAAAAATAGTAAAACCGTGTATGACATACTTATTTAATGAACATTTCAAAAACAGTATTATCTTATTTTTGAAAAAAGAAAATTAATAAAATTTACTTCTGAGGTAATTGTAATGTATTCTGAGTATAATACATTATATAAAACTAATATATTGAAAAAATTAATATAAAGTATTATAAGTAATTCATATATCAATAATAAAAAGAAATATGTTGATAACTTTTCATTTGAATTAATAATCTTCAGTCATTTTACATTTTCCAAACGTCCTTAAAATTTATATAGAAATTTTAATATAGAAAGAAAATAAGAGAATAAAAATAATATTATTGAGTGCAGTAGTTTTATTAAGGCTGATGGAAGGTAAAATCACCAATGCACTTACCTATGACTTGGTGTTTAAAAGGGCCTCACAGGCGTAAACGAAAAGCAAAAAAGATTTTCTCTATTAAAAAAAAAACAGCACAGTGTGGACATGGCATAGTTGGGTCCCGTATAGATTTAATCTGACAGTGATTAAAATTACTATCATAAGAAATGCTTCGTTGCAAATCTGTAGATAGTATTTAATTTAAAAAAATTGGTGGATTATTCCAAAAGCTACATGATCTGCTATTTCAGTACTTTCAGAAGCAGTACTTAGAGCAGTGGAAGAAAAACGCAGACATATAGATGCGATTAGAGCAAGACACTGGGAAATTGTTGGTCACGCCCCGAGACACCCAGAAGAGTTGCATAATATAATACTAAAGGATATGATAGAAGAAAAGAAAACTGCAGGACGTCCCCGAAACTCTTATATAGGACAAATTAAATGTGATGCAAGAGTCAAAACCTTTAAGTAACTTAAAGAAAAGGGAAGTAACCAGTTAGAATGGAGAATTGGAGTGTAAACCAATCTTCGGGTTGATAAAAAAAAAAACATGGTTTAAAATTCAGGAACTTTTTTATTCATTTAAATAAATTTATTTTTTAATTTTATTAACAAAAAAAAATTTATGATATAAAGTAAGTTTTTACCAAAACTTACATTAACAGTACATTTATTATAAAATCTTATCATAAGTACATTTTAGTTTTTTAGTTCGTTTAACACAACTCTATTATAGTAATTGACATAAATCAAATAGAATTGGAAAATAAATTGAAGTTAAAAACTCCTCATTTCAATAACTCCAGTAAATTTTTAGTAACTATAATCTAAGAAAATAGTCTAAAGACAAGTATCTGATTATGAAGATATTTGGGTTGGGTTTAAAATTATAAAATAGTTAAGGCTGAATCTGAGGAGATATCCAAGGGATCCGGATTCCGGTAAATATGTTCAAAATATACATAAATAAAATATATATATATGTATTTCTTTTACAATTCTTTTAACACTAACCACTTGATTTTTCTTAAGATAAAAACTTATTTTGTAATTTTTTTTTTACTATTGTTAGTTATATAATTATTTCCATTTATCTATTATAAAATATTTTTTATGTTCATCCATTTAAATCTTATAGGTGTGTCAACTTTATATTTTTATATGACAACATAGATATTTAATTAGCTTATGAAAGAGAAAATGTTGTAATTAAGAAAATAACTGCTCAATAATAACATTTGGACCATTATTTGATAGAATATTAATAATTTAAAGTAATGATAGGAGATGAGGAGGTGTGCTGCAATTTTTTTAGCTAAACATTTATTCATATTATATTTCGCTTCAAATAACTAGTTCCCTCAATAATTGTATTCTAGTTGTGATTATATTTATTATGATTAATATTCCAATGTGTTCTAATGAGTCATGTATTTTCGCAGTAGTTCATTCGCCAATTATTTAATAAGCAACATGATTAATTATAGTAATATTTATTAATAGATGTTGGCACAAGGTGTTTGAAGGATCTTTTTAATAGAATCCTATAAAAAGGGAAAATGCCAAAAGAATGTAGAAATAGTACTGTGGTGCCGATATTTAAAGACAAAGGAGACATAGAGAAATTATAGAGGCATAATATGAAGATTTAGGAAAAGATAATAGACAAATCAATAAGAAGAAAAACATTAGTAATTCAAAATAGTTTGGTTTTTTGCTAGGAAGTCAACGATGGAGACAGTTTTTTGTGTAGAACAACTAATAGAAAAGTGTAGGGAAAAGAAGAAAAAGATGTGTATGATATTTAAATATTTGGACAAAGCTATGATAGAGTACCGAGAGAGGTTTTCAAGTAGGTATTAATGTGAAATAAATCCTAAAAAGGTACATTAGTATAATAGAGGAGATGTATGATGGCACTTGAACCAGGGTAAAAAGTATTTGCGGAGTAACAGAAGATTTTAGGGTAACAGTAGGAGTGCACCAAGGTTTTCATTTAAGTCCTTACTTATTTTCTATAGTGATGGATGAAATTACTAGAGAAATACAAAGAGAGGTACCGTGATGCATGTTGTTCTTTGACAATGTAGCGTTATAGGAAAAAATTAATCAAAGGCTAGAGGTGTGGTAATCAGCTCTTCAAAGTAAAGAAATATAATAAGTAGGAGTAAGACAGAATATAGAGTATGAGTTTGACAAAGGAGAACGCGAAGTATGAGGAGATAAGTGACAATAAGCGAGGACAAAATAGGAGATGTAGAAAGTTTTAAGTATTTAGGATCAATTATGCAAATGAAAAGGATAGACGGTGGTAAAGACGTGGATGTAAGACACAGGATTAAGTGCGAGTATATGAATTGGAGAAAAGCGTTTCATGTGTTAAACGATAAAATAATTCTAATGAGGCTGAAAGGTAAGTTCTATAAGACTATTATGAAACCAGATATGATGTATGATTCAGAGTATTGAGTGGTTGACAGGTAGAGCAGAGAATGAGTGTAGCAGAGATGAGAATGCTTAGATGGATGAGTGGAGTGACTAGAGAAGATAACATAAGGAACGAACATATAAGGAGTATAGGTGTAGCATCAATTGTAGATATGATGAGAGAAAATAGACTTAGATGTAAGAACAGTTATAGAAATGAATGTTGAAGAAAGAAGAACTAGAAGAAGACCAAAAAAGAGATGGAGGGATGTAATTGAATGCGATATGAGGACGGGTGAAAGTAGAGTAAAAAGAAGAAAGAATTTGCTAATAGATGGCGTATTATGTACATATATCTTAAAATCAAATTGATATATATATATATACACATAAATTGCATCATAACTAATAAGTACTTAGATAAACTAAGATTTTATGCCATAAATATAAGATAAATTTGCCGACTTCACATTTGTATGTTAATTTTACATAATGCAATTTTATTTATTCCATTTTTGGGTTCTTATATTACATTTAGTAGTGATGCCACTAAGTTCAAATATGACAAATATGGGCAACTAGTGTGCTCTGTCTAATATATATACATATGTACTATTTTAGTTTTTTTGAAAAGTACGAATAATGAATTTAACTCTTTGTAACTTTAAATCCTTTTACACTGAGTTTTTGTACAACCAAAATATCAATAAAAAGTAACACTTCAATGACAGTATTTAACTGAATTTAATTCTACAATATTTTTTGAGATATTTAAAAAAGTATAGTGCTGATATTTAAATCAAAATTTTAAATTATAACAATACATAGTATTTATGTAATACTTTTACATTAAAATAATTTTAAATGATTTTAGTTTTATAATTTACCTAAAATATTTATGAAATAAACTATGTTTTACATGAATTATTTACTAGATAACTATTTATTTTACTACTATAAATGACGTATGTGAAACTTAAAAACTTAATATTTTTATTTTTTAATGTGTCTCGAATAATAAAAAATATGTATTTTGTATGGAAAATATCTGGTTATAGCTAAATATTATTATTAGTGTTTGTTGATGTCAGAATTTGAAATATTAGGTCGTTCAATAGGTAGCAGCACCTAGCAATCATCTGTTTTTATCAAATAGAGTGTAAATCAATAGTTTTTACAGGAATCAAAAATAAAACGAGGCCTAGCGTAAGCTGTTAACGACAGAGGACCAGTTGAATTTATTTTTTGCTTATGACCTACACTGTTTTATCATCTGTTGCTCTGGAACTTTTGATATTGCGTTCTCAACTTAAAAAAACCATTTGGTATAATTCAATAGTCAACAGGTGTTAACATATACCCGAAGGATAGAATAAGAGGTTAAAGGTCATATGTATAAGTATACCCCCATTATTAATTATAATAAACACAATTGTAAAAACTTAATTATATCAAAAAATAATATAGATTTGTAGAATAAAATATGTATTAAAGTGTTC